TTTCCATAGTTTTAAAAAAGGATCTTGTAAATTGTTTCAAGGTATGATATTTCATATAAGATATCTCTAGGGTGAGACCAGGTGATATAAAAAAAATCAAGTTTCACATAGCAATACTAAGTAAGATACAGACCTCTAAACTTTCAAACCTTTATTTCTCAGTTCCGTAAAAATGTGAGATAGTACAAAGTTATTCTCATGCGACGACGTCTTTACGAAAATACAAATACATGCGATGACAGCAGATGACAAGTTATTTGGAACTTCCATAAGCATCGATTCATGTTTCAATAGAGTCGACCCTTTCAAGGGCCCCTTTCAATTTTATTCAAATGAAAAACAAGAGGTCAGTAAAAAATCGAGAAAAATGATAGATTTCATTGGTTCATGTTGACAAGTGATGCACATCAAAAAGAAAAGGCTGGCAGTCCAAATCCATTTTCGATTTTCTTGGTTTTTTGAAAATGTTGCATTCTAATTTGAATATCTTGGCATATTAATTAGGGGGGCAAGATGTGAAAATCGACATGTTTGAGACGGACCCTAATTTCAATTTGAAAATTCGCTTATTTTTCCTTGGAGTTTACTTAAATGCCTTGTGTAACGAATGAACAAATGTATACAGATATATACTATATGTCTGTTTGAAAAAAACAACATTTAGATTTTTTTTCACTTTTTAACAAAACTAGTTTCACACTTGCGGTTTTGAGTGTGCTACGTGATTTTAAACATGCACTCGTCGTTACTGCTTATGGTTTCAGTCCAGATTTATTCTTCTGAATAATGAAAGAGCCCTCTAACCTTATGCAAATTGCATTCGTGAATTACTAATAAATGTTTTATTATATGTCTGACACACGTAAAAGTTATTTACAATGAATTTCACCATAATGCTAATCTGACTTGTCTGTATGATATAGTCATTTATGACCTAAATGTGAAAGTACGTTTCCTCGTCCAATATTTTTGGTAATAAGTACAAAACACCGGGAACAACCACCAGGGTTGTAACAAACAATATTTATGGCGTGTCATCCTCTTGTCTGATTCGGAAGACAATCCCTATGCACAACTTATAGGGGATCTCTTGGGCCCAGACCTTGATTGATGCTCTGGAGGTCATTGTTTATTGTAAAGAAAATCCCATCCCCAAGGACATCAGTTAGGTAATTGAGCAAACTGGGATCAAATTGGAAAGCTGACAGTGTCAGCGTTAAAGGGAGAATCATATCTAGCGAGCGAGCTTTAGCAAAGCTCCCCCTCTATAATTCTGATTCTGCCTTTAAAGTCCCCATATAAAGTTTAAACCACTTTGGCCCACATTGTAGTCTTACCCAATGTTATCAAAGTGTGATACGTGAAACTTTTTTTTTAAATTTCAAAAAGTTGTTTTCGTTCCAAAATTTGTGAATTTATTTAAAACTTACTTTTAGAGGTCATGTTTTTTGCCGAAAAAATTAAGAAAATCGGTTCATAAATAAGCGAGAAATGAACTTATCAGTGCATGAAAACGGTTCCGAGAAAAATGCATTTCAAAATTTTAGTTCTCATTAAAACCAATGGTACAATGATATCTAAAACATAATATACTCTTCCTTTTAACCTGGTTAGACAATCAACATTGGTTTATTATTGGAGTCTAGCATATTTAGAAAAGATTGACATCGAAAAAAATTTCAATTTTTTCAAAAAGTTTTTGCTACCTTAGTGACATCACTAATGTTTCAAAATATTTTTGATATGCTAAAACATTGAAGTGGCCCATTAAATATGGCATTTTATTAAATAGTGTGTCCTTTGTTCAATCTTTGCATTGGTGTTAAAAATATAATCTTTTTTGAAATGCATTAAGAATTATTTGTTTGAAAAATGGCGGGAAATTTGAATATTTGAGAAATGAAATGCTCACAACTTTTTTTCCCAAAAATCTCTAAAATAACTTTTTAAGTCATGACAAATAGTAAATGAATGATAAAAAAATATTTTCAAACTTAAGACGGGGACTTTAAGGATCTGAGCTCCGTTGCAAAGTCGAAAAATCAACCCTTTCATCACTAAGGGGTAATCAAAACTTTTTTGTCCAGTACTTTATACTTTCATCTCAATGTCCATAATAACAAATAGTGTTCAAAGCAATGTATAATTAGGATTGTCGACCGTAATGGTTATGTTAAAAAAATTCTAAATGAAGTCGCCAACCACTGAAAAATATGTGAAAACAATGCCAACGCAAATGCACTTTTTTCTTTACGTCATATTTTCCCTTCATTTTTCACTTAAAAAAGAGAACGTTTGCAACATTTATTTGAATAGGGACAAATAAACATCTGCAGTCCCTAGGATAATAAGTTTTGAAATGTCAAGGGTTGATATGAGGCATACCGGATAAATAGAACAACCAGCTAATGATTTGTACCATTATACTTCGCTTTATTGTTTATATTTAAACGCTAACGTCTAAACATGATAATATAATTATATAACATGTATAAATATTTAATTCTATTGAGGTGAATACAAGTGATATTCCAAAAAGCCCGCAGGAATATGAGGAATATGACAGCGATTTTAATGAACAATATTCTGAGACGATAGCGATTGAATATAGATATAAAGTAAACTGATTGTTGCACATGAAATACAGTATTGCATTTCATAAACAAACTCGATACAAACTTTATAATTCTGTCCTTGACCCTTAATATTACATTCCTTTCTATAAATAAGAATGATAAACATAAACATCATTAATCATAAAAATGATAAACATATAAACAATTCATTAAAATACATGAATATCCGGGTCCGATGTTTACAATATCAATGTACATTTTCTCTTCGAATGATCTTCTCTGTATATTCTCAGAATCTCTGTATTATGCTTGGTCAAGGATATATCAAAGGCCCGGGATCAAATGATTATTGCTAACTTAAAAATTATAGATGAAGTCCTCTTTTAAGAAGCAAAATCAAACTAGGAATGACATTTGTAAGTTCGACATTGAAAAAGAAGGTCATTAACAAACGATGTTCTGGAATCATCTCGTTTAACGTTTCTAATCTATGTTCTTTTAATTCAACGTCTGCTCCGTGATGTGACAGATCCTTTGCAACAATGCAGACATACTATCATCTAATTTAATGCAAGCTGTCTTTAAACCATATCTTTTAACAAATGAATTAAAATAAACGAATAAACAAATACTGTGTTATTGTAAAACATCATGGGAAATCCAGCGCCTCTATTTGTTCCTTTCTAGTTCATGATGGTGAACCAGATTGCCTATATACATTCTCTTTAAAAACTGGTAATCAAAATGCACCATCACGTATCATATTTAATGGTACAATTGTAAAAACTACATAAAATTGTCTAAATGTTAGTATACAACTAATAAAAATCTCCATATAATATCTGAGCTCAGTTATACCTATCAGCAAATGTGTAAATGATAATTTTGATGTTCTGTTACATATTGGCCCCGGGATATTGGCGAAGCAATCTTGAGGATATGGCCTAAATTTCTGAATGCCACTATGTCCATGTATACCCTTACTTCAAAAGATGTAATGTTATTTGTCATTTCTCATTATGAATCAACCATAAATGTATTTTTTCTTGTTTACATATAGAATGAACTTTCAGTTTTCGAATATTGACAGATGGTACTGCATTTATTTTTTCATGATATGGAGCAAACAAATGCGTGTCAATTCACACTGTAATATCCTACATACTTATATTTCAAGGGTAGTTTTGAAGAATAATTAAGAAAATCCATGTTTTCAAATGGATTTATCATTGTCAAAGAACGTTAATGAGGATATGCGGTTTGAAAAACTAACAACATGTTTCAAGTTCTTACAATTCTTGGTTAAAACAAATATTTTGAAAATTGTGATTTCGAATGTAATCTCCTACTCAATGAAAATTGTTGATATTTGTGAATTTTTTCTTTCGGAATACACATTGCTGGATAACAGAACCTTGCCTTGTTCGCTATGCACGAAAACTGTATTGTTAATACTTGACGTCGTTCGGATATTTGGATGTGATTGACGTTTTCGGTAATCTCCTACGACTGTAACTTCCAACTTTATTTTTAAAGCCAAATATGATAGTCATGGATTGATATTTAAGTCACACGTTGGTGAATACATCATACGTGTACATTAACTGTCGAATACATGGCGACTTACATTTATATAAATATCCACAGTTTAACTCAAATCATCAATGCTCGAAACGGTTTATCATATAACCTGGTGAGTTTAATGTTTAATTTATAATTATGGTATCGCATTTGAGTATGATTTGAGTATGATTTTAGTTGAGGCTTAAACAGAGCAATAAAATTGCATGAAACCTTTTGTGAAAATTTGAACGATTTTTCAAGAATCCTCCCTCAAAGTGTTACCAAAGTGCTCCCCGGGAGTGGAGGTTTCGTCTTGTGCAATCAAAATAATAGCGGGTAGTTTGGAGTTTGTAGCTTACATCTCTTAATTTAAAAACATATCGCCTCATTGAGAGGTACATGCAGATTTTGGCGATCTATCATGATAAAAGGCTTAATATTGTGAAAAGCACGAGTTGACACGGAGCGGTATATCTTAATGTACTTTTATCATCCCGAACTCAAACATTTCGGATACTCATTTCGCGAACGCGTTGTTGAGAATGGATTCGAGATGTACTCAAAATTAATACATTAAAATGTGTATTATCATCTTAATAACCACCTCACAAATTATTTTAGAAATCAAAGATGTACGATTTTTGAGATTTTTATTTTCGAATGTTGACTTAGTTACTCGACTTGACTGGTACATGAATTAGATGTACGTGCTCTTATTTGTTTATGATCAAAGTATAGCAATTTTGTCTAATACCGGAACGTAGAAAAAAGACGGTGAAACAAATGGTCTGATGATTTGTCATATAAAACTTTATAAAAGTGGGAACGACAGCATTCAGCAGTAAAACACCACAAACAGAAATGACAGACGATGGTTTCAAAATGGACAGTGATATTAATGTAAACGATGTTCAAGGCCAAAGAAACATTTCTGGACGAGATACCAATGCTATATCGGTTGATGTACAAGTTACAGAGGTTGTAGATAATGGCGATGTGATAGACGCAAGACGGAATGAAAACAGACATGATCAAATAATTGAGAATGATTCGGTAATCACAAGAGCAAACAATTACAGCATGGAAATAATGGACAAGACCTATACAAAAATTGGAGGCGCTCGTGGAAATGTGAAGATCGAACGCAAGTCATATACTCAAACTGATTTCGATGGCGAATTTGGTTTCTACATCCCAGATGAAAAAATAATACCGAAAGTAAAACGGAAAATCAAACGAGCATGTACCTGTTCAAAAAATGACATCTTACCGTTTATATGTCGCATTATTCCCATGATTGGAACGCTCAAAAACTATAAGTGGAAAAAGGACATTGTTGGCGATATTGTTTCAGGGATTAGTGTCGGAGTTGTCCATATTCCACAAAGCATGGGGTTTGCTGCATTAGCGTTCGTACCACCTGTCTATGGTCTCTATTCTGCCACGTGGCCTGTCTTTCTCTATTGTATACTGGGGTCGTCAAGACATGTCTCTTTCGGCACAATGGCCGTCATTGCCCTAATGGTTGGAGTTGTAGTAAAGAGACAAAGAGATGCATTTGAAAGTAACTATAATGGAACTATGACAAATCTAACCGCATATGAACAAGAAGAATACGACTTACAAGTGGAGCAGGTCAGTGTCGATGCTGCCCTCTCGGTGTCCTTTATCGCAGGAATGTTCCAAATAGGATTTGGCATTTGTCAGCTGGGTTTCATTACAATGTACTTGTCGGACGCTTTCATAAGTGCGTTTGTAACAGCTGCGTCAGTTCATGTTTTATCAAGTCAAGTTCGATTTATGCTTGGAATTCACACCCTGGTGTATCCCTACAGTGGGCCCTTAAAACTAATTTACACCTACAGGGACGTCTTCCTCAACATTCACGACTCCAACACCGTTGATGTCATCACGTCCGTTGTTGCTATAATCGTCTTAGTTGCGATCAAGATGGGAATCAACGAACGCTTCTCGCATAAACTCAAAGTCCCAATACCTGCAGACTTCATTGTTTTGGTCTCCGGGCTCCTAATATCGCATTATGGGAAATTTCACACCCATTATAACGTCAAAGTTATCGGTGAAATCCCCCTCGGAGTTCAAACGCCAAGGATTCCTCCAATGGAGGGCGCTACTGGTTATATTGGTGACGCAGTTGTAATTGCTATAGTTGGGTATACCATTGCCATCTCTATGGCAAAGCTATACGCTCAGAGATACAAATACACCGTGAATGATAACCAGGAAATGATTGCTGGTGGTGTAGCTAATGGAGTCGGGGCCATCCTCCATTGTTTCGCAGGGACCGTAGCGCCACCTCGCTGTATTCTCCACGAGAAGGCCGGTGGAAAGACACAGATCGCTTTCGTAGTCTCAGCCCTGATTTTATTCCTCGTAATCATGGTGATGGGACCACTATTTTATAACATTCAGAACTCCTTACTTGGAGCTATTATATGCGTAGCAATAGCACCGATGTTTGGACATGTTCGTAATCTGAAACTCCTCTGGAACATTGACAAAATTGACTTTCTTATCTGGCTCGTTACCTTTCTCGCTGGAGTCATCCTTGATCTTGACTATGGTCTCTACGTTGGTGTCGGTTTCTCCTTTCTCACTATCATCATACGCTCTCAGTTCATAAACAGCGCCAGTGCCTCGAATGCGCCCAACACGGAGATATACGTTGACCATAAAACATACAATGTCAAGAAACCTACCCGCGTTTACGTATACCAGTTTAACTCACCCTTACTCTTCACGAACGTGCAGTCGTTCAAATCAAGATTGTTAAAGGAAACTGGGCCGCCATTGGAGATAGAGAAAGTTTCTTTAGAAACAACTGGAATTGAAGTCGGAGAAACTGAACGAAGGAAAGCCATAGTGATAGATTGCAAGGCTATTGCATACGCTGACTCTGCCGGGGCGAAGTGTTTGAGGAAGCTACAGAGCGAATACCGGGCGGCGGGACAAGACTTTGTGTTTGCGAACTGTACAAAGTCCCTCCAGACATTGATTATCAAACAAATCAACATTGACGGTGGAGTAGTTTCCGACTCTGACTTCTATATTACAGTGCACGATGCAGTAGTTGACTTGACTTAAAGGCCCCATGTAACGTTTAGAAATATGTTTTATCATTCAATTACTTTTTTTCGGGATGTTTCAAAAAGAAATTTGGGTTATTAAAGTTGTCAGCTTTTATTTCTCAAATTCTCAAAATTTCCGCCATTTTTCAAATAAAAGCTTTTTGAAAAAACAAATATGTTAAACTTTCAAAATAAATCAATGTTGATTGTCTTACGAGGTCGAAAAAAGATTATATCTAAATATTACTGTGCCATTGGTTTCTATGAGAACTAAAATTTGGAAATGCACTTTTCATTTCTCGCTTATTAACCAATTTTCTTAATTTTTCCACAAAAGACACGTGAGGATGAATGCTAAACATTGATGTTAACCATCGCTTTTTAAGATATTTGTGAGCTCTGGAATTTAGTTTTAAAAATTCACGATTTTTTAACAAAACGTTTTTCAAAGACAGCTTTTCGAATTTAAAACAAGTTTCACATATTTTGATAATATTGGGTAAGACTCACAGTGAAACTACAATATAAGCCAAAGTGATTCAAACTTCGTATGGGGCCTTTAAGCAAACATACTTCAATTTTTGGTATATAATCATATTAATATGGTTACCAAAATCTAAATATAATATATGCCTTGAAAAATATCTCATTCCTGAAAAACTGAGACACAGTGATCATATATTAGAAATGAAGATTGAAAAATAAAAATCTAAATGACCGCAAATGTACAAAATGTCCAGAAATAGTGTTAAAGATGAACTGCATTTTGTTATGAGATTGAGATATAAAAAATATAAAAATGAGCGCACTTTAAAACATGAATGAAGAAGACACTGAGACAAGTTTCTGTATATCATGTCATAATCAAATATGGATGAAATATATAAGGGTTATGTACTGGGAGGTTTTGGATATGGGGTTTATCCAGAGGGAGATATGCATATCTACCTGAGGGACCGTAGGGACCGAAGGTAGATGTGCATATCTCACGAGGGATGAACCCAATATCCAAACCGACCGTACATAACTGCTTTATCCTATACCAAGTAGAGCTTTCAGGGGCATATGGCCATTTCAATAGTAAGGTGCAAAAAACAAATCATTCATATGCAAAGTCATTTTATTGCATTACCGGAAGCGGGAAGATATGCACCGGAAGCGGGAAGATATGCACCGAAGCGGGAGATATGGCGGGAGATATGGAGGTTCTGGATATGGAAACCTCAAAATCAGGAATACGGGATATATCTTACCAACTTATCTCCCTAAAACTCTACTTGGCATAGGATAATATACATTTAATTGAAATGAACTTAAGAGAGATTCATAACCTGGCAGCCATCACAACACAATATCTATGTATGTAGATTAATGTATTTAAATAATATACTGTAGCTTTATAAATGTAGTTTGTTATAAATATAGTCTGGCCACACCCTGATAATACAATGACCGTGTTTTAATTAATTCTAAATTATGTTTTTGTAATTGAAATAGTCCATGAGGATACAGAAATGATTTAAGGTGTTTCAAAATATATTGCACAAGTATGCGTGAGACTAACTCACTCAGTTGATAGTGGTAATTTGACTTTTTGACGCCTTTTCTCGTCCTTTGCCGTATCTATATGGTTTTCCTCCAATAACTTCGCATATTGTTTTTGCAAGCCTATGTCCATAAATATGTCACTCATAGCGGAGCTGTTATAACTAGCTTACCACGGTATGTAGGAACTGTCACATAAATTTTGCTGTCTGAATACAACATTCTGGAACTGCAATGTGAACTGAACTTATAACAATAAATCAGGGGGTTGTGAAAGGCTAAAATATATTGGTCCAAGGCAGTAACCCATAATGCATTAAGTGTAAATCAAATGCTTAAATACTTCTTTGGTCCCAATAAATCTATTTTTCTCAATCCTTGATATAAATGAATCAATGGGAGGTATTTACTTTTACATACCTGTTTATTACCCATGCCAAAAATGAAGATGATCAAATAAATACTTCTTCAGTTATAAGCATTTTTCATAGCACCCCCAAGAATTTGTCGTCAAGGGGGGTAAAACTCAAAAATGACAACTTTCGCACCAGAAATTGATGTTAGACTGAGTGGATTCTAATGTAGGCTGATAATATGGTTATATTTAAGCAATAAAATTATCCCCAGCTCCCGACCGTGACCAACCTTGCTATACAGCCCACTATAAAGGTTTTCAAAGACACATTTTGCTCCATTGTATCCCAATAGATTTCTCAACAATCTGTTAACATATACGAGGGGTGATCCAAAAGTCTTGGAAGCCCCGCTCTAACTTTGCTATTTTTTAAAATAATTACATGAAACTTTCAGATAATAAAGATCAACATCTTAACAACTTTATGTATACGTTTCAACAGAAAATAATATATTTTAGCTACTTTTCTAAATATCTATTAATACCGGGTCCCTGCTACCCGGAACGGTATTTAAATATAGCAAATCACGTCACAACTGTTATAATATGGCAAATACTTTAGGTGCAGGTGTACAACCTAACATCAGTCATGATATGAGAGAATTTTCGATTTTCAATCTGAGTGTCATCTGCCATCATCATCTTCACATATGAAGACCTACTTTTCAACATATTTTCCACGAATTTGAACACATTTATCATACCTCTTTACCAATGAATGGAAGACATTTATGAAACCGTCATTGCTTACATGATACAAATGCTGCTGGAGTGCTACTCTAAACCTCATTCAATGAGTAATAAAAAACATTTCCCTTCAACCATCCTTTCAACTTGGAGAAAAGGAAGAAAATCACATGGAGCCATAGATAGACTGCATTGTGCATGTGGTAGCTGCTCAAGATCAATAATAGTGAAAATATATTGAAGTATTTTTTTGTTCCACTTTGATTTCTTTCGTGTTCTGCATTTCAGCAGCCATCTTGCAGCAAAATTGATACCAGAATGAGGGTTGCTTCTCTGATGTCATTTTCTTAGAATTTGACACAAACGGCCATTGTCATATGTGACATTATAATTAAAACACAATCAATTGGTTGCATCGTAACAAAGGAAGTAAACTAACATGGTTTAACATTCAAAATTCAAAGAAATATAGTGGTCAAGACTTGCGAAACAAGTGAAATGGCGGTAACATTTAAGGCTGAAAGTTGCTATGTGCGAATACCGTTCCGGGTGGCAGGGTTGCTGTATAAAAGACTATCTAGAAAACTATACAAAGTATATCATTTCTCCATGAAATTAATACACAAAGTAGTTAGGTTGTTGGTCTTTATTATTGGAAAGTTTAAAGTAGTTTTATCAAAAACCAACAAAAACAGAGCAGAGCGTCCAAGACTTTTGGATCACCCCTCGTAGTAGTGTAGTTTTTGACTGTGACAACATTCTAAACTAAACTAAACATAACATATCATTATATATTATATTACATTTATTACAGACACATATACATTTACATATGATTATGTACAACTCAGTTAGAAGAAAAGAGCATGCAAATTGCATAAAAAACTATTAAGTAGGAATCTCTGAATTTAGAAATTCAACAAATTTGTTGAACAAAATGTGAACTAAAATAATGTTTATTTGAACTCAAGCATATATGATTTACTTATTTGGTGAAACAAAGAAACTTTATATCATATCCACATTAAGAAATCATAGTTTCTTTTAAAATATTTTGGAGCACATATTAAAATAATCCAATTAACATAGTGAAAGTACAGTCATGAGCGATTTTTGGACACGGTACCAAAGTGTGTTTATTTACAATGCAACAATATGTACATGTATCTAGTTTAAACATTTACAATGTGTTAAAACACACATTACATTGGATATGAATTCAAAATACAGCCTAAACCTGGGTGAACAAAACTCATCATATTCACCAAGAAAATTTGAGTAATTTGATTGACAGTACTCGAAACTTCGATAATGAGCTCAGTGCTATTTACTTTCTGACTTTCAACAACATACAATCTAACACACTTTATATTTGAAATTGGGAAGCATTAAACTGCTGGCCAAAATGGTTTAAAAATGTGAGCATGAACTTTGTCTCAAGGATTAATAACTGTCAATGTTTTATTGGGCTGTACGCTAGATTGTAATTTACTATTGCACTTGTAATGCTTTGTTTCACTGCACCATAAAAATCTTGGGAGGCACCAATAGAATTCCTTTAAACAACTAACCATCTCGCAACAAGTCCTTGGCTTATATGCTCCTACCTCCATTTGATCAAGTACAGGGGCTCATTGCAAGACTGCCAGTTTGCTATTAAGGATAATATCTATAATATCCAAAATCATCTTTGAGGTTTCATGACTAAAATGTGCAATAAAAAATGGTTCAATGATAAACAGCAAAGTCTGCCAAATCTGAATACCTATGTCCTTCGAGATACCACTGTTCATGCAAGTATATAGCATGATTAATATGTATGTACATATAGAAGGCAATTTTTTCAATAATTTGCAAATTGTCCAAGTTAAGATGAATAATATTTTGACACATGATGTCAAATGAGGTAAGATATATACCAAATTGATCATTTTTGGGGATAGCTTAGTTGGTGGCATAAGTTGGGAGCTGCAGTTCACAAATGATAAAATCTGCAAAAATTGCTAATAATCAATATTACAATCACAGTTACTGTAGCTCTTGAAAAATACATTCATGTATTAACAGTTTAATTGAAGGATGCTTGGTAGAATGTAGAGACTCTCCACTGCATATATATACAGGGTGGTCCAAAAAAAATTGGAACATTTGTTAATTGAACACAAAACCTTTATTTTTCGTCCGAAATGTACCAACATTTTACTAAGCATAGTTCAGTCACTTATCATTCTGAATTTAAGTTTATAGGAGCAAATCACAAAGTTAATGCATTAAACTAGTCAATGTTTGATATGACCCCCTTTTCTTAAATATACACTTGTCAATTTCGCCGCTACTTTTTCAAGTTTTTCAAAATTTCAACGCTTTAATGAATATGTTGATTGCTATACACATTTTATAAAATCATATTTAGTTGAAAAGAGGTATTAACATATATGGTTTACTAGAAAACTATTGTGTTATTGTTAACTTAAGAATACCCCAAATCATTATTTGTATTAAAGAGTTGGAAAGAAAGAACATGTAAGAGGTGAGTGATTGCATAACCCATGCAGCTACTAAAGTGACAAAATCATTGTTTTCACTTTTCAGTGAAGGGGAAACTGACCAGTTATTTACAAGGCTTTATTCAAGACCACCTCTAAGCACATATAATATATCATTTGTGTTCTGGGAAACTCCTTTATGATATTGATATACATATATTTATATATTCAATGAATATTATCCATATTAGAACAAGAAAGTGGGAGGGGGGCTCATTTACCAGTCAAAACAGATGTTGAGTGTGTTCACATATTTGATCTTCCAAGGCAAACATATAAGTAGTTTGTTCAAGCTGAATTTTTTAATCAAGATGGCTTGGACAAAAATCAAACAAACAGCAAGGTGAATGAATCATTTCTAAACTGAGTCCCAGGCTTCAACTTGTAATTCAGGAGTTGAGGGGTCATATCAAACATTGCCTAGTTTAATGCATTAACTTTGTTGTTTGCACCCATAAACTTTACATCAGATAAATAAGTGACTGAACTAAGCTCAGTTAAAATTTGGTGCATTTTAGAAGAAAAATAAAGGTTTTGCGTTCAATTATCAAATGTTCCAATTTTTTTTGGACCACCCTGTACAAGCCTCGTTAGAATGTTCCTCACCTTTTTCTGAGAAAAAAAATAAGAGGGGAGGGTGTACTTGTCCAAATGAGTATACAGGTAAAATAAAAAAGTTGTAATTAATAATTACCTAGAAAAAGCAATTGAGAGAGGGTAATCTCTGGGGGTCATAATGATTACGCATTCATATTTAAGTTCTCTTATATGAATAGCTCATCCCGTTATAAAATTATTAACAGAACCTGATCATTTCATTAAACATTATATACAATGATCAAGGAGACAAGAGTTTTGAGTATTACATAATTGTTACCTGAATTATAGAAAATGATAATAGACCACCAGTAGCTTATGATTAATGCGGCTAACCCTTTAGAATAGTAGCTAGCAATGTTAGCTAGAATCTATTTTTATCTTCAACATATTCCTCATATATACTTTATAACCTCTTGCGCCCTCTTTATAAGTGTTAAGAGACTAGAAAATATAGAAATGTCAATGAACATTGCACTAATGATGCACCATGCACTGGAGTACTCATACTTCCTTTATGCCCATTTGAGTCATTTCACAAAACACACTCACTTTCATGAGTACCTTTCCAATGAACAGATTACATTTCACAAGTGAACACTTTTCAAGTGAACACTTTGCCTGCATACAATGCTCAAGTGAATACCACTCTAGGAAACATTATGTGAACACTTCTTTAATGAAAACCTTGTTATTGTTCCATATTCTAGTGAGTAGTGAACACCTCTGGGTTATGGAGACCTTGTGAGTTCTAATGAGCAGTGAACATTATATTGAATGATAATGGAACATATTCAATTGAACTGTTCTCTTAAATTACACATGTTTGATGTTAGGCCTACACCACAGTTCTATAATGCTACTATCCATAACTAACATTCCCACATATGCGACGCGTAGAACATGACATGACACTCCCACTCGTAATAAAAGGTCCATTGTATGAAGTCTTTGGTTGATCATCTTTCCTTTGTTATAACATTGATGCCAGTTGCCACAAAATAGGCTTCTTGAAGGAGTGTTTACCAGACTCATTATATTCTGATTTGCAGCCTCTGAGCATCAATTAGGTAAAGAGAATAGGACCATTCCTGGCTGAGTGTATCTGTTTTTATATACTGCTTCTCTGAGCATTAATCTGGTCCAGAAAACAGGACCATTCGGGCCAAAGTATCACGGCAGAGCAGAGTACATTATATTTCAGTTTGAATACTGTTTTTCTCAGTGTCATTTAAGTCTAATGGAATTGGTGGTTCGTTGTGTGTGATTGGCTTGTACTTCTTCAATGTCTGGCTGTAAGGAGTGACTTGAACCTTATGACGCAACAAGGTAGCAGCAATTGGAGAATCTGGAACATGGGAAATTACTTATAAAGCTTGTAGTTAATTAACAAACAGTACATTAAGCTATACAATTTGTAAATGGTACTCTAAATTGTATATGAAATTAAGTTCAGTGAAACCAGTATTATATATGGAACACTCTCAGTATTGACCAAATTATTCCTTGTAGACTGGAGTTCCTTACAAAGGGTCCATTAACATGTAAGTCAACTGAATCTGATTCTTCTGAAAACTGCCCCATATAGAGAGGTGATCCATCAGAGAGATGCAAGCATGGCCAGAATAATACTTAATAGCATAAGTCACTGACTTACCTTTGATCGAAGTGGACTCATAGAGGGAGGTTTTCCTGGTGAATCCTGGAAGTTTTGTGGTAGAGGGACTCTGTATTTCCATAGGTGTTTCACAAGCTTGCTTCCACATTGCTAGAATACATTAATGATGAAAATAAAAGGTTATACTTTAAACAGTTGAAGGGGTAAGAGTCAATGTATCCTCATTATTGGCAAAACAAAGCAAATAACTACAATTAAATACAATTAAATACAATTCTTTTCTCTGACTTTTTTGACCATTTCAGCTTTTTAGTACCAATATTCAATCCCCTGACTTTTCCAGCTCAATGGAAATCATTTTAGTTTTCTCTGACTGTAGTACTATGTTACCATGGCATTGCCTTGACACCAAACAGCAAATTCTTGAACATACCTTGATCTAGCAAATGTTGTTGGAATCCGTTGAACCATTTGGAAAGATTGTCACTGTCTGTGGCTGATAGAGTATGCTGGAACTGCTCATTGTCTTGCATAGTGATTATATGGAATGTATGTGGGCGTGTCATGCTACCAGGATCTGCATCACAGATCTGAGACTCCTGTAAATAGATTAAAATTTTTAAGGGGAAACGGAATGTGACCAATGGATAGTGATTACTGGTTCATGTGATGAAATTAGTTTTATATTGTTTCCTTGAAGTGACATAGACTCAAATCCATTTTTGTCTCTGTATCCTTGTTTTGGAACATCAACAGTGACAAATTACATTCATTGTTTTTATATGTGTGCTTGTTCATTAATGACAGAGATCACGGTAGACGTTCGCCATTCGCCAATCGCGAATTTTCGAAAGAGGTGGCGAAAAATATGTAAAGGTATTTCGCAGTTATGGCGAATTAGAGTTGTCACGGTTTCCCGATATTGGACCGAATTTCGGTCCAGATGCTTCGGTTCGGGACATGGGACAGAAAGGGTTAATATCGGTACATAGATTCCTTCCCTAGAATGCATAAAAACGTGTATAAATAGCGAGGAACACCTCCAACTTCGTTCTGAAAAATTAAATATTTTCACTTACCTCGTACCTAGTTTACACTTCTTTGCATTGAAAAGTGTTATTAACGGACCCGCGATTTCAGGTAGATGGTAATGCTTGTTCGTAAATTTCTTCATCGTCGTTCGCAAATCGAGTGCATTATCAGTATGCCGGATGTAGGAAAGAAATTGAAAAATCGAGCCGGCATCTAAGTCGAAAAAGTCGGCAGTTTGGAAGTATTTTGGGACTCCGATATCACAAGGAAAACGAATTGGTGATATTACACCGTGCAGACTATGTGAAATGCCGATCACATTCGCGGCAGATGCTTTACATTCAATTTTAATTGACGTTTTTTTATTTCTGAATATGATTTTGAAAGTGAAACTGAAAGTGAAACTGTCATCATCAGACATTGCATCATTTTTAATGTTCCCTTTTTTACGGTTTTTCAAAATGGCTAATTCATATTTTGGTTGGCGAAATTTTTTTTGGAAGATTTAGCCACAATGGCTAACAAGTTTTTTCAACTATCGTGATCTCTGTTAATGAGCAAATGTTTATGGACATCATTATCATCCCTAGCTATAAATACAGAAAACAAATCTTTTTTGATATTTTCATACTGATTTTTTGTCTAAATCTTAAGATGAAGTACTCAAAAATGTCATTAATCTTGGTTAATGTATAGACTGCTTTAATGACTGAACTCTCTTACTTTGGTAATAGGTATCGTTAATATTGGTGTATCTTCCATGTTGACTTCATCTTCACTTCTCCAGCAGGTCAACTCTAAGTTTTTCAAAACACACCACAGTTTGTCCCATTTACTTTCACCATCCACAGTTTCGTCATTTTCATTTATTTGCTGCAACACATAATAAAGAACTGAATACAGATGTATTAAATATATGATTTTTTGGGGTTTTATTCAACAAAATTGGATTTGTGTCCTCATTATGAAAGGAGACAGAGTATCCAGGTAAATGTTGTCAGATGTACTAAGGTGACATCTATACATGTACAGGGTGGTCCAAAAACTAGTATTTCAAATAAAAACATTGATTTTATTGATGAAAACATGTCATATTATATACCAGTGGATAGGAAATTAATTTAATTATCTATAACTAAGTATATCATAAGTTTAAATTCATTATAATACACGTCAAACAGCGTTCATAATACAAACATCGTCATTTTTGTTTCAAAACGGGTTTTCAAAAACTTGTGAAAAGTTTTTTGTCAACAGAAACAGATGTTTAATATGTCCTCCATTTGAATTGATTTCTCCTTTTTGATCAATTATAGCCCTCATTCCTGGCATAATCTGGTCAATAGCATCATTGATATGCTGTTGAGACAATGAATTCCACTTCTCAACAAATCTGTCCTCAAGGGACTGAATGGATGAAAGGATTTCATGATACTGTACACCAATTTTGTTAGTTCTCCCCACATGTGGTAGTTGCAGACGTTGGCATCAGGTGATCTGGGGTGTTGAGAAGTGGAATTCATTATTTCAAAAGCATATCAATGACTATGCATGACATTACCTGTAGATGTAAGTACCCGGAGATCTGATCTTCTACAATACATGCAGGTTGAGCTGCTATCTTGCAACAATAGGCACCAAACAATGGAAGTTCATGCCCAGTCTCTGTCAAATAGAAAGAAGGGATTGTAGGATTTAGGATATATTACAGAAAATGTAAGACTTTAGCATGTAACCAAAATTTTACTTCATACAATTATATAAGCACCTAGCACTACCACATTTTAATAAAATCTAATCATGTGCATAATACATAAGTACTTTTTAAAGAAAACAATGCTTCAACCAACCCACCATCAATGTCCTCTATGGCAAGATCAAAGGTTCCAGTATCCTCTTTGGCATCTGATAGTCGCATAGTACCTTGGGCAATAAGCTCAAACTTTGGACCACTGGAAAATAAAATATACAAGTACATGTATATATGGTGAAAAACTTATAGAAAATTACAGTTTCCTCTAAGATACTTGAAATAATGCGAAAAACTATTACTGAATGTTCTTTTTACTTACATAAGCATGTTGCCAAAACAATCTCCATCATCTTTCTGAAATTAGATAAATGAAATTTGTGATGATCAGTTTTGTAAAATCAGCCCGGAAACTTAGTGTATGATTTTGCAGGGGATTTGATAAATTGTTTAAGGAAATTGTATTTCCTGGGTGAACATTAGAGAAATTCTACTTATCAAATAGTTACTGAGCTGGACAAGACAAACAATATGAACCTAAAAATGACTGAAACAGTGCCCTAACACATAGGCCCCATCAATGGCCTTGAAGACTGGCATAGATGACAACAGTTTCAGTGGATTCAATTCAACACTTTTACAAATTGCTTTAAAAATCTCTCAAAAATATCTAAAACCTTATGATATCGAGAATAGAAATATTTTGGTAAATAATTATGGGGTCAAATGAGACACTAATTTGATTTATGTAGCGTATTAGAGGATACAACAAAATTTACATGAAAAACCAAATTGGACTGGTTTGAAGAAAACATACAAGAGAATTAGTGATCTGATATACATGTAACTTACAAGTCCTGAAAGTCTTCTTCCAACACTCTTCCCGACTGTGTTAGAGAGATTGTTCAGTTTCTTCTTTATCTTCTTTGGTGTACTAGCTATTGTCAGATCATCATAGACCTTGTGGCAGTAGACCTCTAACTTGCACTCAAAGTCATGACCAATGTTCTGGCTGAAATGATTATCATTATAAATCATAAATGAATGGAACAGATAGAATGCACTGCAGATTTCTTTTAATGATCAGAATCTTAAAATATCATTATTCTATTTGAAAAAGCAATGTGTTGCTTAGGGGAGGAGTTATGAAAATAACCTTAGCAAAATGTACATCCATTTCTTAGAAAATTGTGATGACAGGTTAATAACACTAGAACAGAAACAAGATCCATGAGTAAATGTCAAAAGCTGTAACTCATGGCTATGATTTTTTGGGATACTTTGTTCGTGAGAAAGTGCAAGAAATCTCCCTTTTTCTACATACATGAAACAAGAAAATGATTTTATAACGTAACTAATGTAATAAAAATATTTGCTTACAATACTAAGTAATCGTCAAACGAGAGATCAGTAAGGCTGCGATCAACATCCTTCAGGAGAGACGTGTCATATATCTCTGTGCCGATTCTCAGGAGACAGAATAAAGCATAGCGACGATGGTCACCTTTGTTCTTGAAATGGTCGACATCTTTCCACATCAGTGGGATTCGTAAATCTAAGCAAAGAAAATCGCAATTAGATTGTAAACAATTTTGACAAGACAGCATAATGGGCAATTTAGGAAGTTAAACCAAAATATACAAGACTTTAAAATGAAGAGAGCAAATAGGAGTCAAACAGGCCTTTAACAGGGTTGATGTTTTATCTTGTTCTATATCTGTAAAGTATGTCTAATACTGTATGTGTGCATTACCTGACACAGCTACTCTGCCTTTACATGCAGCCTGATTCTGTAGACTGGTACAACTGAAAGCATTGAATATGGTAGAAGATTAATATATAATATTTGCTGAATGCATATAAATCATAATTACGCAAAGAGACTCATGAAACATTTGATGATGAAACATAGGATCTACAGTAATCAAAAATCATGAATCTGAATGGCATATGCTGTCACGATATAAACTGCCAATATACAATCAAAACAATTTTCTTGATAATTGCACAGTTCTTGATAATCCTATAATTCTTGATTATCAACTACCCTAATCAATTTCAAGACTTGCAAAAGATTAATAATATATAGAAAATTTCACCCTATTTCATCATTGTTTATAACTCTTTTTATGCCAGGGTTAAATATGCCACTACCAGGGTTAGATCAAGGGGATGTCACAAGGGGTGCCTCGAGGTGGTGCCAGAATATAACAACTGCCAGGGTTAGAGATACCAACCACAGAGGTTTCACAAAGGGTACCTGCCATGAGAGATATGCCAGGTTATTATTACACTGGGGAAGCCACAAGAGGTGCCAGATTATGGCCACTGCCAGGGTTAGACCAAGATGTAAACAGGCTTTAGTCTACATAAACATACACACTTCTTGAATATATTTGCTTTGACATTGTCCTTGAATAGTATAAACTAGCAGTATATACGAATCATGTAACAGATCCAATGTGGAAGTGAATATGTTTCCAATTATAAGACTGCCATAATTGAGTAAAATATGAGTGTAACTTGAACTTACAAATCCTAAGAATGTGGATGTTTCTCCTATGAACCTGTGCAAACTCTTTTTGCTGGTAGCCGGTTGCATAGGATACGATTGGGAATTTGTTGCATGCAAAGGATCAGTATTCAATATCTTAAGGTAGTTCCACACTTCCAGAAAAAAGTTGATAGCAAAAATATCAGAGAAATCCCAAGACAACTTGTCCCCAAGACAACTCGTTGAGAGTGATAAAAGGATGAAATCAGGGATATTAGGGATAAGTTGGTGTAACTAATCAACTTTGGCATCTCAGAGCCCCACCTTTATTAAACACCAACAGCAATCACCTTGTCTAAAATTAACAATTCACTCACATGTTTTTCTTCATGACTTCATCAGTCTTTCGTTTCTGTAGTTCAGACATGTATGCCATCATACGTGTGTTGGAAACCAAGAGAGTCTTGGCTGCTTCTAGCATTTGTGATGGGTGCTTTGACGCTGCAAGAAGTTTCGCAGTCCCGTCTCGCATCTTAATTTCCCTATCAATCTTCTGCTGCAAATCATGATCCTGAAAGTAAAAAGCACATTATGAAATGGTTGATCTCAATTTCTATATTGGATGATTTCTTGCAAGATTTGAGAATTTTAGTTTTGAATTTAGCAGGGAATAGATAGTCCATAATCAATGATAAATTATTTATAAATTAAAGGTGGGTTGGTAGGATCAGGGTTTTCAGATGTAGAAATATCGTCACTCCCACATTTAGGAGTATTCTGATGAAGGGCATCATTGCACGCTCATCTTCACTACATTGTTCATTCAGATCGACTGGAGTCGAGTGAATGAAGATGGAAGGATGGTGAAGATGTAGCGTGAACAACATTATATAGATCAATGCAAGCCCCTGATGTTGACCAACATACACTGACTACTACTATTATATACCAGTACCTGTACTTTCCGAAAGTATTTTTGCAATTCTAGAATAATTCAAACTCTTGCTAATTTTCACTTCTTAACTTTGAGTGGGTGCTAACCTTTTACAGATAGGTGGCAGTCCATTTCAAAACATCAAGTTAGCTTCAAAGTTGGAGATATCAATGTACATGTACATCTTAAAAGATTTTATATTGAAAATTATAGTGACCATACCTTGTGCCACAATCAGAACAATTGTTTTAGGAAGCTGAATACTTTAACCAAATCTATAGGATATATGTGACGTATAACTGAAGCTTCCCTTATAGGTAATTCTAAGCATGTAAAATATGACAGAATGCTTATATAAATACAACTGAACACTATCAAATAGTTAACTGTTCCTGAACACTTGTGTATTAACTGAAAAAACTTTTATTTGTAAACTAAAAAATAATGAACTTGAAAACCATGAGTTACTAAATAAATTCAACTGAAAACTTAATTATGAATTAGAAAATCAACTGAACACTTAATTATAAACTTAAAATTTGATTATCTATTGAACACTTAATTATCAACTGAACATCTTCTTATCAACTGAACACTTCAAATCTATTTGCTAACCTGACAGCCAGGACTTCTCATTTCAACATCCGTATCTTCCCCATCTTCTAAAACCATAGGTGTACTTAACTGACAGTTTTTCAAAAATTCATCTCCATTTTTATGTGAGTTATCCTTTTTGGCAACTTTTGTGTATGACACAGGGAAAACGTGACATTTTCTCTTCATTTTTTTCTCATCAGGATCGACTGAATGTACCCTGTGTATCATCTTGAAAACTGTTTCACTAACTGACTTATTTTGATTTTTTAATTAAACTACTGTAAAGCTCTCCTCCTACATTGTTTGTTTAGTATTTTGTGACATTTTTTTTATTTTTAGCTCCCAGCCAATGGCTATTTGGAATCCGCCTCCACTTTGAACTGATGTGACAGCAGCGCCACATAGAACCTGGGAATGAAACCTGAATGAGTTTTTGTTTTTAAATTAATTACAATAAACACATTTTCCACTACTATAAAACTAATTCACAAAGATTCCTATTTTCAGAAGAGAAAATCAATTATCTGTCATTTATAAACAATCAATGTTAAGATTTCAGAAGATGTCATGGCTATATCTCCTCAATTTCGGTGGGATTTTACTTTGTTTAAAAATTGACAAATTCCAAACAGAAAATGCTAACGAGTTACTACCTATTTATCAAAATTAGTTTTAGGAAGTCAATGAACTCAACTTTAAATTCAAATATATATTTATATAGGCATTTTATGGCATGTTGTTTTTGGAGGTTAATGTAACAAGACAAACAGATCTCTGACCATGAGCAAAATTTCATGACTGCCATATTTAAAAACACAAAACAAAGTAAAAAGAGAGGAATTGGCAAGAAATATTACATACTGGACTAAAAAACATACTCTAAATTATATAGAAATTCAAGAAAAACAGAAAATTCATTCAAATTTTAAGGAGAAATCTTACAGAATAAGCATGAACGTGAGACTGCTGTTTAGATGACTGGTATCTAAGTGATGGTTCAAGGTGTACACCTTACATGAGTAATATAGGAAACCACACATTTCCTTTGCCAGAAACACTACATGCAGTTTACATGTTATTTGATGTGACTTCCCTGACTCTGATCTAATCTATGAGATACCCTCAGCTATGATGCTATGATTCAATCACTGGAGAAGCAGACATATTTTTACATAACATTTCTTCAAATTACATTATATATCTACAGTATCTGGAATTGGAGGCCAAGGATATGAACTGAAATGGAATATGTATCACAAGCGCCAAAGAAAAGACTAAGGAGAAAATATAAGGAGAAAATGAATCATCTAAGAGTTCAAACTGTCATAAGAAAACAAACCCCAAATATCCCATACTATGATATAACATCCACAATTCAGGAGCCATTATCACAATCCAAGACAAAAAGACCATGGGACATTTCATTCATACAAACAGTCGAAATATTGAGACATGCGCAGACCTCTATTTAGTGATATTTTCATTTCAAATATGGCGGCCAATCCGATGTCTGACGACCCTTACAAAGAATCTAGGCAGTTTGCATTTTTACCTCCTGTGAAATAACAAGTGGAATTTAGTAGTTGTTTTGTGTTTTATTATCATTCTGCATCGTAATTCTATGTGATGTGGTGTTGAAATGTCAGCAGAAATACATATCCATACGATAATCGAGTGAATCAGATAACAGATTTTTCGAAAACCCGTCTCGTGCTAAGAGTGTAAAAACTTGTATTAACATGCTCAAAAGTGCCAATGTGCACATCAATGTCAAGCTAAATCAATGTTGTGTCTAAAACAGGTACCTGATCTACTCAAAACAGCTTGTCATTCACGTATACACGCTTAGCAAACACGGCGAAATGACCTGAATCTTGGAATTTCGTTCAAGAGCTAGTAATGTTTGCTCCGGTCTTCGTCATAAGTGTTCATCAGACTTCACGCATGCGCATGAGAAAAACCACCAACCAATAAGGTTTATAAATCAATTTTGCGCATGCGCCTTACAACGGTAAAGAAATTCGTATTTATAAACGAACCAGTTTGAGATAACCCGATATCAGTCGGAGAAATCTGACGATCTACGAAACTCACTTCAAAAAATCAAATGCGGACTGACGGCGTATTCTACTATGTTTGGATCTAAGATTTTCAGTATAGATAAAGTCTTTTATGATCTTTCGAATGAGGTAAGTTTCTAGTTCGAAAGACAATTGTATCAACTTGAACAAAAGTTGAGTTTTGACGAAAAATTTTAACATGCGCAGAAGTCCCATTTTCGTTGTACCATATTGACTGCAAAGTTCATATTATTTACATTATATGTTTTCTCTGAACTCTGGGGTTCTCCCCTTGGCAAATGTTATATACTTCAAGGTCAAGGTCACCCTCCCTGTCAAAGAATGACACAATGTACTAGAATAACCACATTACTAACCCTGTATTCTCAAGACAAGATTGCACTCTTTAGTAAGTAACTTACAAGAGTAACATCCTTTTTATTTGTGACACCATACATTCATTTTAAAATATTTATATGTAGTAGGAAGGGGGAGTACATGGGGTTGTAGCTAGACTATCCATTTATCTGTAACACCATGCCATATTTAGCTTTAAAGCCAGGGTACATGTTCGGAATTTTGCTGCATTCCTCAGAAAATTCAGTGAAAAACTTTTCTGAATTTCTTCACTGAATTTTCTTGTTTTTTATACATTTTGTTTTTTGTACATTTGTTTTGACATACATTAAAACATTCTTCTCTACATTCTTTTTTCCCTACATTAGTGCACTCGTTGTGCAAAAGTGAGAGATGTAGACATTGTGGAAGAGTGATTCAAATTTGAAAAATAACATGTGACCCTATTGAGGGTTGCAGCAAAATTCCGAACATGCACCCTGACCTTAACATCATGTTATCTTGTAACATCACATTTGCTTGTAACATCATATTTACCTGTAACATCATGTTTACTTGTAACATAATATTTCCTTGTAACATCACATTTACCTGTAGATCATATTTATCTGTAACATCATATTTACCTGTAACATCATATTTACTTGTAACATCATATTTACCTGTAACATAGTGGCAAGTTGTCTGTAATAATAAATATCCATATCCTCAATGACCATTGATGGCATTTTAGGGTCTGTCCCATTAGATTCATTTTTAGAGTTTGTTCGTTTCAACACGGATGTATTAGCACCATCACTCTCGTCAACACTGTCTTGTTTACCCTGTAGGAGTTTATATCCTATGGAACCCCGGATTGCTAGGGGGATGTTACCATTTGAATCACCTTCTGTATTAGGTGAGAATGCCATCATAGCGTTATCCTCTGTTATGTTTGATTGTTCGTGACTTTGATGACCCTTATTTCAGGGTCAGATATTTTATTTATCCTTGTTTTATCCTAGGATTTGATCTTCAGGATGGCCATGTATGAATCTCCTAATCATAATAACATTTTCCTTCGCCTGTTCACTGTAACGGAAGTGAAGATTTGACTTATCAACAAAGCCTTTTCCTCACATGGCTTTGACAATAAATCTATTCCTAACATCCACACATCTAAGTACATTTAGGTTGTAGATGTTTGAAATTGTATAATACTTCTATATCCTTTCATTGTATCTAACTGTTCCTGATTGTTAGTTTCAGTTCATGTACCAACATATAAGGTTTTACATGTCATGTATACCCATACAAATGTGTACATAACCTCGAAATTAAATTGTCACCAATATTCTGTATCAATATATTATGAGTTACCTTACAACAGAGTGCTAGGGGCACTGTATGTGTGCTGATATCCAGGTGTACTACTATATACTGAAACCACATCAAAGAAATCAACCACATTAACTCTACACTAAGAACTAGTGGTTAGCCATCCTTCATGTGTTAATATTGATCATGTAGTCAATTTGATCTCTGCTGTTTCCACTTTCCAGATTATATGTAGATCCTTGAAATATTTTTATACCTTCAGCTTGGATACAAAAGGGTAAATGCCAATCTGCTGGAATGATGAAGTTAAAATAATGACAAGCTCATTTCAATGCTTCTGTTTCCGTTTTGATCTCTAACATCTATATCTGTTAATTCTGGTAAAATCTATTTCCGTCCATGTGTAAAAGTTAATTACTTTTATCCTCTGTTGTATTGGTTTAGAACCTGCCGCTCCATCCAGAATTGAGTGAACTATTTCCTTCGAAATAATTTCCTGAGTGAAGCCACATGTTTTCACAATAACTGTAGTACGTGTAACACACAATACGGCTAATCTTATATGAGCTAATCTTGTATGTTTTAATGTTTTCCTATTACCAGCTTATGACATAATTGCCGGACTTCCCCCTGTTAATGTTTGCATTAGTGGCAATAATAATGGTCCATTATGACTCAGAATTGATCCACTGTTTGCAGATTTCACTTCAAATTCAGCTGTATGTACTTGTATTAGTACTTATGTTAACCACTGTATCCTATTACAATTGTGTAATATTATGTCATAAGTTCATTCAGAACATTAGATCATACTTTAACTGTAGTATAACTTACAGTGATGATGTCATCAGACCGTTCAGAGATAAAATATCTATTGATTGGTCTCTCAATACCAATATTAAACCTTTATCTGCCCAGTGTCCAATTAAAACTATCTTTGTTAAAAACTGCTCATGAAACTGAACTTAATCAATGAATCCAATTAAAATCAAATATACAAATAGTTTATAAACTCGGACCACTTGTCCAGTTAAACTTATCTGATGTACTCTAGTGTCCATAAACTCAATAAATCGTTTATAATAATACAATTAATCACTTCCTCAAACTCTATACAATCTACCCACATGTCCTTATTTCCATGTATTCCATTTAAACGTTGTTATTCTAGATTCCCTTCAACTGGTGAATGTTATCTCCATGTCCTCAGATAAATCCGGATCTGAAATAACCTACAACTGGATGTAGTATATGCAGAGTGTTTTGTAGTGTCTTTAACAAGTTTATAACTCAATATTCCTACATCCACTTTGTGTCACTTTTACCTCAAATGTAAGTACCCTCGACTGGCTGCAAAACAGTGTATTTTATAATCATCGAGCAGCAGGCATGAGCTCCTAAAATACCATTAGTCGTTCTTTTGTATTTTTTATATTGAGTTTATATTGACAGACTTCTAAACTTAAAACTATTAAAATGACTGTATGTACAGAGTATAGCATGGTTTAATTATTTCTTACTTGAAAGTTTCAAACCACAAGTCAATATTCTAGGCTTTTACTGCATGATCTTCTATAAATCTAATTGATGTCTGTAGTCATTGTAGACAGAGAGGTTTTAAGTTATTCCCTGTTGAGCTGATCCACACGTAATTTGCAGACAAAATTTCCTCAGAGATTTCTCAAAGCTCTTGAATTTCTGATTCCCAATTCTGCCTATGGTGTAATATATGAGCTGAACAGTAACAGATAAATCTAAACACAGATGTTCCTAGCTGGCTAAACACCTCAGAAATCCCAAATCAAGTGTATGTACACTTCCCCAGAGTAAAATATCATGGTACTCATGTTTTTAAATCAAAAGTAAAAATAGGTGAAATCAGCAAGGAATAAAGTTGACAGTCAGGGACTGAATACATTGATTATATGAAAAACCAGAAAATACAAGATCACGGTTAAATGGAGTCGAATCAGCATTATGGGGACGATTTATAGAGAGTACAATTGTACAGGGCACTAACAGGAGAGACCTTTAGGTGGAATATACACCACTGCTCAAATAAATGGAATATTAATTAATAACAAAAGAACATTTATAACTCTAGAGGTCATTAAGGGTGACATATAAATAACTATCAAATACATATAGACTGTAAATTGAAGAGAAATGTTCTTTATCGAGTAATGAGAAAATATGATTATATTCCAGAATTATTTCCAACAGTGTATATAACAAATCTTAGCATATGGCTCTTCATATTCAATGTCAATTTTTTAGTCAATGAACTGCCTCCCAACATTCATAAACTCTCAATATATTTGGTTTATTTTATTCAAGGGATGGGTCATTAAAAGTCAATAAGTATATTTTTAATAATTCATGTGACAAGTCTTAAAATAACAGGCAAGCAGATAAGGTTATAAGGTTCAAATAGAATGGGAGGGGTCAAGATATATAGAACTGTCATATTACTAATAAAATTAAAGTATGTAATGTCATCGAAGTTTGTCACTGTATCGTAGAGCTTTTAACTGTTGTATTATGTTCAAAGAGGCTAGAACTATACATCCTCGTACAAGTTCTGAAGGCCTGTGTTCAGAGGATGGGACAATAAGGTTTTGGTAAAGAGTGTGACATGATAGTCTGTCACACAGGAACAGGAAAGCAAATGTTGCAGCCCTAAAGTCATCACATTCAAACCTGGAAGTGATTAAAAGATTCCCTCTTTACTCCTAGAAGACAGCCAGTTCTTCAAATTTTCTACTCAATTTGGTTCATGAATTTACACTCAACACTCAACTGTACTCAACATTTACCATTCTCAACATAACAATTACTAGAATTGTACCCACCATGCATTTCGCCATAAGAGCTGATCAGACATCTCGATTCAGTCAACTGTAAAATTGTGAATCACAAAAAGCACAAAGAGCAACAGTGTAAAAACACAAGTAAAGCACACACAAAAATGTGTATAAACATATTTGGTTTTTATAAGCATACAAATTAACAATCAAAGTTAACAATCAAAACCAGATGAAAATTAAGCCATAGCTGCTCAGTAGGACTAGGAAGCGATGAGTCAGAGGGATTTGAATTAGGAATGTTTGAACTGTTTAATACAAAGTTTCCTTTCAGCTATCTCTATAAATGTCTAACATAGTGCTGCCACCTATCATAATTTCCTTACATTAAAAACATAATTGATCTGTTTCATTTGCAGCAGGTGATTTCTATGTATTTTTTATAACATTGCAACTGCTTCCATGTTAAAATTTGGGATATGACTGATGTGGTGTACCAATCAGATTATTAGATAAGTATTATCATTATTAGGAATACAACTTGTAAATCACATTTTATAGTTTTCCATTTCTTTAGATTACAGACAGCATTTGACTTGTTCCACTGGCTAATAGAATCTTGAATTCTGCTTAGTTTCTGCTGAATTAGCAACTTTTCTAAAAAAAAATGAAGAGTATTCAGCCTTACCCCTGTTAATTTATTGTTTCAGTAGCTATATTTCTAGTAGGAATTTACCCCAAAAAGCACTAATTTTTTTTGCTTTTCTGTTTTATTTGCTAGAATGATATTTGAATTGGTGTGAGATTGAGAGACTTACCTATATCAGAATTTCATTCAAATTCAAGACACAAATTGAGAAACAAGGTTGTAATAACACCTAAAAACAAGGATCCAATAACAGAACAAGAACAGCAGAAAATTAGAATCCTATTGGAAAATCAATACATGGATAGAATCATTCCATTCTAGCATATTTCTGCAGCAATACTAGCGCTGTGGCTTCTCTTGATTTTGATTGACAGAGCAATTTTGTACCCTAATAGTGAGAGTCTAGTACATGAGCAAATCAAACTATAGGAAAGGGTATCTGGTGTGTTATTTCTCCACGGCAAGCATCTTACATAGAATGCAGTCACCACATTGACAGATTGACATGTACTATGGGTGAGGCTCCAAAGCCTTGGTTCTGTTCATAACCAAATGTATTCAGATTTGATTTATTGTAGGGCCAACATTCCCCTTACATAGGACCCCCAGTCCCAAAACCTGATAATTTTTTCATTTCTCTCCTCTGATAGCCACATACAGTATCCACAACCATTTTCACTGCATCTAATTTCATAAATTGTCTCCAATCCCCAATATAATGCAGGAAAAGCTGTCCATCACCCTTTACAATATAACTCAGGGGTTTCAATAGCAGCACGCAACAGACGGGGCAACAGGCAATTTTCACTGGTTGCTTTCACAAAATCGCCTGTTATTTTAAGGGACTTTTCAACTTTTCCATTAGGTTAAATTCATGATTTCCGTTAATTTTGCCTGATGTTTTCATTTATTTAAGCCTGTTGTGAGAAATTATAGTGAAACCCCTATAACTATTATTTGACATCAATGTCATTCTGCCATGACACACCCATAATACACCCAACCAACCTCCTGCCACACCTACCTTAGTTATAAGACATCCTTGTGAACCATAAAGCTCTGCCTTGGAGTCATCCAAAGACAGGGAGTGAAAGTAAAATCTATGACTATTTTCCATATTGCTTGATATTATGCATCTTCTTGCAAAAGCATGTTCGTAATCATGTTTGATTTTCCATTTATCGCGTCATTGGAAATGCCATATGAGTATTCAAAGACCACGGTTTGACCAATCCCGAACACCTACTAGCCAAGATTTACATTAAACTAGATCGACTTCATTCTCGAAGTTTAACGCAATTCCTAAATTACTTTGTTCCAAGAAGCCATAATGTTCCCTATTTAGAATGGCAAGCTGTCTGTCGGCAAAATCTTTTGACATATTGATTATGCTTAAGCCGTTTTTATTCACGATTATTGGGAGATGTTATGAGTCATGGAATCCTATAATGTAGGAAGGTACAAGATAGGGTACGGTTAATAACTTAATTATGTCAATTATATGTTTTATCAATTTAATCCTTGGGCAAAATACAGGATTTAGGAGATATACAATCATCCTCAAAGCAATTTATGTGGATATATAATACATGTTGTTCTGAGTCTACACTGCTGTCAGCCCTTTGCATATACTATTAGAAAACAATTGAGAACAAGGCATTAACATGAAAAATGTCACCACCTGTCATTTGTTACAGATTTACTGCCACTTACTGCCGAACACCAACTGCCAGACACCAATTGCTGGACATCATCCACAAAAAGTTGTAGATGATAACAATATGTCGCCACTTGTGACGTTGACATAAAAACCCTTTATTACAGGCAGAAAACAACTGAAATTGTACCAGGCTAATTTGTTAGTGTTACATTCCACAGCCCCCTTCAACAAACGGTTCTTCTGGGCTGATAACAATCAATATTTTCAAGAATCAATATATAAAGTGGAAATTGCGAACATTTGTTTCTCAATAAACAATACCCATAATATACAGCAAATTAGAGAAATCCCATAAGCAATTAACATATTTATTATAATAGTGTTGACATTATACTTCTACTAAATCAATATAATTTAATGTAGTATCAAACCTCGGTGTGTTGCCCCCCCCCCTGTACTCAACTGAGACAGTGAGGAAATGGATAGAATGAGACATTGTGGGTTTTACAGCCTCTAGTATTGTTTTATGATATATAAGAGTCTCTCACAAGATTTAGATATAAGAGTGAGTGTGTAAGAGGGAGACCAGAGACTTGATGCATGACTTATATATAACATAAAATACTAGGAAGCATGGTAGAAAAGAACACAAGCCTGTGTATTGAATGAATATGAAATGCGAAAAATGATCCAGTACCTAAAATTAACTCACAATGCTTCAATTTCCTTTCTTTCACTACATCATGAACATTCTATAATGTTTTTTTTAGAGAGAAGCCCATGATTGTATGTTATTAACATATTTCAACATTGCTCATTTGCTTATGCCTTTTACAATAAAATGTTTGTAATAGACAATAACAAGGAATATTTTAAGTTACTTTTACGTAACTTGTATTCATCATCTTGGCAGGTAAAATGCCAAATAGAATTAGCTTAACACCAAGCAAACAATGAAAACTTCCTTATTTATAAAACCACAATATGAATACTCTCTTATTTCTAAACATTATACTACTCATTAATTAGTGTCATATTTCATCCTCTCACCCTAAATTGACTAGGATATTAAAACAATTTATTCAAAACAGCCATATAAAAAAACATCTGCTTCTCAATGTCTTGCATCACTAGCTCCATCTTTTCAACTATAACTGATACTTATCAGTTAAACTGTAATACCCATCATGAGATCACAACCTTATTAGTTCCATTAGTGCTCTTAGTAAAAAAGAGTGATGTGATATAAATCAGTATGACCTTTAAGCAGTTGTATCAGGCAGGTGTTTATTCAAAAATAACTGACATTTTCATTTTACCTTCAGTCAAATATTATTGGCGGTTAAAACCTAATTTACATAACAGCTAGGGATCAGTTTGAATGTCATCCAATAACTATGAATCTTTTTCATGAATTGTAACTGAGAAATGTTAATGTTTTCTGTATTTTAGGATACGCAACTATTCAAAATTACATGCACAAAGAAATACATGTATACATTTTCATAAACATGTCTCTGAAAAAAGGATTTCTTTGAAACCACTTGACAATGTAATTGATAACAATCTAAAAAAGATGATCGAAGAACATTTCAATGCTTACCTCAAATTTGGGTTGATTTTTCATTGAAGATGTTGCAAGAAACCGTAGGAAGTCACTGTTGACTGTAAACAAACTGCTATAATCTTGTTGCCCCTTCATCTTTTGTCGCATAATCGTACCAGAGATCTTTGATCTGAGATTGTAGCGTAAAGTTCCCCATGGATCTTTCTTCGATAATGTCAAATCAAGACCGGAATCATCTTTAGATTTGTATTTTTGGTCAAACGGGATGTTTGATTTATCGCGTAGGGAATTAAGTCCAAATTTAGATGGGGTACGATTGGCACTGAATGGTTGATTGAATGTGGATCCAGAGGGCTGTGCTGATTTGTTTGAAACACGTCGTAATGAAAGTCCTCTTGAGAGAGCTCTCCGGATACGTTTCCCTGGGGGCGTTTGTTTGACATCGCTGTTAAGATAAGAGGCTGTTGAATTTATCTTGAAAGTGTCAACAGTAGGAGGACTTGATGCCTTTCTTTTCTTTGTCTGAAATTAATCAAAATATTTGTTACAATGTGACGCAATAATCACTCCATTAGAACTAGTGATGCGTCAAATGATAAAAATCTAGCCTAGTGACTATTCACAAGCTCTGGTAACCACAACACTCTTATCTTCCACTGAAGAGGTTGTACTAACACACTATGAAAATCATAACATCGACATTATTTTTCTATAGAGTAGGCCAAGATGATAGATGAATCTCCAATCCTGAGGCTGAGCCTAAAAAAATTTGAAAACTTTTGAAAAATTTAACAAAAAGGCTGCCCAAACCAGAGTTAAAAGCAAAAACTTACGATCGAAGTTGTTCCAATATCTGCATTACCATCTAATGCTTCTTTATTTGCAGCTAGAAACCGAAAATAATCAAAGTTGTTACCGATTCGATCGGTATTTTGTTGAATTTCCCGCTGTCGTTTTCGATTGGATGCCATCTTGAAAGTAACGTTTATAGTCTCGAACCCGTAAAAATAATTTGAATATTTTACGTCCTTTTCTTATTCTAACTTATCATAGATCAAAAATCGAAATAATTATTTAATGCGACGCTGATTAAAATAATTTAAGAACTCAAGTATAGTATAATCATTAAAAAGTTAATTGAATATTTATGAGACTATTATATACTTGATGACCTTTTTGCACTTGACGTTCACAACTTCAAAAGTTCAATCATTTCATTTCTGTCTTACTTTATTCAAAGGATACGCAAGAAAGCATTGTGAAATTTAATATGTGCATGTTGTTTGATCAGTGCATTGATATGCCACATTCATCTCAAAATGATTACTGAATTGGTACAAGAATCAAGTCAGTCATTCTAAAGGTGGCAGCACTATCTAAAGTTGCATTTGAGTATTGGGAGGAGGCTCCCAGCATTAAAACAAGGGGTTCAAATGGATCTACTGCATGATGACCGTTGTCACCTGTTTAATAGAATATTTTACGGGATGATTCACGGTCGTATTTACCAGGAATGTTCCGCTAATATCACAATAGGCCAGGTAAGGCAGAAAAGATCAGTATCTTTATCCCGATCATCTCATATGATCAGATCACGCAGTACTAACTCACCGGGGCGTATCGAACCAAAACACCCCGCAAAACAATTAATTCGAATTTTAAACCTACCCTTTCTTTGGAAAATCAATGAATGTGACTCTCACAGTACACCGTTTTTCTTCAAACTTGTTCCATTAAAACCTTCACAGTAATACCTTTCACTCGAGACATTGCTTTTGTGTACAGAGTCGCTCGTTTTAGCGGCATTTTGGTCCCCAGATGTGAAAAGATGCAAATCTTCAGTCATCTTGTGTGTTACACATTGATCAGTCGTGTCATGCGTTACTCATAGATCAGTCATCTTGTGTGTTACACATTGATCAGTCATCTTGTGTGTTACACATTGATCAGTCATCTTGTGAGTTACACATTGATCAGTCATCTTGTCATTCTTGTCTGTTACACATTAATGGCATTAATAAGTCCTCTCATGTGTTAAACATTAATCAGTCATCTTGTGTGTTACACATTGATCAGTCATCTCATGTGTTACAAAATAATAAGTCATCTTGTGTGTTACACATTGATCACTCATGTCATGCATTACGCATTAATCAGTCATCTCATGTGTCACATATTGATCAGTTATTGTATGTTACATATTGATCAAAATCATGTGTTACACATTGAACAGTCATCTTATGTGTTACACATTGATTATTCATCCCATGTTTTACATATTGATCCATATTTATATGAGTTACATATCGATCAGTTATCTAGTGTGTCATATAATGATTATCTTGTATTACATTTTGATTAATTATCATTACATTTCTCTCAATTTAGATGTCTTTTTATCATATTTGTATTTCTATATTTAAAACCATTCTGTCATTCCATGCTGATTCTTGAAAGTTTATCAGTCAATGTCATCTCTAGTTGATTTGTTTATCAGTTGCTTATCTATTTTACAGATTTCTACAACACTTTCCTTGTGAAACCCTGAGGTTGCCAAAGCAACATTCATAACAATATTCTATTTCCTTGGCAACCAACCCAAACAAAGTCAAATATTAGTAGCCTGAGTTAATATGCAAGTTACATGAACATCACAAGGGGAAAAGTGATGAAGAAATGTGAATCAGTACATCTACTTCTAGATGGTTGCCATAGAGATCTGATACATAGCAACCAGCTATTTTGAGGGAGGTTCCTTTCAAAGAGGTCATATTTCACATATTTTTAACATTAAGTTCATAATCAATTGATATACCGCATTTTGTCATTTGCAGTAGGATTTCAAGGTTAACATCCTCTTTTTTAAATCTGAACCAGATATAAATGCCATTATGACTTCTCATGAAAACCACAACCAAATTCACATTTTCTCTTAACCCATTGCTTGTAATAAGAACATTATCATGAATAAGCAACCAAAATTCCCCTTGTATATATGTTTTTCTAGATGCCTCTGAAGGGTATTGGCTAAGGAGATAGGAAATCATCGCCAGATTTAAAAGGATTGAATGAACCAAGGATGGAAACTTCAGGAAGTTGAAAAAAGAAAAAACACAAAAATATTCAAGTCTGAGGAAAGAGCTTGATGAAGAAATCTTTTATTCAGTATTGACGGAAACAAAAATATAAAGTAAGTACAGTTTCATTTATGTTTTATTTAGCTGTTATTTGTGATTTTGTTAGATGTCACTGACAGGAAACAGAGATATTTTAATTGATCTGTTTAAACAATTGTACATTGTACAAATGACAATACTCTATTGATAGTGGATTCCAGACACAGAGAATTTCATGATAAAATAAAAAACTTGTCATGTTTAAAGTTCTTTCTTTTTGTACAAAACTACAAAATGCAGTTAAAACTGTGAGTTGTTTTTTTTTCTGAGGAAATCACACATTAAAATAGTTTGGATTGATATAATTATAGTTAAGTTATCTGGAAAATTTATTTAGGATAACAGATATTTTAATTTACAGGGTGTTATATTATTGGATATTAGGGTATTAAGATAACAGCTAAAACAAGATAATGAAGCAAATTCCTCAAAGACATCTTCGCAAAAACAAGTTTAAAGGGGCAATAAAGACTAGAGATGAATTCTTTAATATTTTTCCAACATCCCATGTTATGCCTATTTTATTTTGCCTATAAAGTCTTACAGTTCAGACTTTATTTCATAATAATGTTTTGATTTGAAGCTTATTCAAGACAAAAGATTTGTAAAGTAGACAAAATGACCAATCTCAAGAACATAAAATGATAGATCCCAAGCTAAACTGAAAAAATGTTAAATGATGTTAGCTTGCTTTGTCCAAAGGTGAAGTGTTTTATTCATTCATAAAAGGACCATCTCAAAATATAAAACATTTAATCAATTTGATATTTAGATTAAGGCATATAGGAGGAATGAAATCTTGATAGCAGTTATTGTTAATTTAGGATCAAGATTTTTTATTAATTTTGTCAAAGCTAATGTAGAAAAGCAGATGGATATTATTATCAATATTATTATTAGTTAATGTTGAAATTATCAGGGTATGTACGATGCAAAACAAGACCTTATCTCAAGCAGACTTAAATAAACTTCTTATCATTGTCAGCAACTCCTTCTATAAATGTAAGACCACATCGTGATCTTATTTTAGCCATAGAACATTTATAAATGAAATTCTTGTTCTTTATATTATTTTCTACATGGATTCAACCACTCTAGTATCTGGGACCCCCCCCACCCCAAGGAACCCCATTCAACAGCATAATGTAAACGGTAAAACCTGTTAAAGTGGAACACCTTTGGTACCTCTAAAAAGTGTTCCACTTGGGAGGTTTTTGGACTGTGAAAAGTGTTCCGCTAACAGAGGTGTTCCACTTTTAGAGGTGTTCAACTTTACAGTATTACTGTACAATGCACAAGACCTTATCTCAAGCAGACTTAAGTAAACACATAGAGTTGTCAGCAACTCCTTTAATGAAAATAAGACCCCATCCCGATCTTACTTAGCAATAGAACATTTATAAAAAAAATTTAGGTTTTACTAGTCCCTGGGATCTCCCAAGGAGAACAGCATAACACAAATATTAGTTGATGGCCATCCTAAAATGCAAATATGATGATTGGTGGCAGAAATCTAACAAAAAATTATATTCTAAAAATGTATACAGGTGAGATATATCAGAAAGTGAAACTTGAGATGATCCCTTTATTAAGAACCCATGAGTAAAGATTCATGGGGACCATGTTTTAAAATTACATGTAAAATTATGAGAAATCAAGTGATATCATCAAGGAAAAATGAATTGTGGAAATGTGAAATTTTATAAATATATCATTCTTAGATTTGTTCTCTAAGTTTGTGCAGAGATAAGTCTGTTATTTAAGCACATGTTATTTAAGCACAGGCTATTTAAGCACAGGGCTATCTTGTATGTTGTTAACTCTACTGCTACATCCCCTAAACCAATTATAACTGGCAGTGTTTATATAAATACTATAGCAACGAGGACCACCTTAATAATGCGTAAGTAAAAATAGAATATGTAGTCTGTATAGATTGAATAAAATTCATTTTTTCAGGTAGCATTGAATTTCAATTGGAATAACATCTGATATTAATGTGTGTGATACTTTACATATAAACAATGGGTCAATCATTGTCAGTTATAACAATGGATGTGCCAAATAACAAATTGATTTATTTCAAATCTATTTGTACTAACAATGTCCAAGTTTAAACTCAACTGACACAACACACAGTATCTGCACTAGCAGCTCAATTTCTTTTCAAAATTCAATACATTTTCTTATTTCTTGGATTTTGGTAGAAATCAGAATTGTATAACAATATCTTTATATGGTTTCTTCTTTGCTCATTCCTCTTTAAGTCACTCTTATGTTGACTTGGAATTTGACCTCTACTAGGTATTGACGAAGAAAGGCAATAAATTTTTCGATTATCACCTGTGTTTTAAATTCTGTTCATTCATTGTTATTTCACTCAATTTCTCTCTAAAATTTGAATAAAGTATCTGCATTTTTAGCATTTCTACACGATTTAGAGTATTGGCTGTATGCTCGTGTACTTTTTTCCTCACAATTTTCTTTTTGTTCAACATTATTTTGCATTTGAAAATATGATCGTGATGCTATTTTTCACGATGATCAGACTCGGGTATTTGTAATCAATAATTAATGAAGCTCTGCAGCTCCAGTTTGCACATATTGTATTTTTCCAATAATTAAACATTATGTTACATTTTCTGTAGGGATTTAACATAGCTGTGGAAGCTTCGTAGCGAATCGTAGGAATTCACTGTTTTGAAATATAACATTTACCATTGATCAAAACTGACATTTGAATAATTTTAAATGGATCTATTATCATATGTGACATTTAGCCTGAAAACTTGGAGAATGGTAGGTCAAGTTTCAGAATATCAGGTAACAGTGCAGTACTTGTTGCATATGTTGAATTTAAGAGTTTACAAAGAGGTAAATATCATATTTTGATGTATTAAGCATCAGAACTCCTTGACTCAATTTATCAACAAACAAAATACATTATTAGAGCATACAGAAGAAAACAGTTTGAATTTTCAACATGTTTTTGTGTGTATTTACAGACTGACATTTAACGTGGAGTTGCATAGATAGTTTTTTAGGATTATGTTGAACACTTTGAAATAAAGCACACCATGGGCTTTCAACTCAACTCTAATTGAACACCCATGAGCACACCAAGCAGGCTAACTATTGGAGTTTCATAACTTATTTTAGATCACACCACATTTAATAAATCAATGTTTAGTGAAAATGTGATGTCATTGATGAAGATCTTTGTAATTGATATTTATATGAATCATAAGTGGACTACATGTATGTACTATTATTGATTTATGAATCTGAATAATCAGTTTATTCTTTACATTGCAGGTTGAATTCCATTAGATCATTATACAGACTAGATGCAAGGCCTGAAATAGATCTGCGATTCAGAAGCTTTGATCCAAAATAGATCTATTACCTAAAATAGATCTAAGATCGAGAATAGGTCTAGATACCACAAAGAGATCAAGAATAAGTTCATATATGGATGCAAATTGAACTGGTTCAAATGGATGGATACTTCACAGATTTGCCATATCAATGTCCCAAATGTGGTATCCTTGGACGATTTGTGTCAATATCAGAACTTAAACACCATCTTGCTTCCCATCATCCTTCACTCTCCCCGAAGTCAAGATTATATTATGATTCAATCGGGAGACGATCACCATTCACAGAATGTTTGACTTTAGAGGCAAAGCGACTCGAAGAAAAATTGAGAGCCGCCAAAGAAATGGAATTAATGAACAAATACTCATATAGAGATGGTGATTTTAAAAACCACCATTTTGAAATGGAATTACCATATATGGAAAAGCCACATAATCACAGCTATGGTGCATCAACTGAACCCCACTTAGAGGAAACGAGTTTTGTACAAAAAGGTGCCATGCTCTCAGACCCTTATTTCAATTCTACACACAAACTTAGCATATCAATGTCAAAGGCACAAATTACAATTGATAAACTAAGGAACGAAATAAAACAGAAAGATGAGAATTTAGAAAAGGCAAGTAATGAACTAGAAAATTTGACGCTAGAAAGACGCAGGCTTCAAAGGGATATTTTGGAACTGTCCAAAGTTAGTGATGAAAGTATTGAGACTGTTGGAGAATTAAAGGGAAAGGTTCAAGAGAAGAGTAAAACATTAAAGGAGAAAGATCAAATTCTTAGACACAATCAGGAGATCATCAAGTCAAAAGAGAAGTATGATTTTATTTTAATTCTTTTTGTTAAGATCTTTCATTCAATTGCTATGTCACTACCAAGAAGTGGTGACCATTTTTATGTAATGGTGACATATTATTATAGTCTTCAACTTTTTGTGGATGGTGTTTGGCTGTCAGTGTTTGGAGTTCAGCGTCTGTAACACATGGTGTCTGTAACAAATGGCAGGTGGTGACATTTGGTATGTTAATGCCTTGTGTATTTAATGCAGAATAGATGTACTTTAATTAGCTGAATACGCAAATGCTCATAACTTCCATTATTTCTATTACTCAAATGCAATACTCAAAGCAAGATATTTGCTACAAATGATGATGCTCTTCAACTGTGGGTGTATCTAAGTTCTAACACACTTGGTTTATGTTTTGCAAATGGTGTTATATTTTCAGCATTAGACATACAAACTTGAAATTTGGCATTCACGACGGGTTTAGACAAATGTTTTCATTAACCAAATATCAAGTTGTTTCATATTATGATTGTTTGTATTCAAAGATTGTATTTTATTAGGTTGCCTTATTTGGTGTAGTTTTCCCATACATATTGGTTCTATCAATCCTCTCTATATAGTCTTGTATTATTTACTCCCCTTCTCTGTTTTACTCAGTAAGAGAGAGGAGGGTGTATGAGGTCTTGATGCAAGAATACATTGTGGTTTAATGAGCAACCTTCCCCCTGGTCGAAAATTCTTTCAAAATCATGCAGATTTTCACCATTCTGAATTTGGGCCAAAGTTGTCAAATGTGAACCCCTGGAACTTTTTGAAAAGTGAACCCTTCGTGGCAAAAGCTGGCTATTGGCCTGACTTTGCTACTCTGTTTGATTATGTCTTATATTGAGCACTAATACACAATTGATCTGCAGATCTGGTTATGAATACTTTCTTGATTTTTCTGTTTACATTGCAGACGGGTGATTCAACAGAATTTTGTAATTAATGCATATATGTTTGCCCAAATGCAGACCAATACTTGAAATCCATTTTCTATACAAAAAAAGTTGGGTCTTAATTAACGAGACCTGCCTTGTTTTATCAGACGTATTCAGCAGGTTAATAAATGAATGGATTTGTTAATTAAAATCTATATGAGCTCTTAGTGGATTTTAACATTCACAATTAGGAGACACAATGCTTAAATGCATTTTGCATCAAATGGTTGGTTAACAAATATTTTTTAGACTGAATTCAGTTTTTTCTAAATCATCAGGTCTCAAAAGTTCAAATGTAACTTGAGATTTGACCTTCATTGACCTTCTCAAGGTCAAAAAAGGTATTTTCCAACTTGCTTCAAATTGACCAATTTTTTTCAAAATATCATCTACAAGTTCCTAGAACTTCAAATCTGACTTTAGATTTCAGATTTTAGCAACTAGGTGGTGACATTTTGTCATGTTAATGCCTTGTTTGAATTTTATAATAAATAAATGAATGCATATAATACACTTAATACAGTCATGAGTCCATATTGTTTGGATTAATGGGTGTAACATGTGTTAATAATTATATTGTTTTGTGCCTGTATGGTAAGTGTATGTATTATTGGAAATCATGATTTAAAAGTACGTCTGCTAAACATCCCAAATGTTTATTCTTTGCGATTTCTTGTAAAAATTTGAATGAAGTATCTAATTTTTTTAGATTTATTAACAATTTATTGTATGTACTCCATACTTGTTTATTTTATTCCTTGTTGATTTCATTCCTTTCACCATATTTCATGTTTTAGAAAATGATCATCTTGACATAACCAGAATGATTCAGATTTAAAATCAATGCAATATAGTCAGCCTACAGATATAAAATTCCTGTCTAGCCTTTGTGAACTCCTTCACATTTTCCATTAATAATCTTTGTAAATGAATCAATGGAACTCATGAGAAAGTTCCAATGACATATGGTTGGGTCATACAAGAATAATGGATATATATTCTTAACTAAGCAGTGGGGGTCAAATAAGTTCAACCCCCACTCTCTGTGTACCAGTGATACCAGTGGGGGTCAAAAGAGTTCAACCCCCACTCTCTGTGTATCAGTGGTACCAGTGGGGGTCAAAAGAGTTCAACCCCCACTCTCTGTGTACCAGTAGTACCAGTGGGGGTCAAGAGTTCAACCCCCACTCTCTGATTCCAGTGGTACCAGTGGGGTCAAAAGAGTTCAACCCCCACTCTCTGATTCCAGTGGTACCAGTGGGGGTCAAAAGAGTTCAACCCCCACTCTCTGTGTACCAGTAGTACCAGTGGGGGTCAAGAGTTCAACCCCCACTCTCTGATTCCAGTGGTACCAGTGGGTGTCAAAAGAGCTCAACTCCCACGCTCTGATTCCAGTGTTACCAGTGGGGGTCAAAAGAATTCAACCCCCACTCTCTGTGTACCAGTGGTACCAGTGGGTGTCAAAAGAGCTCAACTCCCACGCTCTGATTCCAGTGGTACCAGTGGGTGTCAAAAGAGCTCAACTCCCACGCTCTGATTCCAGTGGTACCAGTGGGTGTCAAAAGAGCTCAACTCTTCGCTCTGATTCCAGTGGTACCAGTGGGTGTCAAAAGAGCTCAACCCCCACGCTCTGATTCCAGTGGTACCAGTGGGTGTCAAAAGAGCTCAACCCCCACTCTCTGTGTACCAATGGGGGGTTGAACTCTTGTTCCTGTGCCTGTTCCTTGATATCTCCTTTTTCATGTTTCTTCTTGATTATGCTTGTGTGGTTTCACCTTTCTAATGCTGATGGTATTCTTTAATATATTCATGTGTGATCCAATAGCTCTGTATATTTGAATTTACTTGTAGTTGATGAAAACATATTCTAATGGTTGGATGATTCATACGTTTTTTATAGTTCATTACTTTAAATGATTACAATTTTATCTTATCGTGTTTTAATAATTTGCCTCTTGTGCTTCCTGAATATCACCTTAGAGTTCTAGTCAACCCTAGAAGGGCTATACACAATGCAATATTGTAGTTAAATTATCAAACTAAGTAATAAGCCTGCTGTAAACATATGAATCATCTTGATTGAAAATCAATGATAAACAACTGTTGAACACAGAATCTGAAATTAATATCATGGATCTTTCAGAAGATTGTGTGTTGCAGAGACTTCTCATCAGGTAGTTTAATTTCCACTGGGACAATAGCTTCTGACAATTATTTTGATATAAAGCTGACGAGATTCTTGATGCTGCATGTATGTCTGTCTCAAAGTTTGTTTGTTGTACTGTACATACAGGTTTTGACGTCTTTTGATGAATTGTTCTCTGTACTTTTGAGTTTTAACATCAATGTTTTGGCATACATTTCAAACAATTTTTAAAATTTGAATGAAGTGTCTCCAAATTTTTGTGGATGGTGTTTGGCATTCCATGGTTGGTGTTTGGCATTCGGTGGTCAGCATCTGTAACAAATGGCAGGTGGTGACATTTCACATGTTAATGCTTTGTTTTGTATTTCTATACAATTCAGAGTTTTGTCTTCATGATTATATGCTATCTTCTCTACTTACTCCACTCTTTTCCATGCTATTTTGCATTTCAAAACATGAACAACGTGATATTTTCCAGGGACATAGAAGAGCTTACAAGGTTTATCACTGAGGCTGCAGACAAAGAATCCGTTGCTAGGGTGAAACTGGAAGAATTTATGGAGTCATTATTACATCGAGCAGAGAAAGCAGAGACAGAACTCAAACAAATCAAGACAGGGGATAGTATCCGTAGATCTAACAGTGTCTCTGTGAGAGGCAATAAGGTTTGTTTGTTTGTTTGTTTGTTTGTTTGTTAAAAGTTGCCATATCAACAATAAACTGTTTCTCCCAAAGAAGAATCCTTCCAGTTAGGTACAGATAATTGTTCTTTCAGTCCTAAATCTCATTAACTTAAATGTAATGTTTGTAATAAAATAATATCATATTGACCCTATTAAATGTGAACACTTTAAGATGGTCTCATTTATTTTGCTATAGACAAGTCTACAGTAAATGTACCATAAATCCTTATGTTCTAGGACTAATTCATTGTAGATATTGAATACCCTGTACATACATAAATAGTATATACTGTATATTCGTGCACCTTGTACATATTAACACCCTGTATAATGTAAAATTGATTACCTTCAGATATATTATATACCCTGTACATGTATATATTGATCAACCTGTATATTTTGAATACCCTGTATATATTGGACACCCTGTACATACTTTTTCAGCCAACAACCAATGGATTAAAAAGATCTCAGAGCTCTGTTTCTGGGGGGAATAACAGGCACCAGGGGACCCCTCAACAGGGGACTGACTATATGGGGGCTAGAAACCAGAGAACTCAAAGGTAAGGATGGTTAATCATATGTTAGCAACTTACTAGACAGAGTCGGGGCATTGGGCATAAAAGAGAACTTCACGGGATGTGTGCAGTCATTATTCTGACAAAACTAATTGGAAGCGCTTAATAAAAATTTATTACTTACATGGTCAATGTTACATCATGAATTCCAGATAAATGTTGTAAATCTAGAATTCCAGTTTTTAGGATATTTATGTATTATGGGGTTGGCTTTGTTTTATATTATAGCCCCTTAAAAGTATATACAAGTTACGAGCAGCAATGCTCCCATAATCCTCAAGAAGAGACCTCTTACAAACCACACAAAAATGCACAGAGGAAAGTCCAAGCAGATTATGTCATACCTGAGCACAAGGAGTCCCCAGCTTACCAGGGGTCATATAGCTTCCAACAGGTTGGTACAAGTATAATAGTTTTGAGTGGTGACATATTGTTATGGTCTCCAACTTTTTTTTGTGGATTGTGTTTGTTAGTTGGTATTCAGTGGTTGATGTTTGGTGGTCAGTATTCGGTGGTCAGCATTTGGCGTTCAGCATCTGTAACAAATGGCAGGTTGTGACACTTTGCAAGTCAAGGCCTAGCTATTTTTATTGGGGGTCATGTTTCAATATAGTTCTAAACTTTGGAGATATGTCATCCAAATCCCATTAAATTAAAATATTATGAACTATATTCTAATATTCAAAATGTGTAATAAACCAAATAAAAACCTGCCAACGAATTTTACCATTTTATTAATTCAATTCTTGGTAATTATAATTTTGACTGTCTCATATAAAATAAATATCAAAATGGAACGGGAAATCTGAAATGACAAAATTTAACAGGCATGATGGGCACACATGTACTCTAAATTAAATAGAAATGTTAAATGCAGCGAAATCTGTCTGATGAAGCACCTCTCTGTAAAACCCATATATGGAAATGTTTTCTTAGGAACCAAGTCCAATTGACTTGTGAATGAACCATCTCTTTAAGGAACACTTGTCAAGGAGGATGTTCTATATAGATATGTTTTACTGTAATGAAGTCTATTATATTCAGTTGATGGCAAACATTATGAAAGGGCAGAACTATATTAAAAATATCAGTGCCCTCACCATAGGGAGGGAGGGGTGTGGTCAGGCCATATATTTCAAAAAGAATCCTCAGGACAAACTACCTATATTTTGTGATGAATTTACAACAATACATCCAATGGACGAAGCTGTATTTATATGGCACTCACTAAGTAGATAAAATACAAGAGAATGGGTCAGAAATGTTACAACATTTTTATCAGTACTCATTGAATGCTCCATAGAAATTCAGCGTAAACAGACGAGTGGAATATTGTGTGATCCAAGTATGAACTTACTCACGAGTGTTGACGATATCATGCAATCTGGCTGCTTTGTGATCCAGTCATTCCCAGTATTCTAATTAAATGCTCACTAGCTTTAATTCAGTTAGCATCTCCTTTTATCATAAATCAATTTTTGACAGGTATCAATAAATAATTTAATAACTGTTGGGATGGTGTTATGATCAGAGTGAATACATGGAGCATAAGAGGGTCTGGTAATGGGGGTAATATATGTGCATTGTTATGGTAATAGGGGTAATATCTGTGTGTTGTTAGGGTAATATGTGTGCATCGTTATGGTTACAAGGGTAATATTTTTGTGATGCTATGGTAACAAGGGTAATATTTATATGATGTTGTGGTAATAGAGGTAATATTTATGTGATGTTATGGTAATAGGGGCAATAAATGTGTGTTGTTAGGGTAATATATGTGTGTTGTTAAGGTTGTATGGGTAATATTTGTGTGTTTTAGGGTAATAGCAGTAATATGTGTGCATTGTTAATGTTTAAATGAAAAAGAGTTTCATCCACACTCTAATTTAATTAGGGATAATATTTTATTTGATTTAGCCTTCCAATAAAACAGATCATTCAAAATCCAGCTAGCCATTGAGAATTGCAGCCATATAATTGTTTATGCCTCAATGAGTAGCTTGGATTTGTTTCATATTCAACATTCCCATGAAAGGTCATGACAGCTCATAAAGATCTAGCTTCATACTCAGAGGGAAATAATTACTAATAAGTCTCCATGTATCAGGGAAGTTGGTAGGAGTAATATACAGTAGATGCATCGTTAAGCCGCAGTCATATTTGCTCTATGGTGGCTGTATGGACTGTATTGTGGCTGTAGCTTCACAAAGTTTATGTAGAATCTACAATATATAAATCTGCATGTTTGCTTATCCCTATATTTTATGCTTCATATTTCTCTCGATTTTGGGAAGCTACGGCCACCGTACGGTTGCTGTAGATCAAACGGACATCAAAGATTGCATGGTGGCTTCAGGGACTTCATATTGAATTTAAACGTCATATTTGCATCACTGATGGCATTGTTACATCACAGACTGCACATTTATAACAGAAACACTAACTTTAGAAATTTTTTTTGTTTGTTGTATTCCAGGCATCTTACCCTATCTATACTGATTCAGGTTTAGGATCTAATTCAACCAGTTCAGGACAAACAGGTACTTTCTTATTTATTTATTTATTTATTTATTCATAATGATGGATGTACAGTTACTTAATTCAGTAGTTGTATTTTCTGCTATTTATTTTCAATCTCCATACTGTAGCATGACTTTATAATACTTGAATGTGGTAACTCTTTGTCCACAAATCTAATGAATTCATGTTTATTTTATTTCAGTTGATGCATTTAACAGTCAGCCAAGGATGTCAACACCTAAACAGAGGGGATATGACCCCATGAACCAAGGTACTTTTAATGACCATGAACCACCTGGAGATTTTATCATAGATGAAAATGGAGTAATGTGGGATGCAGGTTCTAAACCACAATCTGATTTGAACCATTATGAGCAACAGTTTCATCCTGGTGATCAATTGGTGTATTCAGCAGCTGATTCTCATGGTATGAATTCACCACAGAAAAATGATTATTCCCACCCACTGCCCCAACCCCACCACAGTCAAAATGGTGCAATAAGACGGAACATTGTCCCTGATGAATATGACGAAATAGATAGTGACTCTGATGAAACAGTAGCAGGAAAAACAACAATGAGACGAAATCGTAACCATCGTCATCATCCTAGTCTTCTATCTCAAGAGCGTGATCTCATTGAAGCGCTAAATGTAAACTCTGAAAAAGCCCTCAAACAGCAACAAAAGGAACTGATACGTCAGCTTAGAGTATTAAAACGACAAAGGCGCGAACTGCGTGTAATGCGAGGCAATAACACAGAAACTGATGATGTCACAACTGTTACCGTGACAGATACATCAATATCAGTAACTGATGTAACTACAACAACGAACAATATGCACGACGATACTGATATTGAAGATGTCGATTTTTATGCTTTGAATGAGCAAATTATAAATCAACGACAACCAAGTGTGTCAACCAATAATAAGTACTCAAGATCTAGTCCAAATCCAAATAAACGAACAAACAATGCACTAAAGGGGCAAATCCAAGCTGCGCATGACATCGCGATGCAAAAGCGGAGAGATGCTATGTTTTGTGTTTTTATGTATCTTGATACAAAGACGCTTGGAAAGATGGCGCTGGTATGCAGAGAATGGCGGGATATCAGTCGTCATCCAGCATTATGGAGACGTGTTAAACTAAAACATACAAGAATCTCTTCTAAGGTAAGAATGCATGTTGCATTATATGCCATGTGATGTGACTTCAATCTAGCCTTTTAACAATATGTACACACATTCTAAAGTCATTCCCTTCAAGCTACCTTTTCAGTTTTATTCTTTAGCCTAATTATTAAGTGACCTCATATTCCTTTTCAATTAATTAGGAGTTTTAAAATAAAAATTAGCATTTGCTTTATTCCACTATTTTCTTCAGTTTTCACAAGCATGGAAGTACTCTTGACAATTAAAACAGATGGAACTATAAAATGTGATCATGTATCGAGACATCAACATTCAACTATTTCATTTTAGTTTTTGGTGACCTTGACCCATTGGTGTACCCAACTCCAGTCGTTAACCCTTGAAGGACTGAGACCACGGCAACGCATCCAGAGTGAATCTATTGACGTCTACTTGAGAAATACAAGGTATTATCTAATATAAAAGAGTTTTGAAATTTATATTTGTTCATAAAATGCTGTCTATGAGTGAACTTGAATCATATGGTCTCCTTGACCTGAATCTGGGGATTGTCACTAAAATAACTAGAATCAAACCACATATGTGTTTGAGCTGTATTAATACAAACTTAGTCTTGCTTCAAGCCCTTGGATCTTTTGTGTTAGTGTCGTTGACAGGGGGAGGTCTACATCCATTATGTAATACTACACAAACTGAGAGGAGAGACAAAATCTGAAGTCAGAATCATGCTTAACCCTACTCTCATTTGTTCATTACAGGGGCTGTCTAGAAAATGGCTTAGAGCAACTCTTTAAGAGTGTCCAGCATACGTTGATATCTCTTAGGATTATTGATTGTTCAAATATGCTTACTCAGAGGTAAGTCATTCTTGAACTACTGTGGCTTACTCTATTGACTCTGATTGACAGTTTTTGAGTTATTGATCCATCTCAGGATCATAGACTTCTCTAATATGCTTTCTTTGTGGAAAGTTACTCTTGAACTATTGTGTCTTACTCTATTGCTTTCAATAGACTAATCACATTTTCATTAATTGCACATCAAAGGATTATACCATCCAATTTCTCATTTCACCCTGTATTAAAATCTTCTGGACTAACTACTAATATATATATATGTAGATGCCTATGGCTTGCCAGCTGCTACTGCAGGCACCTGCAGAAATTAGCATATATCAGTGAATCTGATCCTGCTGGTTATGAGGTGATCTGGGCACTTGGAGCTGGATGTAGAGACTTATCTACCCTCATTATACCTCCTATGCACCCAAGGTAGGCAGTGAAATCCACTTTTACAGGGTGCCCCAACTGAATTTGCAGCACTTGTCTTGCCACTTTTGAGGCACCCTGTATTATACATGTACATCTTTAACTACATATATTAACAAACAAGAAAAGGTTTGACTCACTATGATTTTGAAATTTAAATAATTTGATGTGTTCCTAATTTTCAGTTTTCACTTTTATGGCTTTAAAAAAATTTGCCTCAAATATTTTTTTCTTGAAATTCAGTTATACTGCAATTCTTCAACAGCTACTTTTGTATTTCTGTTTATAAAATATCTAATGTCATCATTGAATACATTTTAGTCAACATCCATATCGCTTCAACAACAGATGTCTACGTCTTGTGAGTCAGTGCTGGTCACAGCTACATGTTCTCTGTATAGGTGGCGTTGAGATAAACCAGAAAGGTCTCGTCAACCTAGGTAAGTTTATGTAGAGCTCTTAACTCGTTTATTCTCTCTACAAGTTCCACTAAGCATTGGAGTCAATTTTGGTTTGGCTATTAAATTTCTTTGTCCAAGAATTACTGTGGAGCTAATTAGACCAGTCTACTGCCTGATACAGATGACATGCATCAACTTCAACAAACCAATTGGAAATGGTAGCTTATATATTAACAATCTACAGAGTGGGCCAATAACATGTACTCTGTAAAATGCAGACATAGACCAAATGCCATGAAAAGTAGGAAGTATACTTAAAAGTTCTCATCAATGGTTGCTTTCATCATTTTTTTGCTTTACATGCATGTATATATCTCTTTCTATATTTTAGCGAAGAATTGCCCAAGATTGCAAGTCCTGGAGCTAGATCATATATCTGAAATGACTGAAGAGACATCTATTTTGATGTGTAAGCAAGGATTGAAGGGACTCGAGGCATTGGATTTCACGTTCACTCCAGTCACACCCAAATCTATACTTCAGTTTATAAGTAAGTGTGAGAGATATAACACTAAGAAGACAGTTTTTAATAAAACATAAAATTTTTTTAATGTCACCACCACCAGTGTTAAATCTCCAGCTTTTTTTGACAGTGTTCGGCATTCAGAGTTTGACACCTGTAACAAATGGCAGGTGGTGACATTATGCATGTTACTGCGTTGTTTGTTTTTTGGATGATTTCACTTTTGACTGTTCAATCAGTTTTATTTTTTTCACCTATCATTTTCATTTGAAATATACCTCCAGTGGATGTATTGGCGAAAAACTCCATTAGTGTTCCAGTAGTGTTATTGTTTTCATGAACATTGTGATCCTGATCATGTTATTGATAACTGATACAATTAAAATTGTTTAAAAGTCAAATGAGTCATTTATCTAAGTTGTTAATATCAAAAATCAATCATGCTTTAGTCTGGCTATCTTGCATTGCTCTCTTCCCCCACACACCACCCCCTTCTGCCCATTGCAAAAGCAGACCACAGGCCTGCTACTGTCAGTCTGTCTTGCTTCAACTATAGATTTACAATTAATATATGAGTTGATTTGTTTCATAATGCTAAAAATATAATATTTTCAATAGTCTGTTACAAATAGGTCACAGTGACCTTTATAAAAACAAATAATTTTGAAATTGCTTATAAATTATTTTGAGCATTGTTATAAAACTTAAGTTCTGTTCTGAGGACAATTCAATATCATCACATCAACCAAACTTAACTAAAACTCTTCTACACAGTTCAAGATTTTGATTGACAGCTCTATATTTAGAACATGAAATTGATGGCCTGTGTTAAAACTCCAAGGTCAAGCTGATCTGGTCACTCCTTAATGCAATTTAGAAATAGATTTTTCTTGAAAATGATCAATTCTTTCTTCATATTTCTCAGTCAAAACATACTTATAGAAAAATTGACCTTTCAAATCATTTTAATTTATCAAATATCAGTTTATTTGAGAGGTTTTAGTCATGATTATTTTTGTCTGAAAGAAGGTTTTTCCAGTGTTTAATAGGTCAGTTTTGTCAAAGAATTTTGTTTATTCATCTATAGAAAATACAGTTTCTCAATCCTCACAACTTCAGGGGTTCTTTTTAACTTTCTTATGTCACCACTTAATATGTTAATGCCTTGTTGTTTGATGGGATTGATTCAATGTTTATGTGAAAAAATGAAGAACCTTTTGCTGAATATATTGCTATTAGAGCTCAAAATGAGAACACCAGTTCAAAGCTACCAACAATCTAATTACCCAGGTCTTGGGTCCAGTTACCAGTTTCATTTCCAGGTGGTCAATTTGAGTCAAATAGCATGACAGATAAAGTAGAAAGTTCCCTTAAACTTAAATACTCATCAGTTTTAGTGGATCAATTTTTATATTACCCTTATTAAAATATGTCCAGTAAAAGAAATTATTAAGCACCTCATTAAAATACTCAAATCTGATTGGTTAAGAGCTGCAGGGTCTATTGTCATATGTGGCAGCAAGATCTCGCTCTATCCAGTATTGAAGCAATGAAATCTCCAACCATCCCATATTTTTAATACCCTATCCCCAAGAATGTAATAAAGTATTTCTTGACAATTTCACACCATCTTTTATTTATCTACAGTAAATTAAGGATAGGAATATGATATTAACCAAGGGCTCAATAGGGTAGCTATCCAACTCAGCAGTATTTTGGATTACATTGCCGATATCAATCTTTTTTATCTGATTGATCAAACACATTTACTGATACATATTAGGTATATAATAAAAAGAATTATTAACCTCTGACATTTTATCTGGTTCTTCAGGTGCCTGTCCAAAGTTGAAGAGTTTGTCCGTACACATAGGAATCTCAGATTACTTTGAAGATATTCAGGATGACAGGAATAAACGTGATTATGAGCAAATAGTCTCAAAACTGAAGGTAAGTGTGATATAAGAGCCTGCAAATAAATAATCTCAAAACTGAAGGCATATGATATGTGACTGACTGCAATAACAATGTGTCTTTTTGATGTGAAAAGCAAATATATCATTTTAATATTCAAGTAATAATTAAAGTAGGGGACTCATAACTTTTATTACTTCAATGTAATGCAGGTACTGGCTTTGTAACCTTGGTAACTACGAGTGTTATATTGTAACATTATGGCAATAAGTAAAACAAAATTGGTGGCTTTGTTTTCAGGTGCTACTGAAGAGACCCGGTGTGAGGGGTGTTCTACATTTGAGAACTGATTATGGATAGCATACTAACAATGGATGTCAATACAAAAGTGAATGTTAATACAATAGTGGATGTTAACACAAGATATAAGGATATGGCCCATGCCTATCAAACAAACCAACCTGATGTACTGTATTTCAAGGACTGCATAATTATGGATATTAAAAAGCTTTCCAAAAGGAAACTGCTCATCAAATAAACTAATCAGTATATAAAACTTCTCACTCTCATAACAAAAACATATGACATCTTACTATATGTTAAATACGAATGAAGGATCTCCAGTGGAAAAGTATTGAAATGGTCAATGAAAAATCAACTACACCTTATACACACCACTTTAAGGCTGTCTGGGATTAAATTATGTGAAAATGAAAGTTTGGGAAAAAAGAAGATTGTGGGAAAAATTGAAATATGGAGAAAAAAACAGTATTTTCTCCTATTTAATGCAGGGCCTTTGTAAAATTATGTAAAAACACCCAGAATTGATTTTCATTATTTTATATTTATTTGTCATAGCAAACACATGGCTCAAGTTTACAATACAGCGTGCTTGGCTACAAAATAAAAGAGAAGCTGCGATGGAAAACCTCATTTCATGATTCCTAATTTTATTGAAAAACTAAATCAACTATTAGTGAAAAATCATTGATAAATAAATAATATTGCATTGGTTAGCAACAATTGCCATGGAAACCATCGCAGCTATCTTGGTACTACACTGTAAAAGTAATACCAATATTTTATACTATTTAATCCCTCCATGCATATACATGTATAAATAAAATATTTCTTTTAACATAAACGTAAAGGTGTTGCAAGCCAGGTATCTAACTTAATATTATGACATGATACAAATGCCTTGTTTGCCATAAAACTACAACTTAATATTAATAAATGAACTAAAAATGAAATAAAAACCAATGATATAATATCTGTATAGCATCTCAGATACATAAATAAACATGAACTAAGTATTTAATGTGATTCTTTTTTCAGTTTTATAACCACATTCTGAGAGTTAGTAACACATACAGAAAACAAGACCCTTTTTTTATAATAATGTACTGTACAGTGCCAATGGATAGTACTATTTGTACAGTGCCAATGTACAGTACTATTTGCACAGTGCCAATGTATAGTACTTTGTTTCATCCCAATTTATAAAACTTATTGGAAATATGATTGGCTACCTCACGCACCCTTTGGTCTTGCTTACAGTAATTTTGAGGTTCATAGTCAGAGTATACAAAATCCCAGTTGACCTCTCTAGAGGTGTACAATTGTATACAACAATAGAAATCAATAGGTCTCATCTAGTACTTATATATATGAATTTTACATTTCATTTATGACACATATAACCAAATATTGCAACTTAAGCTCGGGAATTCATAGCACTCCGTCGAAATTAAATTATTTACAAATCATTTATTTATTTAATTACACATTACAATATTCTTTTATTGTAAGATAATTCACCCCTTTTATAGGATCACAGTTCGCTGTTCCTATTTAAATCATACTACTATCTAATCTATAGATTCAAAGCTTTAACTCAATAGTTACACCCCCATAATAAGATTGGAAATTCCAGTGGGGTGTATTATCAATCATATACATGCAAATTGTGTATGTTCAATAATTTATACAATCCTGATATATTTTTTTTATTATACAATGGCGAAAGCTTTTATTCTACGCAAGCTTAACATTAATTTGCGTAGGAATTGAAATCATGTTGGTGTATGTCTTTTCCATAAGGTCTTGGATTCATGGAAAAACATGAATTAAAGGTGTGTATGGAAAAGCCATGTTTTACTGTATACCATATAGGATATGCTAGATTTATGACTAATTTACTGAAATACCCAATATTTTCAAGATGCAGATTTTGAATGAAAATCACTTTAAAAAGATATTTTAAGATTTGTTAGTTATCCCTTACAGAGCAAAATTAAAAACCCATGAAAATAACAGAGATGACAAGTCGGTATTTACATATGATATTACTGACACAGAATAAAAAGATGTTGAGATTTCTTTATTGTTGAGAAATATCCAAACATTCTTCAGAGATGTAGTTCAAAAACACATGTTACGGCCAATTAAGGGCAAGTCTGATATGACACAAAGATGTTTTACAAGACTCAGTCCTCGTGATCATTTATACATGAATGTTATTTCATTTGGCATTTTTGCCACTCGTGAATTTGGCATATTTTCCATGATCATTTTTTTTGCTCTCAAGTCATGCGTCTGAATGTACACTTCGTGCAATCTGAACAAAAGTATCTGGAATATTTTTGAAAAACCTTCTGATTTTCTTGGTTGGTAATTGAGGAAAGATGTTTAGTAATTCACATGGTATTATGGTACAAGAATTATATAAAATGATGTGATATGGCATGCAAAATGTTCATACATACAGTAAAACATGTAAGTGGCTCCATCAAAACAAAGTTCTCCTTGGGAGGTGTTTCATATCCAGATGGTAATTTACTAATTTTTACAGTTAATTAATGAGAAACGGGATTTTGATTTACACAGGTGTTCCAATTTACATTTTACTGTACATGTGCTGAGAGATATCACGGTTTCCCTATATTGGACCATATTTCAGGTGAGATAGTTCGGGTCGAGACGCGGGACAGAAATGGTTAATATCTGGATGATATTACCAGTATGGCATCACACCCTGAAAGTACCTTGTCCCAAGACCATTTGAACCATTCTGTCCCGAAATATTTTTTGGGCTGTGACACCACTACATGTACTGTGCATTACAGAGTATGACAGTATGAGAATGGCACTTTGGGGTATACAATTATACAGGCTAGAACAACATTTCATTTTCTTCAAAGATTATAATGCAAGCTTATAAATATCTTACAAAGGTTCTTGTATAATGACCTTAAATCTATTTTATAGTATGGCAATTATATTGTAAGACTATTATATATCATTCAAAATTCAGCATTTTTGGAGATCCATATTTTCATTGCACCAAATAAATCAATTTACATCTTGTTACATTCCTACGTATTTAATCCAAATTCGGTATCCATTCCTTTAGTATCTAGTGTAGACGGAAATCATGAACATAAACAGTAATAACATCCTCCATGATGCAACTAGCTATGATCACTCTTTTTATGCAGCTCAATCCTAAAAATAGAGCTCCATTGCATTTGTTAAATTGGTTGGTTCATTCAATTCCTGATTTGGTATATCCTAAGACTATTTGTTTTGTGGTAATCCGATCAACTGTTATGGAGTTATCCTGTTTTTACCACATAATGATAATATAGTGAAGTTTATGTAGAGAACTAGAAAGGGGTTCTGTCAACATTTTATGTGCATCAATATCAGAAATTCCACTTACTAATAGGCTTTTTTTTAGGTCCATGATATATGCTATAACTGTAACGTCACAATTAATGAAACATTATGTAACACTCTTGTTACATTTTCTGTAACATACCAGTTACACTTTCATGATATAACTTTCCTATGATTCAGTCAAGTCAACTATTCGAAATGTTAGTCTTCCTGTTTGTCGAATAACATAATCCCAAGGAGAGAGGTGTAACTCCTTAGAAAGAAGACTAAATGTAGCAAATATACCTGTACATGTAAAAAATACATTTGCACATGTATCACATACAGCTGAATATGTAGAAAATACAGCATGGTATGTGACAAATACAGCTGAATATGTGGAAAATGCAGTCCAATATGTGGCAAACACAGCTGAATATGAGGCAAATGTACATGAGGCTGATGTACCTGTACATAAGCTAATACACCTGTATATGTAGCAATTACACATGTATATGTAGCAAATACAGCTGTATATGTAGTAATTACACTTGGTTCTTGGCGTATGCATCTAGATGCACCTAAATATTATGTTTTACAAGTGTTCACTTGATTGCGTCAGTTACAAATGCACTATAGTTAATACAAGTGCACTAATGTCTAATACAAGTGCACTCTGGTTTTCAGATCATTTCGTTTCCATTCTGCTAATCTTGCAAATTCTTTTCTAGACATTTCAAATAATTTTTGGAACTCATCATCAGCTAAATGTCTCTGAAAATACAAAAATACAATATTCGTTCAAGTCTAAAATTTGAAGTGATTTCATTTTCATTCAAAAATGTAACATTACAACCCCAGGCATGCGTGACAGCCCATAATAATTTTTAAATATAATATATTGAAGCTAATGTGGTAGAACATAACGAATTTAATATTCACATTTACTGCTATTTCTACTTCGGATGTCAATCATAACATCCATTTTTAAGTTCATGAACATGTAAAATACAAATATAAAAGAACAATAAAATATGAAGAAACAAACAACCATTAACAAACATAAGCAAATAATACAACCTTACATTATGTACAAGGGTTGTCCCAGAAGTTCTGAACTTATTCTAAGACCAAGAGATTTACCATTCAAAAGTGGGATTTCAACAATAATTTTCAAGATTCCGAGATGAAAATATTTGTTGTGTGTAACATATAATAAGTTTGAACTTCACAAAAATTTAGATAATAAAACATTTTCAATCAGAAACTTATCAGGTTTGAATAATAAAAGCTATTAGTTTTAGAAAACAATTAGCTCAGGACTTTCAGGACATCCCTCAAACATATTTTTGACGAACCGGTACAAGACTCGCTTTATATGACAAAATAAAATATAACGAAGCATGAGACTTATTAAGGTCTCAATTAGGTTAGTCTGTTAAAGCTTATTGATGTTTGAATCTCAGTTTTGCTCCTCTAATTACAATATCACTGAAAGTTATGACTGATCGATTTTTTGAAATTGCCAAACATTGCGAGAACTACTCCAAGAGAAATGAGCTACATGGTTTGCAAGTATCTATTTCATTTCCATAAGACAAGAAGGGATGGTTGGGATGATAAAAACAAATACAATCGACACCATATAAAAATGTGCTATTCATATTAGAGATGGTACAGAAGATAACATAAGATAAATGTATGAAAATCATACCTCTAATTTTAATCTGTCTACATCTTTAGGAAGTCTCAAATTAGTCATCTTCAACTGCTCGTATGGATAGATCTGAAATTAAGAGAAAAAAATTTAATAAAAATTTATGAACATTCAAGGTGTGATCCATTTTTATATGAAGATAAAATGTAATGTTTTCTTATGTAGGCATACTTGAGATTATTGAATTACGAACGCAGACTACATTATGATATATCAGACGTTATCAAAAAGCAATTTGTTATCAGTACTGATGGGATAAATAAACTAAAAGAAATTTATGAAAGAAATAGTCTATGCAGAAACGAGCACTTTTTCATCATGTTAGGGTCCCTAAGTCCCCAAATCTGCCAGTGCCCTGAGTTCAAAACATTTATTAACCATATGTACTTTCAAACTCCACACACCAAGAATTCCAAATTCCAATCATTTTGCATTCACAGAGTTTACCACACACACACACACTTTTTACTAGGGTTCCCACAATACATCAGACTTTCAAAATATTTTGCTGGTTTGACGAGCATCCAGTATTAAAATTTCAGACCATCAAAAACTGAGTTTAACTAGAAAAACAGCAACTCCACGGAGTAGCAAATCCCACCGAACAAAACATGTTTTGATGAAAAATTTGAGCCAAATTCATCCACTGGTATTTGAATTATCAAAGATTATGTTTTTATGAAACATGGTTGCCATTTTGAAATTCAGCTGTCATCTTTAGATTTCTTCTTTAGCAGAGAATGTCAGTCCAATGGTTTTTGGGTTATCAAAGATTACTTTTTTAATGAAAAATGGCAGCCATTTAGAAATTCAGCTAACGCCTTTAAAATTTCTTCTGAAGCAGATCTCCTTTTTCCCTAAACATCAGCATATAAAATTGGAACCAAATCCATCCACTGGTATTTGAGTTATCATTAATTACATTTTTTTACGAAAAATGGCGGCCATTTTAAAATTCAGGGGCCATCTTGAAAATTTATTTTTGAGCAGAACTTCTTTGTCTCTAGGCATCAGCATAAAGAATTTGAACCAAATCCGTCAACTGGTATTTGAGTTATCAAAGGTTACGTTCTTTTATGAAAAATGGTGGCCATTTTGAAATTTAGCTACCACCTTGAAAATCCCTTCTCGAGCAGAGCTCCTATGTTCCTAGGCATCATCATGTAAAATTTGAACTAAATCCATTCAATGGTAATTGAGTTATCAAAGATAATGTTTTTTTACGAAAAATGGCCACCATTTTGAAATTTAACTGCCATCTTGAAAATCCTTTCTCGGGCAGAGCTCCTATGTCCCTAGGCATCAGCATCTAAAATTTGAACCAAATCCATTCAATGGTATTTGAGTTATCAAAGATAACTGATTTTTACGAAAAATGGCCGCCATTTTGAAATTTGGTGGCCATCTTGAAAATGTCTTCTTGAGCAAGGCTCCTTTGTACCCAGGCAACAGCATATAAAATTTGAACCAAATCCATCCACTAGTATTTGAGTTATTAAAGATCATATTTTTTCCGAAAAATGGCCGCCATTTTGAATTAAGTGGCCATATTGAAAATTCCTTCTCGAGCAGAGGTCCTACACCCATTAAGCTACGTTCACACCAACGGCGATTGCCACGCTTTAAATCGGCGAGCAAAGCGCCGTCATTTTTGTCATTTTTGTTCATACCAACGGCGCTTTGATGGCGCTTTAAAGCGGCTTGTAAAGCGGCACCAAAGCGTAACAAAGCTTGATTAAAGCGTCGGGGTCGTAATAGGTCGTAGAAAAGCTCGGAGTAAAGCGGGATATTCGGCAAGAGCGCCAACAAATTTTAAACTGTTCAAAAATTTTGGGCGCTCTGTTACGAATTGATTAAAGCGCCGAGAGCGTATCAAAGCTTAACAAACCATAACAAAGCTCAGAAAAGCTTGATTCAAAGCATAGGAAAGCTCAACATAGCTCTGATAGGTTCCTCACGCTTTGATCCCGCTTTGACCAGGCTTTGTTACGCTTGAAATCACGCTTTGATAAGCTTTGATAAGCATTATTACGCTTTGAGGCGATTATGACGCTTTAAATCAGGCTCTGATACGATTGCCAAGCTCTGTTGTGCACTGTTACGCTCTGTTAAGCTATGACAAGCATTGGAAAATGTCGAGATCGACGATTCGATGCAGCTTTTGATCCAATGACTATATAAAGATGCAGTAGATCCATAAAACCATTGCATCTTTGACTCGAGAACACGATGGCAGAACAACAAGATCCAGAAATTCCAGATGGACCAGAGCATGACCTATCTGAATAAGACATGACGTTTGACGCACGGCGTGAAAGAGCGTGAGAGAGCATGAGGAAGCTTGTCAAGCGTAACAAAGCCTAACAAAAGCGTTTCAATTCCTGATGTAAGCGTCTCAATTTGTTGGAAAGCTTGAGAGTCCTTCATGAAAGCGTAACAAAGAGTGTCAGATATTGATGAAAGCGTATGACCTCGTGTCAGATCTTCATGCCAGATCGTAACAAAAATTGAGGCATCTTAACGAAGCGTGTAAAGTGATAACAGACCGTGAAGAGACTGGGGTCCCCGCTTTAAACCAAGCTCTGTTAAGCTTTCCTACGCTTTGGGTCAAGCTTTGCTGAGCTTTGTTACGGTTTTTTAAGCTTTGATACGCTCTCGGCGCTTTAAGCAATTCGTAACAGAACGCCCAAAATTTTTAAACAGTTTAACATTTTTTGGCGCTCTTGCCGAATATCCCGCTTTACTCCGAACTTTTCTACGACTTATTACGACCCCGACGCTTTAATCAAGCTTTGTTACGCTTTGGTGCCGCTTTACAAGCCGCTTTAAAGCGCCATCAAAGCGCCGTGGGTGCGAACGCTTAAACAGTTTAAATTTTCTAGCGCTCTTGCCGAATATCCCGCTTTACTCCCGAGCTTTTCTACGACCTATTACGACCCCGACGCTTTAATTAAGCTTTGTTACGCTTTGGTGCCGCTTTACAAGCCGCTTTAAAGCGCCATCAAAGCGCCGTTGGTGTGAACGTACCTTAAGGCATGAGCCTATAAAATTTGAATGAAATCCGTCAACCGGTATTTGAGTAATTGCCCGGACACACGAACGGACGGACGGACGAACGGACGGACGGAAGAATGGACGGACGGACGAACGGACGGATGAACGGACGGACAGACAGCTTTTCTATATCCCCCTCGAACTTCGTTCGGTGGGATAATTAAAATTGTGTCACATATTCCTTATCTACAGTGAAATATCATATAAACAGTGATTAATAATGGTTGGTCTATGTCTCATTAGGATTATTTCTTAAATCAAAAAATATACAAGTATGTTAATGTGTATATACATACACATATTGTTAGCCAAAATGGAGATATATATATCGACAGATGTGTCATGGGATCCCTAGTTCCTTATTGGACTATCACCATACTTTAAGTCAGATGGCAGTCAAACATAATGGAAAATGTGATATGATATATGATCATAGAAATTATCTAATTCTGTTTTTTTGTATGGAATTTCAAGTCAAGGCATGACACAAGTATGACTCACTACCATTTAAAGGGTCTCATTTGCCATTCATGCTTTAACTTAAATTGGTTTTTCAGAGCAAAGACCCTTTAAAACCAATCAGTTCCAGTCAATGCAGTAAATAAGAAGAATAGGATGATCAGAAGAAGTTTAGAGGTAATAATTTCTTTGAAAGGAGTTATCTGCCAATTTCGAAGTTCCCTTCTTCCTTCATGCATGTTGATCATATTCAAATGTAGCTGTTGCTATATAGAAGAGAGATGTTGCTATAGTGAAGTAAAGATGTTGCTATATAGAAGTAGAGATGTTGCAATATAGAAGTAGAGATGTTGCTATATAGAAGTAGAGATGTTGCTATAGTGAAGTAAAGATGTTGCTATATAGAAGTAGAGATGTTACTATATAGAAGTAGAGCTGGTGCAATATAGAAGTTGCTATAATGAAACAGAGATGTTGTTATATAGAAATAGAGATGTTGTTATATAGAAGTAGAGATGTTACTATATAGAAGTAGAGCTGGTGCAATATAGAAGTTGCTATAATGAAACAGAGATGTTGTTATATAGAAATAGAGACATTGTTATATAGAAGTAAAGATGTTGCTATATAGAAGTAGAGCTGTTGCAATATAGAAGTAGAGATGTTACTATATAGAAGTAGAGATGTTACTATATAGAAGTAGACATGATGATATATAGAAGTAGAGATGTTGCAATATAGAAGTAGAGATGTTACTATATAGAAGTAGAGATGTTGCTATACAGAAGTAGACATGATGATATATAGAAGTAGAGATGTTGCCATATAGAAGTATAGATGGTGCTATATAGAAGTAGAGATGTTGCTATACAGAAGTAGACATGATGATATATAGAAGTAGAGATGTTGCCATATAGAAGTATAGATGGTGCTATATAGAAGTAGAGATGTTGCTATATAGAAGAATAGATGTTGCTATATAGAAGTAGAGATGTTGCAATATAGAAGTAGAGCTGTTGCTATATAGAAGTAGAGATGTTACTTTATAGAAGTAGAGATGTTGCTATATAGAAGTAGACATAATATTGCTATCTAGAAGTAAACATGTTGCTATATGGAAGAAGAAATGTTGCTATATAGAAGTAAACATATCGCCACAAAGAAGTAAAGATGTTGTTATATAGAAGTAGACATGTTACTGTATAGAAGTAAAGATGTTGCTATATAGAGGTTTAGATGTCACCATATATTAGTAGAGCTGTAACTATACATAAGTAGAAATGTTACTATATATAAGCAGAGATGTTACTATATTAAGTAGAGCTATTACTATATATAGGCAGAGCTATTACTACATATAAGTATAGCTGTGACTCTTAAGTAGAGCTATATATTTACTATATTCACAAGCAAGGCCTAGGCATTTCCTAAAAATGAGTTCTGAATACCTTGGCATGCTGTGTTCGGTCTTGAAATAGCTAGAAATGAAAGTAGAACACAGCAAAATTATAACACAACACAACTACAATGGTGAGACATGTATACAAAAACATAATAAAACGGTGTGACAAACAAACACAAGTTAATTACTTAAACACATGAAAATGGGTCATAAACCTTTGCATGATAATTTGTTATCTAGTAATAAACTGACATTAAATTGACACCACTGATGTCAGCTGACATTAAATCAGTAAAAATGAAACATGTGGAATACCACCATTTTACTGTATTGTTATAAGTTGACATCAGTGATGTCGAGGGATAAATAGATTAACATGACATATAAAATGATAATTATCTAGTGAAGACAACTACAGTATATTATTCATATTACTTAAAAATTAGCCATGTCATTTTAAAAACATATTGTTATACTCAGTAGGTTCATTTGTGATTCAAAACCAGTGTATAGACTACGGATCTTTGAAATGAGGATATGTTATTTTCTCTAATTTCTAATTGATATTTTTGTGATTCCCTTGAATTTTAAATATTGGATACCAAAAAGAGAAGTACAGAGTACTGGTGAAAATCCATAGTTTGCAACTCTGGAAACATGAAATGGTTGAAAGCAGTAAAAATATAGGTCAATTGGCAAGCTTTTTTAGATAAACTTGCAGTTTGGGATAAAACATGAATTATAAACAAAACAGCGATAAGCCACACGCATGCATGCTCAAAATAGGAGTACTTCCATTGAGTTTTATCAAACATATGCACCCTATGCTTAGTGAGCGGAGCTAATTTCAAGGGTGATGGTAAAGACGAGGCAGGGCGCCCAAACCTAACTGTGACGGACCAGCAGTAAGTTTATTTCTCTAAGTTCTACTCTTTATTGGCCTTGTGCTGGCCTGTAACTAGGTGCACTGATGCTTCAGATGCCCATAATAAGATTTGTAATGTAAGAAAGATTCATACTTATATGTGAAACGGAAACGAATTGATGTGAAAAGAAAAATTAATTTCCTGCATATTTTTTTTTCGATTATTTTCAAAATAATGATACTTCTCCTGCATAGAATTCCTTGATATTGCATGTAATTATTGTTGATGAACGTATTTATATCGTTAACCCATCCATTTCCCAATTTGAGCCGTAATTGCAGTCAAATCAGGAGATTTTGATTCCTCGAAAGGAAGAGCAATGGTTATGGTAATAAAAGCATGTTTGGACTGGACGAGCCGTGGAATAGGGATTACATTTATCCTGTTTATTTTCAGATATGTGGGATTCCAGTGTTACTACTGTCACGGAAAATCAAAAGACTTTGATGAAATAATACACCACCTGATCAATAAACACCCTACAAATGAAATGAAAATTCGAAAAATCGTTAATGTCAACGGAATAATAAAATTAATTACAAGAAATTTTTCTCATGTGGTAACAACCTCTGACTACATCTGTTATGTTAACAACCTCTGACTACATCTGTCATGTTAACAATCTCTGACTACATCTGTCATATTAACAACCTCTGACTACATCTGTCATGTTAACAATCTCTGACTCTATCTGCCATGTTAACAGCCTCTGACTACACTTGTCATGTAAATAAAGTCTGACTTCATTTATTATGTTAACAATTTCTGAATACACCTGCCATGTTAACAACCTTTGACATCAACAATCTCTGACTACATCTGTCATGCGTCTGATTTTTTATGACTTTGTCAACATTTGTTAAAAAAGTGTGGGCCAGTTACCATTTATACAACAACCAACACTTTTTGATAAATCATAAAATCAAGTGACTACATGTTTTGCAAGTTTTTACCATTGATTGAAGCCTATGACAACCTTGCCCAAATACATTAATTTATTAATTGACAGTGTACATTTTAGCTGAATTTAGCAGTACTCGTAGCAGCTAAGTGCTTGCCCATAGCCACTCCTCCTAGCAAATTACATCGCCATTGCTCGTCATCGAAATTCTGATCGCCGAATAGTAAACATTCATTTTGTATTGGATGTGCATAACTAGAGACCGCCTTATTTCGCATATATGAAAATATAAAACATATCTAGGTACATATAACTTTATATGTGACATCGATCAGGAATTATTGACATATTGACAATATTAGGTTGTAATTTCTTGCGGTAAATTCAAATTGTATCTTTAAACGACTGTTTCATCTCAACTATTCGTTTTATTGGATGTAAAACAAACGGTATGCACAGTTTAACATCTTTCACTTCTAAAACAGCATAAAATATCACAATATCATCACCTTATGCTGCAATAATACGACTTAAAAGATTATGGTACTAATATTCTTTGGTTTTTGGGCGCCCTGCCTCGTCTTTACCATCACCCTTGAAATTAGCTCCGCTCACTAAGCATAGGGTGATATGAAGATCTCATATTAGATTCATTTGAAACACGGATTTAAAATTCTATAATAATAAAAATAAAAAAGGAAGGGTGATTTGAAACAAATGATTTTCATTTCAAAAGGATAAACTAATATTTCGAGCAAATAGTTATAATGAAATGCTTTTCATTTGAAGGAATATCAAGTATGAAGAAATCTTAACAAGTACAATGCTGTGAAATGACAACAAAATAAAATGTGAGTAACAAAAAAAGGTTTCAAAATGGCAACACATTCCTAAAATGACAAAAAGTTAAAAACAAATCTTAAAGTGACAAAAAGTAAGAAAAGTTGAAAAAAGTTAAAAAATAAGATGATAACAAAACTTATAGGGGACAAGAACAATAAAAACAATAATATTATTGGAATCAATTGGGCTTAGTATGAAGTAGAACTGACAACATATAGTTGACTGATCATTTAAAATTTTTGAACTTGTACCCTGTTTGTGCGCTGTTTTAATCCAGTATTTTAAATCACAAAAATTTATTTGAATTCAAAATCAAGCAGTGATACATGTAACCATTAAAATGGCTGATTTTAACATGATTTTTCAACTCAGTCTTAGGATTATTAAGGCATATTTTAATTCGGCCATTCAACGGGATAATAACAAAAGAATTAATAATAAAAAAGGCACAAGATATCCATGGACTAAAATTACATCCTAAAGAATGACTTTAATGATAGTTGCACCTATGGTTAATCTGGCGATAATTCAGCAATTTGGTTTTTAGATAAAATAGCGTCAAATGAACCACAAGAACAGTGTGCGATATACCTACAACATCTAAAATGACGATGATTTTGACTGTATGAGTATATACCTTAGGTTCTAGAAGATCAGGCTGGGATTTTCGTAAACCCATATACGCCGCGTACGAGGAGTAATCGTCATCGATATCATTACTTATGTAAGAACTTCGTAGACGACCAGTTGATAGTGATGAACCACGAAGCTTAGTATTTCGCTGCCAGATAAAAATGCACAAGAATCATGCAAATGTTTAGAGCTCCTAGGCTGCAGGTTGCTAGGCTGCAGGTTGCTAGGCTGCAATAATGGTCGCAGGAGCCATCCATGAAAACATTTCATGCATATTTTGTGCGAGGAGCCACGTTACTTACTTATACAATACAGAGTGATCAGAAATTCTCTGTATATAATGACAAGATTTTCTGAACACCCTGTATATATAGACATACTCCGCAAGTGACAAATACATGAACTATTTTATGAGGGCTATGCTATAGAGAGAGAGGATAAAACATGTGTTAGGTGGAAGGAATAAGCAAGGGGTCTTGGGGGAACCAATTAAAGTAAAGGAAATAGAAAATGGCATTTGACCTTCCTTTTAGTATATTTGATCGAATCAAATGCACATGAAAGAAAAAACTTAATGTAAGGCAAATTATTAGCGAAATTAAAATGAAATCCATTTCAGAATTCCTGAGGTCTATTTATCTGAACTGCCGGAAATCATTTTCATTAATGGTTTAGTAACATTCTCAGTGGCAATGTCATCTATCTCCTTTAGAATATAGCCCTCCCAAATCTGAATATATATCCGAGATGTAAGATAGCGTAATTAAGATTTTAGAATTTTCTGAAATGGATGACTGAGGTGCAGCTAAGCACATGAACTCACTCAGTGCAATGCCTTGGTGGTAACACCTGGGGGTACCATGACTATCTATTATAGTTATTTCAGGTAGATCTGCGTGATGTCGTTTTTATGGAATTTTCATGAAGTCTCATGAAATAAGTATTTTTCACATTTTTATGGAATATTTTTACACAATATGATAGAATACGTACATTGTTCTCAAAATATTTTAATAAAATATACGATTTCTGCAATTTGGGGTTCTCAACTTTTGTTATGAAAATGTGGAACCACCTTAAGCTTGAAAATAACAAGCTAAAGACATGTGTGTCTTATCTAGTCTGGTACCCCTAGTCTCAACCAATCAAAATGTTTTTGATGTTATTTCTGTTGTATGTACAGTAAAACCTGCCAAACTGAACACATTTTTAGTTTGTGCAGATGTTTTTTATACACTGTGTATGGTTTAACTGTACATGGACTTTGGTCAGGAGTTATTCACTTATGATACATATTAATAATAAACACATGTTAATTAATTGATCAACACATGTTAATTAATTGATCAACACATGCTAATAAATTGATCAACACATGTTAATAAATTGATCAACGCATGTTAATACAAAGGCTCATCAGTGAAGCATCAAATATAGTTGAGGAAGTCAGCTAGTTTAAAATCTGGAGATTTCTTCACCAGCTACCTGCCTTAATAAGTCAAATAATGCAAGTTATTTACCATGATGAACAAATGATAATAGCATTAATTTTGAAACAAAATCATAAAAGAGCAAGTACTGTAAATAGCTTAGTACTAACATGATTGAACAAAAATTCGAACAAAAATTCAAATTTTTTGAATATCTAAAAAGATTGTTATTTCAAAGCACTGGCTCTTTTAGACTAAGTAACAAACTATTAAATAACAGCAAAAAACAGTATAAATGAGCTCAAAAACTAGATATTCTTGTATATATAAGCTTATAAAAGCAAACATATGAACTTTTATTTCAAAATTCACATGCATTTCATGCATTATGTTTGGTAATAACAGACCTCTCATTGGGCTGTTTGTGGACATAATCAGAATGGGCCAAACATGAAAAGTGAAAAATTATAAAACAAACCATCTCAATGTACACGGGTTGTTCAATAAGTTCAAAACAATGATGGAATGGCTCATCCAAAAGTTTTTGAACAACCTTGTACAAATTGGACCAGGACACATTAGTGTAAAGATATATCCAGTTTTTATATAAAAGTTAATTAATAACACTCTAAATATCATCAAATATAACAATAAATTTAAGTACTATTTTGTAAATTTTGTTTAGTAATTTAAAAAGTTTCCACTATCAACGATTAATCTACAGTATTTTGGAATAAGAACAATCAACAATCAAAATTTGAACGCACATGACATTTGTCAATTTGTCACAAAGGTGCAAAATGATTGGATGATTAGTTATGATGTCATACCTTAAGATTAGCACCAGCGTCACCTTCACCATTAATAGAACCATTTGAAGAAGCTGAAGTATCTGAAAGAGAGAGTTAATAAAATTAAATAGAGAGTTAAGAGAATCAAATAGAATTAGTAGAAGGAAATGGAGAGTTAGCAGAATTAAGAAGTGAGGGACTTTTATGGATCTCTCTCATAAATGACTTATCCTAGGTTCTTTGACCTAGTGTCTTAGAATTACAAATGCAGCAAACATTTTTCAATCAAAATCTTTTTTTTATAATACTTTATTTGCCGAAAAATGTATTTACATACATGGAAATAATCATAATTGCTCCCTCCCCTCCCTCACTAATGTATAAACTACATGTATTGTCTTTCCACATCTTTGTTGGTATCTGAACATTCCCACATACATTATTATTGAACACTGATAAAATCTACATGACCCCAAAAGTAGCTGCCATGGCCTTTAATGAGCGTTTCAATCTGTAATAAATGCCAGGCACAGATGAAAGCATATAGTAAGTCAGTGAATGCTTTTGATTGGGTGGATTTTAAGCAGCCATATTCATTCGAGTGAGTCCCCTAATAACTTACAATTCAATCGTTTCTTCTCATACGCATAATCGTCCAGGTCGAGAGGTCCATCCCGTCCAAGTCCAGGCAGAGTTGAAGATTTATTCTGCTTGGCTAGACTGTACCCAGGCTTTGGCACTAAAACAACAACAACATCTTAAAAATGACTTGAAAATCTTTAAAGGTTTTGCAAATGTCTAAAAAAATCTTAAAATCCATTAAAACACCTTTGAAAATGTCAAGAAAATCTATTTTTGTATCAACCAACCCCCCCTCCACATTTACGTCACACCTTTGAGGTGTGTAGTGTGAGGGAGGGGGGGGGGGGCGCAAGACCTTGAATTAGACTAAGAAAATCTTACACTTCTTACAAAGAGAAAACGAAGAATACCTTTTGGTCAATTATGAAAAATATGCATTTTGGGCGTTCTTAAAGAGGATCAGCAATGAGTATTTATAAAATACTTTTTGCGATGTTTTTTTTACATAGAAAGAACACAAATACAATAATAATTCATCATATATGAATTTCAGGAAATCTAACTGATACATACATTTCAAAATGTTTTGTTTACGTTTTTTTTTTCAAACACAAATTGCTAATATTATTAAAACAGAAAGCAGATAGCTTTAAATCAATACTCAATAATTATTAATTATTTTCAATAAGAAGCAAAGCTTTTAAAGAAGCCAACTATGTTTTGAGTTTAATTTATTTTGATTGGTTTTACGCTTCAGTTCATGTCACCCATTACTATTCTCTTATAGTGTACATCTACTAGTACTTGCATGTATTAAGTACATGGTGTCCCAAAGGTACCTATGTAACTTATATTTCACCTGGAGTCACTCTGTAGTTAAAGTAAATCCAAATCTGTATGGATAACTCTTTCTACATGGGTAACATTATCTTCATACATAACACGATTGTATGAATTCAATTTAAAAACAAAGTTCAATTTTCAAACCCTAAAAGGAATGTATAATTTAGCAATGAGGACAAAGTAAACAAAATGTTAATCCAGCAAATCAAACTAGTTGACAATAATGTGACAACACACTAATTGACACACAACAATGTGACATCACACTTGACACACAACAAAGTGACACCTATTTTGAATAAAATACACTGACACGCTGAATAAAGAGAATTATGTTTATAAGTTAGTTTTATTAAGTTAGTTTTTATCAAGTAAATAGGTAAAAGTGTGAGAAAGAATAAATGTAAAAACTTACTACAATGGGCTATAGGTTTAATTAATTGGTATTTAGGCTATCTAAAATGACCTTGAAATTCTGGGTTATGGTGAAGAGTGGAGGAACTAGGTTTAAACAAATTCTTGAGCCTTTCTTAATAACTTTATGATCTCCATCTATAATTCAGGTGGAATCACCATAAGACAGTTCTTATCAAAATCGCTGTATTCCCAAATAAAATGCATTCCTTACTTTTTGGATGATCCAACCAAAATTTTGTTACATAACTGCCCCTTCCCATAACACCCTCTGCCGAAATAGATACAAAGTGATTATAAGATATTGAAAACTATACAATCTTATAAGAAACTCTAGAAAAGTCAAGAATTTGCCATTTAATTTAGTTGCTAAGTAAATGGTAGCTATGTAAATGGTTGCTATAGAAACAGTAACCAATGGAATCCATACTACCTTTCCAATTATGGACTATGTTATCAGGTCGGTAATGGGCCTTTTTCTCCACTGAGGGTGGAAAAGAAACAAAATTAAAAAGAAATAAACATGCAATTAATATTATGTTACAAATAAGGAAACAGTTAGAGATAAGCATTTTAAGTTTTGTTTCCACATTCAGTCTTTCATGTCTTGTTTTTTAAAACTCAAATTAGAGTAGAAAGGAGTGTTACAAACAAGAAATAAATTACACAGGGAAGAAGTACAAACTCTAAATTGTATAGAAATACAAAAATGTCAGACAGTTTATTCAAATTTTTGAGAGAAATTAAATGAAATACAGAAAACTAGAAATACCTGGTGCAGACGGACTAATGTAGAATTAATATGCAAGACATATAAGACTGAACTGGTAGCTTCATTAGTTTATATATCCATTCTATCATATGTTATTCTTAATATTAATCTTAATATACAGCTTTTACTGTTTTGTTATCTCAATAATTACACAGTTTCAGATGAAGTTTCATACGAAAGGACTTTACGAAGGTATGAAAATGCATGAAAAATGTTAGTTTAAATCAAATTATTGAAAAAATTGAGTGGATATAAAACTCATTTCAGCATTTTGCATTAATACAATACTAATAAATTTTTTTTAAAATAGCCTTTACTGCCCAACTAAAACTACTAAACTATAAGTACATCAAACATACATAAATAAAAATATACATTTACACAAATAAATATGTTAAATATTTTGTAAAATAAATGTGTTACACTACAAAAGTAGAAATGTTTTTAATTAAAATAGAATTCATTGAAATAAATAATAGGTCTCAAAAATAAGTAAATTTATAAAACAATTCCACACCAACCCACACATGCACATTTTAAACTTCTGAACATGATGCAAACAGAACATAAAAACCACCCATGAAATAATCATGAAAGTGTAACAATTTATTACAGATAAAAGTTAAAAGGGATAATGACAACGGGACTAAAATGTAAAAGAAACATTTATCAAAAACAAACAAATTATAAATAAATAATAAAAAAAAACTAAATTACACAATACAACAGCCAGGACACATGCTAGGTATTCATGCAAACCAGAATAATTGTGAACAATGAAGCATAATAGAGGCCCCTTAAAAACAATCATTTTTTTCCTTTAATGGTTATTTTGAGGTCGCAAGGTGGAAGAACCAAACAGAGTAACGCACTTATGCACGCAAACAAATGATCTTGTGCTTTTTGAGGTTCCACTTATTTTGATAGTAGGATGAACTATAATATGAGAAAAAGTAGTATTTTTACAGTGGAATCTTGTGTTTTATTTCATCGATCCTGAAATGTGAAAATCTCTAGATGCAACAACATCTTGAGATGTAAACACCTCAGAGTGAACACCATAAGATGTAAACATTTTTAGCTGGAACAAAAGAATTCTACATTTGACACATCTCGCTGTATCTGCCTTTACTGAACACTTTTAGTTGTGGATAACAAGAATTTGCTTTCGTGCAATAAGTGCTGTCATTCTAGCTACATTTCCTTAAATAAACTACCAAAAAGTTTTAAGATTGCGGCTGATTCATGTCTTATAACAAATCACACATTACAGTGTGATACAACATCAGCCCCTTTCTCATTCTAAACAGTAACCCTTTCTACCACCTATATCAGACATTTTCAGACAATAGCCCCATTACCTTTGCGATATTTGGCTGAAATAGGCAAACAAAAGAAGAATTCAGTCAAAATAAAAATAATACTGCATGTTAAGTGATACCATGTGTTGTATGTAATCAAAACTGCACTGAGTCCAATTAGTATAACAATGGTATATTTTGTAATATACTTTACATAATATTGATATTCTATTACAAGTTTGATTCAGGTTTTCCTGAGAATATTAAAGGTATCACTCCACACTTTTATAAAGACATGCAAAGAGAAAAGAAGTTTTAGTGATATAATTTTTAGTTTTTAATGAATTTCAAGTTCATCTTAATTTCCTGACTTACTCTTGTTTTGACCAGTTGTTATGGTGACATATTATATTGTGACCATGCAGAAGACAGAACCACTCAGAGACACAAGACTCCCTCTTACACCAACAAAGCTTCCAACCTGACCATTTCCCTCATTTTAAACGCACTGGCATGTGTCAATATAAATTTTGTTTTACATGAACCCATGAGCCCATGAACTTAAATAACTCAGCCAGTTTTTATTTTACAATGTATATGGTACAAATTAGTTGATTTCATCAAGTCAATATAAATGAGAAATACTTGATTATACCAATACTTTAAATTAAGTTTAAATCAAGTGGAGTAGTACCATGTGAAGACATCAATAGAATATGCAAACTTAATCTACAGCAACAGAATGGCAATTTATTATGAATATCAAACGAAGCAAATCAAACAGATAAGAGACTCCATGAGAATTTTTTATGAGATGCATATCAGAAATCGGTCTCTGATTTAATGAGCATTTTACCCATGGGACCAATTAACGAAAATCGAAAATGGTAACTGTGTAATTTCATTGCAACAGGGACTGACAGTTAAAGTTACAAAGGTAACTTGATTACTATGGTGACCATGTGTTGCTTTGGTAACTGAATTACTATGGTAATCACAATGGTTGCCATGGTGACCTACCTGGATAATTGGGTAAAGTGCTTGGTGTCCTATAACCCAGTGTATCATCCATTGAGTTCAGTCTTGGTCGAACTGTATCTCGAGAAGGAGCTGAAAAGGCGAAAAAAACAATCATTTATGTCTCCAGTATAAAGCTTATAAAAACATCAGCCAATTGTAGAAATCCCCAAAAAATGTTCATCGGCGGCTTTTTAATTGAAGATTTATTAAAAATACAAAGTAATACTTAAGATAGATCCTCAGGATGCGATTTTTTAAGTCATTTTCATAATTATAATCACAAACTGATTTAAAAATCTTACTTATGTCAAAAGTTTTACAAGTATGCTGAGATGTCAAATGAAAAATATTTTTGAAAAATAAAAATGATCCATTTGCTTACATGCATGATAAGATGTCTCATGTAGAAACTTGAAGGGAACTTCTTTATTTGCATCAGGATCCCTTGAAGAATTGCGGGGATCTAGCGTGGGAGATACGGCTCGCTTCTTTTTCTCTTGCAGAGATTTTAACATTGCCTGAAATAAGAATAGGTTACTACTAGAAAACAGCAACTCCTCAGAATGGAAAATCCCACCAACAAAATATCTTATCAAATCACTAACAATCAATCTGAACATTGCTATCAGTGGTAGTATTATCAAACTACATTAACTACATTAATATTTCATCACATGAAAATGGTGGCCATTTTGAAAATTCCTTCTCGTGCCGAATCCCATAAACACAAGGCATCGATATTTAAAATCTGAAACAAATCTGACAACTTGCATAATATCTTACATTTACTGTAACATTCAAGAGGTTTTCAAGATAAATGCAAAACTACATCACATGCCAAACAGCAACAAACAAACCTGGCCCATTCCCGATTTTGAAAGCTTTGAGATTTCTTGGATTTCTTTGTCAATTTTTTCATCCTCCCTTACACGAGCCTCTTTGCGCGTTTTCTTTCTCTCTTCAGATGGGATCCGGTACTTCTCATCTATCTCATCGTCATAATCTACACGTCTGTGCCGGGGCCTGTTACTTCGAACTAAAAGAGAACATGTGTCATTTCATAGATTATCTCTACAATTTAATGTGTAATATATAGATGAAAATTGAATTTAAAACAAGGTCATCACATATGTAGAGTGGCGCAAATATCTGGCTAAAAGGAGCCAGTTACCTCAGATTTGAGCCAGCTAATTTTCTGCATGTATGTAATGATAACGTTGATGACAACATATATAGGACAAAAATGCTGGATTGTTTGTCTGGATACTTTCATCTGAAATTGTCTAAACCAATAGATTTTGAGTTAAATGACGCTCCTTGTACATGTGGATTCTTGTTAAATCTTGCCCTCTCTTTAAGAATCTACTCCTTAATGGTAAATTTTTGAAACTACCATAACTTGTTATAAGTCATTGAAAAAATTACAATGATTTCTACGAATCTAGTTAAATCGCACCACAATCGTATGTAAGAATCAGAGAAAATTGTAGTTACATAGATCTGGACATGCTACTGAAGGCTCTGGTGGCGCTGGCCAATCATCTCTCTCTACCGGAGCTTTCTCGCCTGGCGATGGTATGTGACCTCCACTGAATGTAGCCAATTTGATTGGCTCCTCATTGTCCAATGGGGCAGGAGATTTACTTCTTGGTGTTCGTGATACATCAGCTGAAATGGCGATTATTTGAAAATACAGTGTTCGTTAATAGGTGATTAGACAGATTTTGATTTTGAAGGAAGTAAAAAAGTATGAAAACTTCCTTAAATTATAATAACAATCTATTACATATATGAATTAAAAATTATGAATGATAAAAGAGTTGTAATTGTGGGCTTATCTCAATTGTCTTCAGAAATATACAATGGAAATGTACAGGAATATAATGTCATTAACTACAAAACACAGTATGCACGGCAATATGAAGCATTTGAAACTGGAATGTCTAAAAGCTCAATTTCAGAATTTTAAACCAATTCAAGGATTAATAGAAAAAATAAATAAATATTTGTGATAAAGAAAAAGTATAGTAAAAATTATAGTAAAAATAATAGCAATAAACTGATTTCTCTGTGTTATTATGTACAAAAAATACATGTAACTGAATCTTCACGAATGACTAACATTTTACATTTTACAGAACATAATATGTTATTTGTATTATTTGTAAGTTATTTTAAATAATGCAGTATGTAAGTCGTTCAATTTTCTTGCTTTACAGGGGGGGGGGGGGGGGTGGGGGAGTTATTTTCTAGTAACTAGTCTATTTAGCAAACGATTCATTCAGTTAAACTCATACAGTTAAACTAATGATATTAAACTGATAAGTTAAACTTTTGATTTGGTCACATTGTAGAATCACAACCCCATAGAGAAAAGTACAATCTTATAACCAAACCAAAATATTACTAATATTATAAAATAATAAGTTTCTAGTTAATGATATTACTCTACTCTACTTTATGCTATACATGGGATGATACATTGTATTGTGCCCACACATAAAATGTCTCCAGTCATGTTTATGTCACATCATCTCCTTTCAAATTGTGAATAAAGCACCACATTTTTCTGGCATTTATATACAATTTAAAGTGTTGACTCCATGCCTGTGTGGTTTATTCCTTGTAATTCCACTCATTTTCACAGTTTCTGTGTTTTTAAACATGACGAGCATGACATTTTATTTGGGGGCAAACTAAAAGGATGACAACATGGGATGACGTAGGCATGGTAACAAACAGGGAAAGTTCTGTATACTGTAAAACTATGTTGTGTGAACACTTTTTAAAGTAAACACCTCTGCAAAGTAAACACTTATATAAAGAGTAAACATTACAATGTGAACACTTTTTTATGTGAACACCTCTATAAAGCAAATACACCTATAAAGTGAACACCATTTCTAAGGTACTATAATGATAGGATCAATTAACAGATGAACAGATTGTCCCCTAAAAAAGACTATGGGTTAATAATGACCTGGGGCGCTCACCAATTCTCAAGTTATGAAATTTCTTGCAGCGGAAATTTCAATTTCACCGTAAACAGGGAAATGACTTTTGATGACATATGCCCTCCAGTACAAATATAAGACCACATAGACAAGTAATATGATAAGGATATACAATCTAACAGACACATAATGCAAGTAGTGGATGGGGGCTAATGAGATAGACATTCTCTTTTTTCAACTCTATCTCTGGGATTACAACTAGAGCTTCATAACCATGAATTTCTTAAATCAAGAATCCATAAATCAATTGTTGTAAATATGGATAAAATGATGTCATAGTAACAGAAAAATTGACTTATGGAATTCTTACCCTTACAAAGTTTCTTTTAATGTCCTGAGGTGGTCAGAACCAGAAAATTTTGAAAAGGATAAAAAATTCTTATCTTATTATGATATCATGGTATCCATGGTTACAGAAACTGATTTCAGAATCTTACATTTATGATAGCTACTGATCACGAGCCCTAGGTCTGAAGCAAGGGAGAGGGACTTAATTATCGGAGCTACAAATGGAGCAACTATTGACACGCCTTCTATTTTTATTAACTAAATAATCTGTTTAGATCGCCTTCCCTTTTTGTTACCATTCCCGAGGCCTCATTAGAGTCTTATCGCATCTTTAAAATACAACTGCACGCTAAACAATGCAACAAATCATTGCGATGTATAGCTTTGCAGATGGATTATTATGATGCAACAATATGCTAATGAGGCCTCTGATATGTTAATGAGATGTGTACGTACCTAAGTACATCATGCCTGCAAGTGCGTACCCAGTGAAAAGGACAAGAAAAAAAGAAAAGAACAATGGATTAATATAAAACATGACACGCCACACATTTGTTTATAGCACAATCAATTTCAGTCTTTTTTATATAACAATACATTATTCATATAAAAATCTGGAAAAAATAACTTGCAAGTAAGAAATTCTACTCATATATGTATTTTAGTAACATCTGGGATAAATATAAAAATGAGAATTTTTTTCAGGGTAAATCAAGTATATATTTTTTCAAAAATACCGAAAAGTAAGAAGTAATAATTATGACAACTATCTATCAAACGGGAATGAAAACTCTTGTGTTTTCTATATCTTATCAATCACCCCTCGTATTTATACTTATCAAAATGTGTTTTACTTGCAAGTTTTTTGTAGATATATTGCATCATATAATTATTACATATATGCATTGCTTTGTTTTGTAACAACTACATGTACTTCTAATAACTAGAAGATTGCAAGCAATCTTACGGAGGCCCTGTAGGCTTTTTTGAACATTTAAAGGTCAGTCAAAGGTCAAATCTTAAATACAAGGACATATATGAACTCCAGGCATCTTGTAGATGATTTTTAAAAAAAAGTTTGGTCAATTTGAAGCAATGTGAAATTTGACCTTGAAAAATTTCAACATTAGACCTTTTTCAGTTTTTGAGGTCCAATATCTCAAAACTGGTGCAGAATTTTAATAGATAATCAATTGTTATTATGTGTAAAACCTTTAGAGGAATATATATCCTGACTTTAATTCAAAAATATTGATTTGTAGTCACAAACTTTGAGAAACTTAGAAAACACAGTTTGTGATCTTGTTTGACGACCTTGACCTTTGACCTTGAAAATTTTACTTTTTTAGACCTCAGTTTATCTTTTCTGATTGAATAGACCTAAATTTAAATCAAGAAAATCAATTTTGAAAAATCAATTTTTTGACCTTTCGAAGGTCACTGAGGGTCAACTAAAGGTCATAGGTCAAAACTAAGGTCAGATTTGAGTTCCTGAGATCTTGTAGATGCTTTTTTAAAAAAGGTTTGGTCAATTTAGAGCAAGTTGAAATTTGACCTTGAAAAATTTTGAAATTTGACCTTTTTTCAGTTTTTGAGTTCTAATATCTCAACACTGGAGCAAAATTTTAATAAATAGTCAATTCCTAATATGTGTATAACCTTTAGAGGAATATATATTCTGACTTTCAGTAAAAAAAATTGATTTGTAGTCTCCAATTTTGAGAAACTTAGAAAACACAGTTTGTGATTTCGTTTGATGACCTTGACCTTTGACCTTGCAAATTTTACTTTTTTAGACCTCAGAAGGTCTTTTGTGAATAAATATACTTAAATTTGAATCCAGAAAATCGATTTGAAAAATCAACTTTTTGACCTTTCGGAGGTCACTGAAGGTCAACAAAAGGTCAAAGTTCAAAAGTAAGGTCAGATTTGGAATCCTGAGAATTTGTACATGAGTTTTAAAAAAAAATTTGGTCAATTTGAAGCAAGTTGAAAAAAGACCTTTTTTGACCTTTTTTTGACCTTCAATATCTCAAAATCTAGGCAAAATTTCTCTAGACGGCAAAAAGTTTAGACTAATAGAATACTAATATCTATCGGTATGCAAAACTTCAGCCAAAAATATTGAGGTGTAGTGTCAGGATTTGAGAAACTTGAAAAAAACTTAGATTTGACCTAGATTTTGACCTTTGACCTTGACCTAGATAAAAATTCCTTTCCCACCAAGTCCAGCCCAGGTCATTAGTAGGACTATGTAGTAGCTAGTTGAAAGTTAGTCGGAAGTAGGAGAAAAAGAGGGAGGAAGAATAAATAATAATAAAGAATAATAATAATAAAGAATAATATCTACAAAATTGATAGGAGGCCCCCCGATGGGGCCTCCTAATAAACATTTCATAGGTCAACTACATTCCATTTAGTATAAATGCAAAATAAAAGATTAATAATATTTCTTTTAACATACAGTAAATATGTATTTTAGAAAAATAAAACATCATGCAATTATAATTTACAGATTACAGATATAAAGATACAGCCTTATTCCAAAAATACTTTTCTAAAATTTTCAAAACAAGGCAAAATGTACAGAATATACATAGAACATATTCTTATCGTGTGATCTGTAAAATGAAGCCCTCTGATTGGTCAGTTCTTGTGCTGTACCAATCTGTATTGCTACGGAGGTTGTCCCCATTGATCATCTCTGTCGCAATACAGAAAATATTGGTATGGAGGGGACAATCTCAGTAGTAATACAGTGGATCACATGTTATTGAATGATCTGAAGTGCAATACAGGATATAGTCTGTCTCGATATTCTGTATTGGCACTCGACTTCGTCTCGTTCCAATACGGAATTTCTTGAGCAGAATATATCCTGTATTGCTCTTCAAATCATTCAATAACTTATAATATTAACAAAGAAAACTTTGCAAACATAGTCAGATGGATCAAAGTATAAAGATATAAATATATTTCAGATAAGGCTGCATCTTTAAATCAACTTCAAAATACCATTTAGAAATTGTTCAATGTAAAAAGTTTACAATTATCACACATATGTTTTTTAAGTTTATTGAACAATCCTAAGTGCAATCTAATCCTTGTCTAATCCAATCGAAAACCTACAACTACCACTACATGTGCATATACAAGCATGCTTTTTATCTCTTTATTTTTAAAAATAACAATTAATATACAAAAATAAATCTAGACTACCGGTATATATTATGATTTTAATAAAAATCTGTTGGTATTGGATTAGATGAAAATATTTAGACATCTAGATATGAAATACAGATGAAAGTGTTAACTTCTCAAAAATGAAAATTAGACACATGAAACTTTTAGGCCCACTTTTAGGCAAAAAAATGGGACCTGATATACATTTTTTTTTGAAAAGTTTCAGTTGGAGAAGTTCTTTTGAAATACATGTATTGATACTGCCATAAAAGCAAATAGTAAAGCCATACTAAGACTCAGAAATGTATGTATTACCACATTCCCTCCAAAAAGCATGCAGATTTGCTTACATGTTATTATCTATTATTAAAATTTGACAATGGGCAGATTGATGAATTTCAAATAATGCATGCTAATAAATCAGTATCACTGAAACAGTGAATTTTGAAATACTAAACTCAAAGATCGGAATTTATCGTATAAAATACATTAATTTGCATTAAAGCTGCCTATTCCGCAGGAGATGACAAACTCCCAGAGAAACATACGATAAAAAAAAAATTGACTAAAACTGGAAGGAATATGGTGCCTAACGCTTTGGAGAGGCCATAGTCTGGACTAAGACAAATATTCTATAGCCACTATTTGCAAGAGTTTTCAAGATAAGTCATTCCTTCAAAATTTCAGGAACTGGAGCTTTATACAATTTAAAGTATTGATTTCTTTTCATGCACCCCTCCCATCCCCATTCTATTTTTCATTTTACAGATTAATGTGACATTTCACTTTTGAGCATAATTTGAAATTATATTCTTGTAGAATGAGAACCATTAAATTAAAATCAAAAATCTCATTAATGGGTGATATCATAGGCTCACCCATATGAGCTAACAAAGAAGAAATATATAAAGAAAATAGAGATTTAGCTCCAACCAACTTAAAAATCTCCAGTTCGACAATTCTACAACACTCTAATAACAGATATAAGGGATGTCTCATAAGTTTATGTAATTATCAAACACCTTATGCGACATCCCTCGTATATATTAGTACAAGTTCAAGCATAAAGGTTAGTACTACATTATATGCATGAGTGAAAATAAAATCCTACTTGATATACCGCTACTTTCTGCCATGATGGTAATGGGAAAAAAGAAACATGTATAAATGGAGGTTGCTTGGCAACCATGGTTATGATTGCTATGGCATTAACAGTTGCTATGGCAACCAGGAAAGATATAATGTCATGAGGACATAATAACAGTGTACATGTATAATGGTTTAATAAATACAAGCATCACTTCATAAAACAAGCAAATAATTTGTGTAACAAGCTTCAAATTGTAAAAACAAGCATCGTTTTGTGAAGGAAAAAGCATGTAAACAGAATCGATCAATACAATGTACTCTAAAAATTCTTCAATTGAGTCATCATTAATACAGAATAATGAGATATAAACCAAATTTATTTGAATTATCTTAGAAATGAGATTCTACCAAGTGCCAGTGGTCTGTCCATTTTCTAGGAATTAGAGGCCATTAAGCCTGGATAGCTAGAATAGCTAGCTACTTTTCTGGAGAATAGGCAATAACCTAACTGCTGCGTTAACAATTGGACAATCATGTATGCAAATCAGGCTTTAGATCCTCATAAATATGAAAGTTTGCCTTAATGGGGAGACTGATTCTGTCCATTTTAGATTCTGCCCCGAGGGAACTGAGAGAAAAAACCAATGAATAAGGAATATTACCCTGAAACCAAATGAGAACAGCGAAATTATAGTATCTGAGGAAAACAGATAAATATCCAATTTATTGGTATTTCATTGGATATCAAATATGACCATGAATGTCAACCATGAATTTGCAACTGTTTTTGCACCACAAAGAATTATTTCTTACTGAAAAGTGTATATGATAGCAGGATGTAAAGTCAAAGGGTTAAAAATAGATACTTCATGAATTTTGCATTATTCCCCATGTTATAGTTTTTGCTGATAACAAAGAAGTGTTTTTTTCAATAATCATAAAAAGAACATAGAATGAATAAAAATCATTTCTGTATAAAACCTATACTCCTCCCAATGTTATTGATTTTACTCAGGACAAATAAGTTTTAATAAGTAAACCTCCCAAAACATATTCAAGTAAGCCCTCTAAAATCTCAAAAATAAATGTTTCAAAATGCCCATTATTAATATTAAAATTAATATTTCAGGGATTTTTGAGTAAAATGTCACTTTCACTTGGGATTCTAAATTGGCACAAATAACACAATTCTCAATAATTCAGAGATCTTGCTATAAAATGCAGAATAAAATCTGAAAGAACTGAAAATCAAAGCGATAATTGGTTCTACCGAGTCTAATTGGCGGGCATTATAAATACACCATAAAAAATTTAGTGGCACTGAAAATAAAATAGATGTTTTTGATTTGGAATTTATCTCAATTTTATATCATTATGATGACACTTGCTCCACTTGATTGAGCGATGATTTTGATTTAATGGTTTATCTGAGATAATAAACTGGAAATGATTGAGAGAAAGATGAAGAAAATGTTTGCGCAACTTACCTCGCTTTGGCTTTGTAACATAGAGCTTGCTGACGTTATCACGCTTATACGAGAAGTGTTCTGGAAAAAAATCACAAATTCAGGTTGATATATGCATTTAAAGGGGAACTTTGTCACAATATTTTTTCTATTTGAATTGCTGAAACAGCTCAAGGACAACCAATTTCACTATTGCCACTCATATTTTTGGTTTAAAAATGATATGAACAAACTGCCGTTTTGAATTTAAGGTTCAAAACTGACCCTCACAATAACACCATTTGAGATTAAAACAGTATAGGACAAACAACACACACAGTGATAAATATTGCACTTCAAAATAGCCACCCCCACCAGAGTCCCTCTTTTTATAATCCTTGTGTCTAAAGGCTTTTCATAGCGAAACCATCCTTCTTCAAAGGACTTCATTTATGCTTAAATTCATGGAAAGAAGTGCTATAGAAAATATTTTGCAATGTGTGAAAAAATGCTAAGTAATTCAGCGGTTTCGAGATTTCTATAATACCTACGCTAAAGTAATCTAGCCAGCATACCAAAAAACTTGATCAGATTTTGTAACTAATCCAATCCATACAGAAGTGTTTACCAGTAATTTTGTATTTGTGAAAATACAACATTATAAAACAATAAACAAAATATATAACATTTTAAGTTTGAATGCAACTTTTTTGTTGAAACATAAATTAGATACAAACCAGGTATAGTGTCCATGTTTGCAATAATTTCATAAGTTTATTTTAACTATTTAGCCGCTAAACTTAAGACGTATCATCTGAACAGAATGTTGTAAAGTAACAAATCTTATCATTGAGTATGGACTTTAAACTGTCTTAAGAAACAGAAATAGATTAAATAATCAGAGTAATTGAATAATAAAAACTTTTAAGATCTGTTTTTATACGTATCAAGGTTTTGACCAAATGTATGATAACACAATTTTCAATGCCAGCTAAGTGAATGATTGTATCTTATATATATATAAATCATCATGTACTTTAATATACTCTTGGGTCAAGTATAGTCTCAATTTTCAAGTATCTTAATCTGTGCCTTATCAAATTGTCAGTGCCTTTCAAAACATTTGCAAAAACTATCAATATGACTATCATGTATAGAACAAAACTTGTGGTAGTGGAGACTGGTGCCTTGTAGTGGACACATGTGTTCTTTAAAAACTTTAACTCCCATTGATTTCCATGTTATATTTCTTTACTATTTCTATTGTGGGCAGAAAGTTACTCATGTCAAATATACAGTAAAACCTATACGTCAAAACATCTCTCGTATCTCATCAAACGCCTTTGTGTGAACACTTTTTCTCAGTCCCAATTTTTTGATATTTCCCATTGACCATATATTAAGAAACCTTAAAATGTGAACACCTGCCAATAGTCTCAGACTGGTCTCAGTATCATTCAGATTATATTGGTTTTACTTTATTTTATCCCTTGTGTTATCTTTATTCATGTCTTATCAAAGTGTCACATTTTATCCGTCAAAACATTCAAAACACTCAATGTTTTTTTCTACATGTAAGTTAAAGGTCTAAAAAGAGGTCTAATATTATATTTATATGAGACGTTGGTGTTTGAAGACATGTCATTAAAGGTCAAGGTCAAATATATTAACTAGGAAGGTCAATTATGATTTCTGTCATTATTATTAGACTCCAGGTTGAAAATCTGGAGTCTATTGCTTTTGCCAGTTTTCTTATTTTTATTATTCTTTCTTTCTTTCCGAACACTTTTTCTCAGCAACTAGAAGAACTTACTTTAACCTACTTACATGGCTAACATAGCCCATCAACCTAGTTTCTGGGAAATTAGGTCAAAATTGTATCTAGGTCAAAGGTCAAGAACTAGGTCAAACTTAGGTCAAATCAACATTCAATTATTTTCGTTGTTGTTTGTGGTTACTCCTTCATCTTTTTTTCATCATGTAGCTTAGAAAAAAACAAATTGAGAGTGTGCCATCCGTTTTTTGATTACTCTTACCGATTTTGAGACATAGCGTCCGGAAAGTAGGTCAAACAAAAAAAGTTCTCCAAATTTAGCATATGAGCTATGAAATAAGGGTAGACTTTTCTCAGGAATCGGAATCTGCAAACCAAATTTCGATCCGACTTCCCGTTCGGAAGTTATGGCATTTTGAAAGCTCAAAAATTGCTAAATTTTGTGCCCCATGTTATATCAATAGGGAAAAATATCTTTTTGAAGTGTAAAATACCAGGTATAGACTGAGTACAGCTCAACATAATGAAAGTCTATAAAAGAAGGGGACCTCAAAGGTTACCTAGCTTCAAAATGTGGACACCAAAATGCCAAGGTCAAAATCTAGGTCAAATTCATAGCTTTTCCTTATTTTTGCAATTCTGACATTACACTTTAATAATTTGCTTCAAAATTTTGTATACAGGTAACAAAGAGTGTGCTAATAGTGTTAGCCTTTTGCCGTCAGAAAGTATTTTGACCCACTTTTGAGATATGGTGTCCGAAAAGTAGGTCAAAATAAAAAGTTCTCCAAATTTAACTTATGAGTTATGAATTAAGGGTAGAATTTTCTAAGGAATCCAAATCTGCAAATCAACTTTCAATCCGACTCCCAGTTTAGATTCTATGCCATTTTAAAATTCACATTTGTTTAAAATTCACATTTGCCAGTATCAACAATGCAGACCCATCAAATATACTTTCATAATTCCTACTTACCTACCTACCTACATACCTACTCGGCTACCTACTTAGCTACTTAATCATCTACATACTCAGCTTCTTACTCAGCTCTTTACTCAAGTAAATCAATCTGGAGTCTTAAATTGAACTTTGTTCAATTTACCAATCTAGTTAATTTTGTGATTAATCACCCCTTGTAGACCAGGATCAAAATAAAGACTATGAAAGGTAAGATATATCTACATCACAGATTTTTCTTATTCCACTTGCAATTAAACCTCAGTCACATTTGTTCTCCGGCTGCCATACTGTGGCCGTAGCTTTACAAACAAAATAGATACAGAAAATCTTCATTGCTTAACCCTATTTTTCATTGCTGCATATTTCTCTCGATTTTGGGGAGCAGTACAGTTGCCGTAGATCAAATGTGACTGAGGAATTAGTTACAACTACTATGTCACTTACATAATATCTAATAAAATACATATATTAGCAAATCAAAATCATGACTTATATCAACTAACCAGGTCTGTGAAAATGTGGAGACTTGGGTGGGCAAGGGGAAGTTTGTGAGATCCGCTTGTAACGATCTTTTGGTGGCTTCTCAGTGTTAGCGGAGAGTTGGTCTCCTTCAGAGAGATAACTCTTTCGATAGAACTTCCCGTAATCTGCCTCAAAACGTGGCTCGTAACTGGACTCCGACTGAAAAATGGAAGACACGTTTAAAACATAAATAGGGATTTAACAATGAAATAATCAAAAATAATTTGGAAAATGAGAATATTTAGTTTCACATTTTCTTACTCTACTACAACATGGTGATAATTTGGAAATCAATACAAAATAAAAATTGATGAGATTTTAACAGTTAACATATATGGATATTTTACAGAAATAAAGATCTTAAATAATTGTTATTGTTAACATGCAGAATGACATTTCCAATAAAACATTCATTCCATGCAAATTGATTTCACAGTAATAACCAGGTATAATTTTTTACATTCTATATTTAGTGATGATTTATAGGGGTTTTGTTGACTTGGAACAATGCCAGAAATCAATATCAAAATATCATACTTTTAACAAAATTATACTTCCTCTTGAGATTCCAATTTTATATCAAATTTGAATTAGTGCAAGAACTCTTCTATTATTACAAAATTGAATGAATAATCAAAAATACAAGGCGGTTCTTATGATCCAATGGATCATGTTAATTTCGCATAAAAATTAAATGAAATTTTCATTTAAAATAAATAATAAAAAAAGTCTTAATTTTCATGCATTTCTATATAATATAAAGTCTCCACTGTATATGTGTTATTCCTAAGACTCACTAATTCCTCTATTTTCTACTTCATTTTGCATTTCAAAACATGACGGCTGGCATTTTTCATCCTACAAATATTGGGTAATCTTGCAAGATCAGCTGCTCTATCTCATTTACTTGCTTATTTGCATGGTTAATGATCATGGCCGTAAAACCGGTTACGCCCAAAAGCTTCAGATTAATCGCAAGCTTGGGATTCTTCTAATCACAATTTCTGGACTTGAGGATCATTTTTACAAGATTCTCAAAATGGCTCAACTCTAATTAGGCCAGAGAAGAATATTTTTTGAGTAAGAATATCTTATTGATATTGACACATTTATAATTGTAATAACTTTTGCATTTATTTTTTTCATTTTTATCACAAATACTTTTACCTCTAGTTAAATCCCTTTTATACCATACATAATCAAACTGACTGCTTTGAGTGTTTTTAGCAAGCAGATATTATTTGTGAAACAGACAAACAGGATACATCAATCTGATAATAGAATACTTCTTAATGGTTCATCTCACAATAGGAATTATAATCAACATAACTCTGAAATAATCTCAAAACCAAATTGTTTTTGGATGGGGAAACCAAATGGCAAAGCAAGGGTAAGATAATCTCAAAACAATGTAACTGTACTCTCCATTTAGAGGAAACTACATTAATATTGATGAAAATAAATCTATTCTTAAGATGGTGAAAAAACAGCATGCCATCATTATTATTTGCCTAAATTACTGATTACATGCGACATATACATTCAAGTGAATACTATAAAACAAACAAAAACATATCCCAATGATAGCATAAATATCATTCAGTGATAATTGAAATATCATCCCAAATGAAACTATTCAATGTTATAATTAGTGTTTTTAAAGCTCATGCAAAAATGACCATGCAAGCATAATTTTCAATAATTAATTCAACGGTTAAAGGATCTTGTTTTTAATACAAAAATACATTAATCTTATTAAGTGCAGCAAGACCCTTTAAGTATAGCATGTACTTGAAAAATTTGACATATAAATCTTTGAAAAATATTTTGATATTATGATAGATGCAGTTGCCACATATATATGAAGTTGAAGAAATACCGTAACAAAATTACGATACTTCTAGAAGCTTGTGATATTTAACTAGACTATAATCTAGACTCAGAACTCTACATCGTCAAAGTACAACAAAGATCTTAATTCAGATTACGAACCCGAATAAACCTGTACGTAACTTCTCCACTTGTGTAATTTTTCTTAGAAAACAGGAAAAATATTATCAAACTTAAGTTTTAAAACAGTACGACTTTTAGGCACTTCGAGAAAATAACTCGCAGAATAACTTCTTGATTTTTGAATACCAACGTTCCATTACCAAAATAAATGGCATTGTCTAAATGGTACTGCATGCAAACAATCTGCCAGGGAGACATTATTGGAAGCTTAGCTATGGTATACATAGAGGGAGGGGGGATAATAGGGTTAGGAAAAGCCTTATGATATTAGATGCATGTATGTTTATTTATTTATTATAGTGCCTCATATCATTATTACCCAGCCTATTTTAGACTTGGGAGGCACATTGCACAAATATTTTAGGAACAGTATATTAATAATATTATTAACAGAATAAGTTGCTCTTTTAGCAGCGGTAATAAATTTCCCAGTAAGATATTAGATAAGTTGTTGGACCCCTTTTTGAACATGCCACAAAAATAGTTTTTTACAAGGTGGTCCAAAAAGTGTTACCCTTTTATGTAGTACGCAAAGCAGATTATGTAACATTTTTTGGCCCACCTTATATTATAGAGAAGGCCTCAGTTTAGAAGGCCGCAGTGGCTCACTTTTGAACAGGCATGTTTTCTTGAAATGTCTCATTGCTATTCATTAAGTAATCTGCTTAGTTATTAGCTATACTTTGGCAGATAATACCTTGGAAAATGTTATTAGGAATGTAAATATGTTTATATTTTATTAAGCAATCTATTAGAGCTAGTTTTATTCATTAGATGAGCATAAATATTTGGAATAATGTTAGTAATAATGCTGTTAATTCAACTGTTAATGCAATTAACTTCAAACTAGTTCAACCACATGCATGTTGCATTGCATTGCTCTGGAGTTCTACCCAATGGTTAATTCATACCCTAAATGACCTTCTCAGGCCAAAGTTCCCCTCGCTCGATGAACCGAAACTATAAGGGCTCACACTTCGATAGTCGAACTGAAAAATGTGCACATTTCACAACGTCTAATAGGCAAGAAGCGTCAGTAAAAACAGATAAACAAACACACAGACACTATACATGTAAGTGGTCTTCTACAAAATAGATCTGCCATGCCTCGTCATCTACAGTACATGACAAAACAGACCTGTCATATGTGGTCATCTACAGTATATGACAAAACAGAGCTGTCATACTGAAGCTGTAGATGTTCTATGGGTATTGGTTTATATCTATCTAGAGTCTAGACAAGCACATCAATATGTATATCAATGTACTCCCACAAACACACCCTTCCCCCTCCTCCACCACTAACCCAACACAAACTTTATAAAAATTGATACAAATTCACTAAACCAAAAAAGCAATTGCACAAGCTTTATCATTTAGATTTGTGAGTGTACATTGATACATATCCTGATCTATCCCCATAGGTTGGGAAATATTGCGAAGTGTTGTCTATATATGGAGGGAAATACAAGGACTGATCAATAACTAATGACATCATACATGATATATATGTCCAAAGTGTTCATTACTTATTGTTCACCCCTCGTATTATATAAGCAAGTAGTGGCAGCCTTATCTCAGTCTTGTGCAAAGTTGCTAAAATAAAATAGAAATGAAGCATAAAGTAACAACTAGTCATGTTCAATAATATATACAACAGTCCAATGCACTGCCACCCAAAATACATGTACATGACCAGTTTGATAACTGGCTCAAATATTAAGAACTGCTTATTTGTGGCATTTAGTATGCCAAATTAAGGGGAATTTTTTCATTTTGAATTGCCTATGTGTAAGAGACTGTAAAATTAAAGTGTAAAAATGTGAAAGGTGCATTATTGTTTATTGAGAGGGAAAGTCTTATACAGGGTGAGCCAAAAAGTTAACCCAAACAAATGTATTTTGATAACTCAGTCATTGTGTATGGGTTTAAAATCCTATTTAGCACAATTAAACCTTTTTCAATGTTCTTTCCTTCTCCAAAGTTTCATTGGTCCATCTCCTAATAGTTACATTTTTTGGACATTTACAAAACATGCTCGAAATGCTGAACCAGATTTTTATCTGTGGGGCTAATATCTACACTAACAGCCCTTGTATTTTAAAGCATGTTTAGTAAAATGGCCATAAAATCATGATAATTGAAATGAAAATAGACCAAATAAGCTTAATAGAATGAAAGAACATTGAACACCCTTCAACTGTAGGAATAGGACACCAAACCCATGCTGAATGACTCATTTATTAACATTAGTTTGGGTTACCTTTTCTGGGTCACCCCGTATATTAAGGAATACTGTTCCTTATGCCTGGGTCACATTTGCTCCAATCAATCGGCCGGCGCCCAGCTGATTGAGTGTTTTGTTCAATATTGTATTCAATTTTGAACAAAATACTCAATCGGCCAGGTGCCATAGTGAAAATGGGAGCAAATGTGACCAAGGCATTAAGCTAGAGCATCTGGAAGATAAGGGTCACCTCCCAAAGAATTAATGTATAACTGAATACAGCTTCTGCTACATAGCTATTGTTAACAAGATTAAATTCAAATCATACTTTAGTATAAAAAACTGCTTTTTCAAGTGTTATGTTGATTATTTTTAACATTTTTAACAAGTTGACACACTTATTCAACCATAGGGTTGAAGATCTATAAAAGTTCCTGGTTAAACTATCAGTTAGTTATATAAATTAAGAACTGGCATTTTTTGTGGCCGTGTGTCAGACTGTAGTGTTATACATACATTAAATGATTAATCAAAATCATCTTCTTTACTATCCAAAAATCAAAACATTTTAGAAACCATATCAAAACTTCACTTCAGTGACTCATATTATGTGTTTAAGATTTTGATATGTTTCTACTCTACAACTAAAGTAAATTAATTAGCCAAGTCAATTCAGAAACTGCAAACAGCATCTAAGAGAGTCTCGAACTCAAAATTTACCAACCAAAAATGATCGAGGCCGACTGCCGCTGGATTGGGATCGGCCCGAGTACGACCCTGGGGTACCATAATGCCATCTACTATGTAGGTACTGAAATATCGCTCATAACTAAATAAAGCATGCAAAATCAACTGAAATAACACCAAAGGAGGATATATCCCATAATCACACTTAGATATCCCATAATGCAATATACATCACACCACTTTGCTCAAGCAAATTTTACATGATCCCTCATTTATATTTGAATTTAGAATATACACTTCATGCCTGTTCATTTTCTTGCTGATTTCACATTTTTCCTCATTTTTTCAAATTTTAAAAATAACACCAGTGATACTTTACTCATGTGATATTTATGAACATGTGATAGATCCTCCAGTACAATATAAAACACAAATAATTGTATAAAAACGAATGCATAATGTTTCGAAGTATTTTACACAAACAAATTGGCTAATTTACAATTAAATGTATTTTGGAATATTTATGTATCATCTTCATGAAATACATTGACATTTGTGTGAATTTAACCAATTCATTTGATTGAAACTAAAATAACTATAAAAATTATAAAATGTATAAAATAATATTTGAGAGAGTGAACATTGACAGTTTCAAAACTGATAGCGTGTAGATGACAAACGTGGACAGTAAGAAACGAGACACACGTGTGTTTATCCATAGAGTACAATGTGGATTATTTCAAATAGAGTGGCTGAAAAATCTCAAACTAAATTAAAGTTAAGAAATAATTTCTTTACAAAATTTTAATAAAAAGCAACTTGTGTAATTATAATATTATCTAAAAATAGGCAATATATAAAACAATCAGCTTAAACACACAATAATAATTGACAATACAATAAAAAAGTTCAGAGTACAATAAAAGGTGAAGAATACAATAAAATGTGGCTGAAGCAAAGCTCATGAAGAATATAGCCAGGAGAAGATTTTACAATGTAATACTAATTATACAATAATGGTACCTTGCCTTTATCAAAAGAACACAGACACGAGGGTTGCCTAAGATAAAAATAATGGTGTATGAAATTCTATGTTTTTAAAATGTGAATATCCGCAATGTAAGACATACCTGGTTTTCTACTGGGGTAAGAGAATCATCAAAAGCCGAATCACCAGGTGATCCAGGGCCTGAAATAAAAGATACGAGGTTATTATGGTATAAACTGGATTTAACCTTTCTAAAGGTTCTGGTATTCAACACAATAGATGCAATGATCAATTTCTTTAAAATAGTAGGTACTATATAAGGGTTATGTACTGGGAGGTTTTGGATACAGGGTTTATCCAAAGTGGAATATGTTAAAGAACAAAGTGGATCTTATCTGGAACTCCTCAGCTAGGAGGATGCCTATTTCCAACTTCAACAAAGAACGATTCACGGTTTGGAGAACGAAGTTCATCAATCTAAATGAGCATTATCCCTGCTTCGGACAAATTTGATTTTTTTTACATAATATAGATTTGAATATCTTCTTTGAATAGTCATAATTTAATTTGGGTAATATTTCTATAAAAAAATATAAGCGCAGTACACTGATGAACTTTTTTCCCCAAATCGAGACTTGTATTTTATTGAATCGGTCTAATTGAGCGTTATCCCTGCTTCAGACCAATTTGTTATTTTTACATCTTGTAGATTTCAATGTCCTCTTTTGAATATTCATAGTTTAATTTGGGTAATATTTCTATACTTTTCATGAAAAAATTATTAGCCCAGGAGACTGTTCTCCAAACCGAGAATCGTCCTTTGAGAGAAGAACAAAGAAATAAAGAATGAATACAAAACTTACTGGTTGGAGGACTAGATAAGCTATTGTCATGAAGGCGTGGAGGTTTGGCAGGTGGCGAGCCATGATCCACATGGTTAGTGGCGTCCCCTAGTGGACTACTTGGGCTGTTGGGTCCACTGTTGTACTCCCCTCCACAGTTTTTACACAGGTATTGTTTACCTGTGTATGTTACCTTAGTGCCAGGCTCAAATGGTTTACTGAAATTGAAAAATATGAACTATACCAAATATATGTATTTGTAATATTTTCTTTATAGATAAATCATTTACTGTTTGACTGTCTATATTGGAGTCATAACACTCGTCAACATTGCCTTAGCTATGATGTTTTTATACACCATTTATATTTATTTATTTACATGTATTATACATATTTTCATTTTTAATGATCAATTTATTTTATGATTAATTAACACAGAGAATAGCTTGCCAATCTACAAAGTTAAACTAGGTCAGATAATGAAACAAGGTATTAACATACAAAATATCACAACATGCCATTTGTTACAGATGCAAACCACTGTTACAGATGCCGACTACTGTTACAGGTGCAGATTGCAGTTACAGAGGCTGAACACCAACCACCGAGCACCATGCACAAAAATCTTGGAGACAATATGTCACCACTAATCAGTCAGTCAGATAACCCCGAACTCTCCTCTGAAAAACCCATTAACTTTATCTAGCTATGTTTAGATATTTAGTTACGATCTGTCACCAAGCCTTTACTTGTGAATTATGGACAGTTTGAAACTCTGCTGTAATGAAACTAGATACATGTATTTCTGCTAGCTCACTGCTGACTGCTTGCCTCTAATTTGGCCAGTGTATACCGGTATGTGTATTACACTTACTAGTAACTATACTGGCTTTTAATCTGCAAGAACTTTAGACTACAGGATTTCAAGATTTAAAGGTTGTTAGTTCAATCTTTCTTTCTTTCTGAACATATACTTACTCTGCCTATCCTTATGATTGTCTTACCATAAATTGGTTAATCTATATTCATAGTTGCTTGGATACAATTCTCTTTACAGAATTTTTTGAAATGATTTTAAATTCTCATGCATTAATGTATATTTATAACTTAAACATGTTACTTACCAATAGAGAGGTTGGTGTGGAAAGTCACTTTTATTTGCTAATTTCTCCAGCCCCCATGTTATTTCAATGGGAGTTTTTAACAAAAATTGATAAAAGTTTTGCTAATTCTGATAATTTTGTCTAAATCTGAAAAATCATTTTGCCTGTAGCCCATGTTATTTGAATGTTATTGCTAATAGTGATAATTATCATATGTATCGCTATTGTATCGGTAATAGCAATAAATTTGATAATTATCAATTATCGCTAATAGCGATAAAAAAAATTTGGTCTGGGTCACATGTTTCCGTGAAATGGGCCCAAGTGAAATTAGCATTAGCTGATAAAAACAGATAATTTTGATAATTATCAAATTTATCGCTTATAGCGATAAATTTGATAATTATCAATTATCGCTAATAGCGATAAAAAAAATTTTGGTCTGGGTCACATTTTACCAAGAAATGGGCCCAAGAGAAATTAGCATTAGCTGATAATAGCAGATAATTTTGATAATTATCAAATTTATCGCTAGCGATAATTTTGATAATTATCAAATTTATCTGATATTATCAGCTTATGCTAATATCATGTGTGCCCTGTTTCAAAATTATCAAATTTATCGATAATTGATAATTATCAAATTTATCGCTAATTGATAAAAATTATCGATAGTTGATAATTATCAAAATCGCTAATTGATAAAGGTGAGTTTCCGCACCTAAATAGAGTTTTCCTCCAGTTCCGTTTTGTGTCTTTGTGTGATAGATATTGAAATGGTGATGACATGAATTTGGATATCACTTAATCAGATAGCAATTTTAATTCGTGCGGCCAATATTGACAGACAGACAGACAGACAGACAGACGGACCAATGGATAGACGGACTGACCAACATACAGATGCTTAGTAGATCCCATAAGCTCACTGTATGAGCCAAAAAACCTTTTGAAGTTTGATGATTTACCTGCGCTTATTGAATTATGTCTAAGAAACTGTAAAAAACTTGTGATACCCCTTTTTCATGGTTATAACTTGCATATTAAGACTCTCCATAATTAAACCTAAAGTCAATATGATATTATTCAAACCCTTTGTGGAAGGTTAAAGTTAGTTAGTTCAACATGGGATGTACCATTTAGACAACATGAAATTATATTAGTTAATTAACACACTTAGGATTTTACAATTCTGTTCAATATAAGATTAATTGAAACATATCTTAGCAATGTTGTGACTTTGTTGTACGATGTTACATAAAAATAGCATAAGTTCTTGAAGAAATATAGCAAGTAATATTGTGTCAGATAAACATTTGGTACATCCCAAGTAATATTTTGACTGACAAAACAGGGTTCAATTCATTTTAAATGATAAAGCTGTGAAAGATACTCTTTTTGACGAAAAACTGTGATAACCACACATTCAGTAATTGTGGGATCCACTCACTACTTCTTGTTTCTCATAATTATTAACTCCAATTTGCATTTAATCTAATTTTGATTAATATGTTGAAATGGACTGAGAGTACATATACACACATGTATTTCTTCCAGTCAGCATATGAACTTTCCCTGTGATGGAATCAAATTTCAATCCAACAACCTAAAACTGGGGTAATAAATTGTTGCGAATAAACAAAGTGTGACAGCAAGTGTATGTTGAGACAAGATCAAAGAGCGCTCACTTAGGAGCCCTTAGACCGTCTTTATCTGAAGGACTGTAATAGGGTAACCTGAGTATATATGATCATTACCTGCAGTTTTCACATTTGAAGCATTCATGGTGGTATGTGTTGCCCAGGGCAGTAAGGACCTCCCCCTCTACAAACTTGCCACATGTATAGCACTTTGTACCAAACAGTTTCTGAAAATCCTTCCCGCAATAAAACTGGCCATCTTTTGAGAAAAATCCCTCTGTCGCCAAATCTATCTTGCATTCTGGAAAAAGACAATGAAAAAGTTAAAGGGACTTGTGTTCAATTTGGAGTTCAGAACAATGCCAAGCATCCATTATGGAGCATACAAAACATTGATATACCGGATGACAAAAATAAGGTTAACCTATATGTTTTTAAGAGAACTTGTATATGAACACATAAACCACATGTATTATGAACCACAATATTATGAACCACAGAGAAAACAATCCTTTTCAATTGGTTTTTCAGGGACCTAAATACAACTTTTTTCCTTATACCTTCATAACTCAAATGGGCAAGTAATTACTAGAAATGGGAGAACTAATTTCTTAAAGGACAATAATTCTTCATATTCATATACAGGTTCTCTTCAGATATGCAGCTCAACCTCTCTAATATACCAACACAATAAGTAAAGGTATATTCCTATGGTGGTCCAAGTTGGATGGAATACAAACATACCCCATCATGGTCACAAAGGTATCTTATATTCTAGTATAAAATATTCTAGAACATCAGCCAGATTATAGATTCTAAAATTATTCAGTATCAAAAAATAATGATTTTATTTATGTATTCAAGTTTTTGAGTGCATGTTGCAAGTAGGAGTACCATGCACTATATACTATATTCACATGCCTATCTTGTAAACTGTTTGAATGCATGACTCAGAAACTCTTCATCTAAACTTTCATTTAAAATATGTCTTATAATACAAAACATTATTTGCTTATCCAAAAGATCAATGCAGTGAACTTTTTCAACCCATATCACATAAAGTTACAAAACATGAGAGACTGTGTTAACACAAAAACTACCATTGATTTTCTTTTGAGAAAATACGTCTAACATTTCTAAGCCTCCATAGGGCATTGATCGATATTGTATAGAACATGTCCAAGACACTGTTATTTGGCAAAGAATATTTCTAGGACGTGTCTCATTCTTAGCGCAATCTCAAAAGTCAGAATGTTAAATAAGATTCCAATTAAGTTAGTGTCTGTTGTGTATTTTATACCTGAGAACATATTTGTATATTACCAGGTAGTAGGCTAGGTTTGTTTGCGGATTTGATTGGTTTAATTTCCTTTGAACGATATTGAATTTATCATCCAGGACTGGGTCACAGTGCTCCTTATGAAGAATATAGCGTGCTTCCCAACAGAAAAATCACATATCAGTTTATAAGTCCAAAATAGAGTGAAAAAGAGTGGAATCAGAGATGAATTAAATAATCAGGCATGTACTTAACGCTTCAAATTATATAAAAATGCTAGAAAATCAGACACTTCAGTCAAATTTTAGAGAAATTGAGTGAAATAAGCATGAGCAGACGGAGATTTTATTGTATGGTTAAACACTATATTGGATATCAGGCAATTTCATAGCAATTGAACTCTTAATCCTCATATAAGTAAATTAGGATTAACAATCCCTGTACATTTTGACTGAAGAATAAAACAGATCATTCTTATTTGACAAGGAAATAGAAAATCTCGCTCTACTCCAAACCTAATAAAAAACTTCAGTGTGCTTATTGGGCTGTTGTTTCCTTGGTAGCATAATATATAGAATCGAACCTTCCATGATGAACATGTTTCTATAGTGAACACCTTTCTCCAGAGAACATCTGTGTCTGGCATACTTATATGTTATGAACATGCCTCTTGAGTACAACTCCTTCTAAGAAACACCTCTATTATAAAGAACACATTTTCCTGACGTAACCTCTGCTGGTTGATTGGTGGAGGTATTTGCCACAAGTAAGTAGCCACCTCCCATTGTCTCCCAAAGGAGATGCCTCTCAGCTGTAGGGACAAAGTCTAACTTTTTAGACATAATTGATATTTGTTATTTGAATCCCACGGACAATATGGCCAGATAAAATAACAAAAATATGTCTATTTTCAGTTCCCATACAGAGCAAGCACTGCAAAGCAGGAATTTAGAGGTGTTCATCTTGAAATATGTTCACTTTAAAGGTGTTCATAATGAAAAATGTTTCTCATCAAGGGCATTCATTTCAAAAAATGTTTAGATTGATAGGTGTTTGTATTGAAAGGTGTTCATATTGAGGTGTTCACAATGAAAGATGTTCCCAATCAAATGATCTATTTATATAGAAAGGTGTTCACATTGAAAGATCTTCATAATGAAAGAAGTTTATACTGAAAGGTTCTCATAACATTGAGAGGAGGTCTAATATGCATATATTATTGCAGACTAGCAAAAGGTTAAGTAGCTGAAGGAAACAGTAATTTCACTCCATCATCCATTATTTCAAATGTTATTCTATTCTACATCATATCATTCTATTATTTGAATAATATACATGTACCTGCTTTTTCTAAATATAGCCTTCTGCTCATGCTTATTTCACTCTATTTCTCTCTCTCTATATTGTCTGATTTTCAACTATTTCTATATAATTTAGAGTATCAACTACAGTAGAACCTGTGTAAGTGGAACACACATGGGACCACAAAGTGTTCTACTTGGGAGGTGTTCCACTTACAGATGTTCATTTACATGGAGTAAATGGGCCATGGGACTTTAAAAACACTGTTCCACTTTTGAGGTGTTTTACTTACAGAGGTTCATTAACATTGAGTAGATAGGTCATGGGACTTTAAAAACACTGTTCCACTTGTGAGGTGTTCAACCTACAGAGGTGTTCTACTTAGAAGCTTCTACTATAACTGCCTATTTAGTGTTTATTTTATTCCTTGGTAATTCATCTTATTTCTCTCTAAAATCTGAATGAGGTGTCAATTTATGGTATTTACTCCATGCCTGTTTACTCAATTCCTGCTGATTCCACTCATTTCCCTCTCTGAGTTTGAAACATAACCTTGTACTCAATCTCAATCAATCTGTAACCATATTTAAACAACAGCAACATTAAATATTTATCTCCAAGAATGCTTATTTAAAAATCCATTAAGAAAAATGAAAGAAATCACCAAGGAATAAATACACAATCATGGTGCAGACAATCTAAATTATTCATAAATGTAAGGAAATCATACATTTTATTCAAATTATAGAGAAGCTATATAAAATATGTTAACATACTGTGTGAAACACAAGGTCATAATTATCATTTGGCCTCATAGAAGGTCAGCCGCCTGCAGTATCAGCAAAACTCAACTCAGATAATTATGAAAACACATTTTCTCTTTGTAATATGTGAAATTCCTCTCTAAAATTTGAATAAAGTAAATAATTATCTTGCATTTCTATGCAGTATAAGGTATCCTCTACATGCAAGTTTACTTTATTCCTTGCTAATTCCCCTCTTTTATTCTCTAATTGGCATTTGAAAACATGACCCACTTATGATTTTTCTCAGGAGTTCGCTGCAGGATTGAGAACTGACCTTAGATAGCACTGATACAATCAATCAGCAACATTCCACATGTTATGTTTTGCCAGGAAATATTAGAGATAGGTTGAGTTACAGGTTGGTTGCATATAACATATGCATATCTTCTCAATAGTTCCAGTTGTAGAAACAGATAACATTCTGTTGCTTTTGTATCTCTATGGTAACTGACCTTATGAGGACATTGACTCCTTGGCAATGTACTTTTTCCATAAATCAACAACATATTGCTCCAAATCATTATGAAGCAAAAGATCAACACCAAATTACATTTATTGATCTTCTAATTAGTCATTCATGCTGCTGTGCATAATACTGAAATGAGACCCCGAGAAATATATTCAATTAATTAGTTTTGAACCAAGCCCATATTTTTCTCTCTAAAATGATCTTTATAACAGGCAGGGTAAGATGGTAAGGGAGAGAACTGAAGTTTTATGCAAGATTTTCAATTAATTCAGTTTCTTAATGGTCATTTTTGACACTGTATATTTGCCTTAAGTTGACCTACCAATACTTGAGTTCACTTCCAAAACCTTCTGAAACCAGATGAAGATTGCAGTCAATGCAACGTAACACTCTTCAGAAAGAGTGGGAAGTTTGGGTGTGGTATATAGGAACTATCCCTATCAGTTACTTTATGCTTCAAAACTATCTAACTTCACCTTAGCCTGGCAGTGATAACACTTTTATTGCTCAACCTATCAACAAGATGGTTCAATATAACCTGTGATGTAATTTCTCTACAAGTTGTTGCTATATAGGTTCTATATACTCCCCCAGGAGAAGATGGGAGATATATTTATATGGAAAATAAAATAAGCTAGCACAAAGCATATACTTAGGTAGCAGTTGAAAATACATTACATTTCACAGTTGCAAGCAAACAAAACAAATAATGCGGTGATAATTGAAAACACAATCTTGTGCCATACTCAAAAAATGATGATCTTTGGTTTGACTAGATCGAAACAATTTTGTCCAATATGGAGACAAAAGTCTGACCAACCACTCTATTACCATGTAAAAATAAATGTAAAGGCATCGTCATGTATACTAACTCATGTTACTAAATTGTATCTTGAGGTTAAGTGGTTTATATAAAGCTTATCTGAAGCACTTTCTCCTCTCTACAATAAGAGTTCACATCTTTGATTTCTCTTTGAGTGGATGTTTCATCCTCATGATTGCTTTCATGTGTTATACAGTTTGCATCGCATCGTCTGCTTCAAATGTCTCAAATGTCTATCAACTCATGTATGTCATGATTTTTCTCTCTAAAATTTGAAAGAAGTGTCTCATTTTCTGGGATTTTTATATAATTTGGAGTATGTACTACATGTCTGTTTACTTTATTCCTTAATAACCCACTTTTTCTATACTATTTTACATTGTAAAGCATGATCCGATCGTTATATTTTATTTCCAGGAACTCAATCTAACACAAGAGTCCTTCTCCAAAGATACCCAACAAGCTTAATAAATACTTGGATGTACATCAACATAAACATCAAGAAAGTACAAAAGTGTTAAATCCGATGATAATATTCATCATATAATTCAATCTTGTCTCATAACAATAGACATAATGATTAATGATAGATTTGATGCTCGAAAGTGTCGAACTTTTATGAGATTATCAAGATTCTTAATAGATTACGTGTCAATATTCAATAGCTGTTTTGGATCAATATTATTCATTGGATTTCGTGTTTGCCTTTTGTCTTCCACATCATACATTCTGATGTTCAAATAACTATATTAATATTGTTTAACAACAAAAACTCAGAATGATAAATGTATATAGTATTGAATTCCAATATCTGATTATCCGGGTGTATCAAAAACATTAAATGAAATGATTCTGATTATCAAGGTGTATCAAAAACTTTAAATGAGGTGATTTATTCCATAGAGATCAGAGAGAATTATCTTCCTATTAATCAACTGGATTTACCAGATGGGATTAACAGTTATTGTAAGAGAATCATGTGTGAATAAACACCATGAACATAATCCATCCAGGCCAAGGTATGATCAGTCAGTTGATAGAAAGAAGTCCAGAAGTCTGTCTGCTTAAAATGCCATCTACCAATGCTTATCTCGTATATTTCCTCTCTTAAATTTGAATGAAATGTCAGATTTTCTGGTACATGGTATTCTTATATAATTTGGATTATAAGCTACAAGCCTATTTATTTTTAACTTGCTGTTTCTATTACATGCTACTTAGTTTTGAGTTATACAATTCAACTCCCAAAAGACTGTATCCATGGTAATCATCTTTCATAGGGCTGGCTCAGGTGATGAAAGACATATTGAATCATTATAAAGTTTGTGATTATATTTGTATTTATATTGTGTTATTTTTGTTTTGTTTAGGTGAGGTCATCCACTTTTGGTGTCTCCTCAAAAGAAGATTAAGATAAGACATTTCAACATATATACATGTTCTAATCCTTCTGGTACTTCCCATTCATCACTTTCACCCACCACTCTTTTTCCATGGAGGCCTTATGTCTCAGTTATCACAAAGACTGATGTTTCTTGGTTCCTAATTGTGAGTATATCAGTTTTATTTTGAGTATAAGGGCTAGATTCCAAATATTGCATATTATATGTTGATTGAAATGAATGAGTAATCTGCTTGATTAAAATTAGACATTTCAAACATATAAGTGTTTGCACAATGACTGCCTACAAAGACCTGTTAAAGGTTATCTTCAAGGCCTACCTTAAATCAGAAAATAAGTTAAATCTTCAAATACCTTAAATCATCAAACAGAATATCTCAATACATCAAATTCAGGACGTTTAATGATATTGGTAATGAGTGACCATTTTTCAAAACAGGATTCAAAACTTGTCATAATTATAAATGCTAACTTACCTTTACATTTGAAGCACTTGACATGGAAGTATTTGTCTTGAATCCTCAGTACTTCTCCCTTGCAGCTTTTCTTGCAACCCTGGCAGCTTATCTTGCCTGGAAACATACAAAAATACACTTATTAAGATATCTAAAAATATTATCATCTTATTCTTTAAGTATGAAGTTTTATTTGCAAAATTGTAAAGATTGTAAAGATATTATAAAATTGTAAAGATATTACATACTAGGAATGCTTAAATTATTGGCCCCCCTTAATAACTTGGCAAATGAAATATTGTATAGTTTGTCCAGTAATTTTCTTTTTCAACAGTAACGTATATAAAGATTTATCTTGCAATATGGGCTTGTATAGATCTATGGTACCCCAGTCATTTGAGACATATATTATTACAATTTTACAAAGGACTGTATTTCAATCCATCTGAGTGTTAGAGCCTAATAATATGAAACTTTAGCAGAAAAATCCAAAAACTACTGAAAAGCATGGCCATTTTACAGTTTATCTATTAGAAACAAAGTCATTGACTATACCCCTGGATTTGCTTGGTTCTGCCATCAGCGTAACAAAATAAAGTCTATAGACATCGAATATGTATCTTCATTAGTATGTCATCATTAAATAATAATTATATCCAATGTTCCAATATAATGAATATAAAAACATCTTATTCTTATGTTTCAATGCTTTCTAAGATTCAATGATTCAATCGATGACTGCTCTGTTATATTATAACTTTCTTCTCAAAGGTACAAGAATTCTATTCTTCTAATATTACTACTATAAATTCATTTATTCAAATACTTTTTGCGAACAATTGTTTTGTCCCTGTTGCCGCTCATAGGGCCTTGGCACGAATAATCTAAATGTGAAAACCATAAAGTTTGAACTCAGGAGCATTCTCGGAACATAATAGTGCACAAAACGTCTTAATGCATGATAATTTTTGAAGAATAACAGAATTTCATTTAAGAAGACATCCCTTCCAAATCAAAGTAATAATAACAATAGGCCAAGAATAAGACCATGCATATAAATCCCTCGGAAATCTTACTAGAGGCGATATATTGTACCTTATGGCATGATAACAGTGCTGCAAATTGAATTCAAGGGTGGAAAATGATAGTATAGCTTAGATAAAGAAATCAATTCAATATGAAACCCAAGACCCTGAAACTGGCAATCTTTCATTCTTCAACAATCTCTAATTCCTCAACAATCTAATTCTTTTCTAATCTCTCCTCTCTTATTCCAAAACAGGCTGTAATCTTAATATACTGTAGTGCAGAGAAACCTTAAAATGTACATGTATATAAACACCAACAAATATGCAGTTCCAACAAATTCCACTGGCGGATCCAGGGGGCCCATCCACCCCCTCCTTTTTGTGCGCCAAGAAAAACATTTTAGGGCCCCAAAAATGTGAAAATGGGCCTTTTTTGCATAAGTTTGCCTTTGGCATTTAGGCAAAATTATCAAAAAAATAAGCCTTAGATTTTCAAAATTTGGGCCTAAATTTGGGTTTTAGGGGCCACCGTACGCCCACTGTAGAGCAAATATGACAGGTTTAGCTACCAACACATGTGAGATTCTTCAGTTAGAAACATTGCTGCAACATTTGTAAATAATTTGGCTTGATACCCAGAAAATATAAAGTTTCAATAACAGCAGGAGCAGATTTAGTGACTTCAGACTTGCTGCACGTCATAAAAAATAAAAATAAGAAATACTGTAACAAAAGAATCAGTGTAAAAATGTTAACCCTTTCAAGTTCAAACAGATTTTTTTTAAAGGTGGCATGTAATTTTCAGTTTTTTAACATGGTGCAGCACAAAATGACAAAAATGATATGTACAATAACAATGGGGCAAATTTAAACAGCTCTAATTTTCTAATAAAGGTCGATGAACCAACTGAAAAGATAAGAGGGGGAAGAGGCTTCACACAAGACTAAAATGCTAAGATTCTGTACAGAACTGAGACAGATACAGTTACTATAAGGACATATCAGAATTCTGTTGCCTTTATCTTTATTACCCATTTTACATTGAGCAATGTCTAGCTCTTCAATGCCAATATGTAATGAAAAATGAGACGAACAGAAAATCAATACCTAAAAGGTAAAGAGGAAGCTCAAAACGATTAATCTCACAGTGAATGAAGAAATGGCTTCCTTGATGGAATACTCTCACTTTAATACATACAAGTTACAATTACTTTATTTGACACACAAATAGTAAACTATGTCTGATTATTTTAACAACAGATTTTCATACCTGAGATTTGCATGACATAAAATAGCTCACATATTTGCAGAGGTGTGATCATACTTTCAGAAGTCATACATTTGTGATTTTCACAAATTTCACCTCTTTCTGTCTTTTCAACTTGTACTTGGATATGTGTAATATAGAAACAATCATGGTCACCTGTCCTATATGATCATGGTCACCTATAAGACCATGGTCACTTATATGATCATGGTCGCCTTCAAAATCATGGTACATTATATGATTATGGTCACTTATATGATCACGGTCACCTTCAAAATCATGGTATATAATATGATCATGGTCACTTATATGATCACGGTCACCTTCAAGATCATGGTACATTATATGATTATGGTCACCTATATCTCCTACTGCAGCATGGTTCGGTAGAAGATTTGATGAGAATAAGGGAAAGCTATGAACTTTAAACTCTTTTCTCATAGACCGTGGAAGAAACATTTATTTTAGCTAGATGATCTTTACACCAGATTGATGACTTGGAGTTGTTGGCACTTCATCTAGGAATAACATACACCAACATATGGTTGTCTTTATTTGTAAACAAATAGCAGACTTGAAAATTCCTGCTCTAATTCTTCTGGAAGGATTTAAGGTATTAAAGAAACAGTCCCACCCACAATATATTACTTATGTTGGGCTCAATCATACACTGAATGTCAGAGCCTAACTTGGTAAATATAGATAAAGCTCTCTTTTAAGAATCAAAATCAAACTATTAGATAGAGTAATTCAATGTGTGAAATCAATAAGACACATGTACAATATTATTGAGTTCATCTCTCAAAAATAAACCATAATAAAATAGATATGAGCATAACTGAGTTCAGAAGAGTGGCATATTTCAGATATATTTTGATTTCAATTCAATTCTATAAAAAGCAAACCATATGCATTGTAAGAGCAAGTAGAAACAGTTGTTACATGATTCTGATAGATAAGGTCAAGTGGAAGTTGGCATGTTGATTAGGTTAAGTAATTAATGTTTAAATCATATCTAAATATATGTATCTTATGAATATGAAGCTGAATGTTAATGAAGGTACAACTGCATGATGAGAAGTTTACATAATTTTCATGATTATAAATTACTAATAATTGATGAAATAGGTGATCTTTTCGTGGATGTTTATATATTATGGTAGAATACCTTGTTAAAAAATTATTAAAACCAATATTAGCGATAATTGATCATTTTCAAAAACGCTTATTGGTAAAAGTGAGTTTCCGCACCTAAATGAAAAAAATAACAATAACATTACTTTACTAATCAGGATTAACAAAACATTCCTAAATATACTCATATCAAGATTACCTAAATTCTCAAGATTCTTCAATCAGATGAAGATGTTAAATGTTACATAATTAAGGTTGATTTAAATCTCAAAGAAAATGTGTTTGGAATCATTTGAGATGATTCTAGTAAACACTGCAAAAGATTTGTTCTACGCATGGATTCTTCCAAATACCAAGGAGTAAATCTGTTCCAGAGGCAATCTGAGATTTATTACACAAGTAACCTTGATTTAAATTGTAAGAATAGATAGAAGACAGGTTAATATAGATAAATAATAGGTTTGCCGAAATACACAAATTGGATAGCGGGAGAGGGAGCAAGTTCCAGAAGGAGCTAGTTAGTCTTAGCTCTCCAAATATACCCATTCCAGAACTAAATAATACTAGAGAATAAACTAAAGAGGTTATAAGGAAGCCAAGTTATTTGACAGTAAATTTTCGAATAGCTTTCTAACTCATTGGTCTAACAGTATGAGTCTGTAACATTAACTGAATAAGCTCAAATTCTTTCTAGTAAATCACAATGTTAAACTAGATAACGGCAACTCCGCGGAGTAGCAAATGCAAACGAACAAAATATCAATTACTGAATTCCAATCAATTATACTCATTACTTAAGGTTAAAATTGAAAAAATTAGATTTTAGAATTGCGAATTCCTGCAAAGCACCCATTTTGAATTTTTGGAGATACAAATCTGAAAAATAATACCATAATTGTGATCTACTCCAAAATTCCTTCAATTTGAGTATAATATAGCCATACTTTGAAGGGATCGGAAAATTATTGCGAAATCGTACATTAGACGGCCATTTTGAATTTTACGAGCCTCGAAACAGAAAAAAGATACAATATCTGCAATCTACTCTTAATTGCCTTTCATTTGAGTATAATAAAGCTATACTTCAGAAAGATCTAAAAATTAACGAAAATTTCTGTTTTCTTGTCCCCCCATACACGGCCCCTGGGGGTCAGGATGAAAAACACAGAATATATGTGAAATAGATAAATCTTGTGAATATACTACCAAAATTTCAAACAATAATATTAATTACTTTGGTTTAGAATGAAAAATTTATGATTTTTGCGAAAAAGTCCCGTCATTTTTAAAGAGGCGGCCATCTTGCATAAAACTATTCACCAATATACATCTTTCCACTAAATATGAAGAAAATCCATCTACTAGTATTTGAGTTATCTTCCGGACAGACGGACGGACTGACGGACGGACAGACGGACGGACAGAGGGCTTCACTATATCCCTACCGAACTTCGTTCGTTGGGATAATAAGCAGATACAACCTTGACTTGATGTAATAGTGCTCATAACATAAAGATAAACCAAAGTTTAGGATAGGATCTTATGTATCCAGGGATTACCTTCATTCTAGAATTACCCCCACCTAATGTGATCCACTCCAGAGGCCAAACTTAAGAGCATTAACCTTGATTGTACAAAAGTACAAGTAAACTTCAAAACCTTCCAACTTAACATAGTTCTATCACTCACACAGAATATGACTGCAGCTGAAACTGTTTTGAAATACATTTGTAAACAAGGTCACCTTGCTAGTATTTTCACTTTATGCATTCATTTTACTACTTTTATGTATTTACAGTTTAAAAAATAACTTAAGGATAACGAAATTCATACATATTGACACTTTTAAGTAGATCTTAAGCGTTTTCTATTTTAAAAGAAATATCAATTGTATATGATAAACTTGAAAAAGAACAACCTCTGGTTTTGAAAGTCTATGGTTTTGAACATTATTCTGGCGCATGTTTTAATACGCAGAATAGAGATGAAAAAGTGGAATTAGCAATGAATTAAGTAACCAGGATTGTAGTAAACACTCTAAATTGTATAGCAATATAGCAAAACTAAGTTTTTTATACAAATTTTATATAGAAATAAAGTGAAATGTGCATGAATAGAGAGTATGTGGGTGTGTTGAACAATTTGTTTACTGTCTGATAAAAGTATGTTACAGTGGCAGGTTATAAGAGAAGTTATCCTGAAAATGCTTCTCTTATTTCATCAATCAGTTCTGACTAAAATTTGAATAAAATATCTGCTTTCTGACATTTATAAACAATTTTGAATACTGCCTTCATCTATGTGGCCTTAAGTCCATGTAAACTCTGATATTTTCCTCTTTCGTCCATATTTAAAAACATAACTAGTGTTGTAATATTTATTCAAAAACAAGGTCATCGGATGATTCATTCTCTCTGGTTAGTATAGAATTCATAATGTCAATGCCTTCTTGATTTTCTAGCTCTGATGTCATGCTCAGAGTAATTGATGTTTATTTATATTTATCAATGTTCTCATGGTGTTTTTGTTTATTTCTTTTGTTCTCTCAACCATTGTGACCTAACTGTAGAGGTATCAGGATAGTGAGAGGTGCGTATATGTTGCTATGGTGACAAATGACAACAACATATAAAAAACACCTATCCTGTTGATAAGTTGGTTTGGCCATGAGAGGTCGTGCAATGCAAAGGCAACTAACCATATTAACTATATCCCATTGTCTCCTAATGGAGAAAGCTTTCATTGTGTTAACAACAGTATGTAGAACATTAATGAGTCATCTTATATAAACTATTAAAGTCCCCGTCTAAAGTTTGAAAATATTTTTCTATCATTCATTTACTATTTGTCAGGACTTAAAAAGTGATTTTAGAGATTTTTGAACAAAAAAAAAATTTGGAAAAAAAAGTTGTGAGCATTTCATTTCTCAAATATTCGAATTTCCCGCCATTTTTCAAAAAAAGTTGAAATTTCTTAATCATCAAATATTTCTTAATGCATTTCAAAAAATATTATCTTTTTAACACCAATGCAAAGGTTGAACAAAGGACACACTATTTCAATAATAAAATGCCATATTTAATGGGCCACTTCAATGTTTCAACATATCAAAAATATTTTGAAACATTAGTGATGTCACTAAGGTACCAAAAACTTTTTGAAAAAAATTGAAATTTTTTTTTCGATGTCAATCTTTTCTAAATATGTTAGACTTTCATAAAAACCAATGTTGATTGTCTTACCAGGTTAAAAGGAAAAATAAATTATGTTTTAGATATCATTGTACCATTGGTTTCTATGAGAACTAAAATTTTGAAATGCATTTTTCTCAGAACCATTTTCATGCACTGTTAAGTTCATTTCTCGCTTATTTATGAACCGATTTTCTTAATTTTTTTGGCAAAAAACATGGGAGGATGAATGCTATGCATTGGTATGAATTGTGGCTAATTAGAAGATATGAGTGACCTCTAAAAGTTGGTTTTAAATAAATTCACAAATTTTGGAACAAAAAGTCTATCAAAAACCACTTTTTGAAATTTAAAAAAAAAGTTTCACATATCACACTTTGATAACATTGGGTAAGACTACAATATAAGCCAAAGTGGTTTAAACTTTAGATGGGGCCTTTAAATAGAAAAGTAATTCAAAAAAAACATAGAAATGAGATTGATGTAAAAAGTCAATCTACCCCATTGAGATTGAATGACAACTTACAGGTAGCTTCTCATCTTGGATTCTCACAGTATGAGGGTAAAGCGGGTATGGTAGCTTCCCATGTAAGGTATTTAGATCCATGATGGTATTATAAATACATTGAATACAACCAGGAAAGCAGATGGCAATTTCCTGTTTGTTACATTACAAACTATGATTATATTCTTCTACTCACAATTGTTTGATTTTTAACTTGGGTTATCATGAATCCATGCTTTTCATAAAAATGCCCAAAAAGGCCCATGTTGTTTGAATGAATCAGAATCACATTGAAAACATATGAAGAGCATGAAGAAGATGGCCAGAGAACATAGATAATTAATAATATTATGATACTGCGAGACAATGAATTACATCAATGAGGTCATTACAGAATGAAATATACAGCGAAGGTAATTTATTGATGTTCAGGTAATCCAGCCACGACACAGTGGCACCAAATCAGCAATTATGTAAAACATATTTCATCATTAGATCATGTACAGGTTAACTCATAGTGGCAGGAAATGAACAATTTAATTTACTAATTATGAAGCCGTAGTATTATTGAACAAATCAGAAAATATCCGGGAAACACAATTCAAAGGAGAAAGAAAGCAATCATTGATGACACGTAGAATATACAATAGCGAAAAAATATTCATTGCATCGTAAAAAATA